CAAAACAAGATAATATTTAGAAGGAAGTCAGGGGGTGGCTGTGTTCTCTGCTACATTGTAAACACACGTTATCCGTTAGGCCTACTGGACTTTAGTCGTGCGTCTGACCAGACCATCTCAACGAATTAATATTTGTTCCATGGCTAGAGAGCTTCTACTAACCTCATATTGTCAGCCCAACAGTGTATAGCGTAAGGGAGGAGAGATGACTTTTGAAACCACAGAGTGAAGTAATCTGAAGTTTTTTTTGAGCAAAACCAACTTGGGGCACTGGGTTTGTCCAGCTTGGCTTCAATTTGACTGCCTCCAGATCCTGGTACTGTAGATAATAATGAATTCGAAGCCCTTGATATTAAGGCCAGATTCAGGAATTTTACGGAGGGATGGGGGTTCAAACTTTATTCCTAAAACGCAGAATTTCTCTTTTCCTAGAAACCAGATAACCGCGCAATATCTTAGGATCAGCACGCTCCGAATACTTCAAGTTGAGTGGTGATGTGCGATTTCGGACAGGTAGTAACGAAACCCATAAATCTGATGGGAGGGGGAGGGGAGGGGTCCGAACCCCCTGACCCTCCCCCGAGATCCACCCTTCGATATAAGGTCTCTAACTGAACCTTCGATGTGCGGAGCGTAGGTTCATTCAGCAATCGATTGTAAACGCAGTGTTGGACTTGAGAGAGCGCAATAGAGCAAACACCTACAATAAATGCTGAATAATCTAATTTTTTTTTTCACAAAATGATTAATACAACCGCCAACAATTCGGTGAGAAAGCAAAGGAAAATGATTAATAATCATCAAAATTTCGTAAGTCCAAAGAAAAACCAAAATTTCAGGGCTAGCGAGAGTGGAAAAGCATAAGTTTGGGATTCTAAAGAAAACAAATCGTTGTTTTCGTTCCCATATATTATTCCCCATACTTAGCAGTTTTGCGTCAACGGTAAAGGAATTGGTTACTGTTTAACAAGATCACATATATATCATAACTAACAGCACAGGAAATATTAAAAATCAGAATTAAAGAATTAATATTTTCAGCAGCTGTTACCAATGATCACCGGCGTTTTTATGCCTTGAGTAGTCTTTAGCGGTTGTCTAGATGGTTTGCTTGTTGGTTCTTTCCACCATCCTTTGCCAAAGGTTAGTGTTACATTCAAAACTAGCACGCAAAAAATCGATCTCCTGCTTAGCATTTTGAGGGATCCTCGAGCTGTCGAACTTGTGCAAAACTGTGACTCGACTAGTGAAGGTTCTTTGTCAAGAAAGAATGGTATAAATGGTTTCGAGCCAATCACATGCTAGTTCCAACCCTCCGCCCCAGCAGCAAAGGCTTTGTGTTACTTTCTAAACGTGGAATGTTTACACGGTATATAATTTTCAATCAACGTGAGATGACAGCTAAGGAAACGTTTATAATTAAACATCACACTTTTCTCTTTGGAAAACAATGTAGGTTATCAATGCAGGAAATCAATGCAGGTTACAAAAGTTCAGCTGAAAAAGTATTGGAGGTGATAAACTAATTTAGAAAAAGCTTTTTTATCTGATTTTGTAAAATTAACTTTACTTCTTTTATGAGCTGGCCGGACATTCAAGAAAACATAACATCTTGCAGGGACGGGAATGAAATTTCGGGCAGTAACCGAAAAGTGCATGAAATTAACGATTTCTTTCTGTTTCAAGTTTTGATGGGAATACCGTGCTTGGCTTGGAATCAACAATGGCTTGAAAACTGACGTTGTGAACCAATTAAGAGCCATTTTACTGTGATTTGCCTAACTAAATGAACAACATAAATTTACCCAAACTTACTATTGAAAAGAAACCAGAAGCCATTTTGAACTTGCCCTACGAATGTAGGGGGGGGGGGGAAGGGAACCGGCTGGAATGAAAGAAAAGCTCAGAAACCTTTTTGTGTGTAAGTGAGCTTACAGCAGGCAAAATGATAAAAGTATTTCTCACCTTAAAAGATAAACTTTGGTTTTAGGTCTGTTTGAATCATGGTGTGAACGCTCTCCGCCATTGTACCCTCTGAAAACAAAGACATAAATAATTGGCACTTTTATTACTTCTGTGATCGCGCTTCTCTAAAAAAAAGACAAAAAAAAAACAAAACAAATCACTTTTTGCAAAATATAATTGAAAATGTATTTTCCTGAAAACTTTTGCTCACTAAATAGAATCATTGGACGCTGTCTGGGATAATTCCTTTTTTTTCCTGTTTCCCTTCCCCCGTTTACTTATTGGTCAGCCAATACTCTCTTCCTTTAATATATTCACACTTCTTAGTTAAAACAAAAGAGTCCTAATAGAATTCTGCACGTCCGTATCTCAAAATATTGCAAAATGATCCACTCCAGGATATGACTTCTGGGTGACTTAATATTTTCTTACCGCTGGCTCCACTTATTGCAGGCTTCTAGACTGCGTTTGTTAACTATTCCATCCCCGTCACCATAAGTTACCGTTGGCTGTTTATCCGGGAATTCTCCATTCTTGAAATGATACTTCTCTATTGTAGGAACTCTGGTTCCATACAAACAGTGTGCGGTCACCTGTGGAGAATGCTCAGCTAGCGGATATGTAATAATTTTGACCCTTTTCCATACTTTTTTTTTCCGAGCGGGAAGCCAATAGCTCCGAAAAAATCGTCGTAGTCGTTAACAGTGTACGAACGGTTATGTGATTCCACCATTGGGGCTCGGTAACACATAAACCACACTCGTTTGCGTGCGCACCACCTTCCTGAGCTTCAGCGAGTCCCTGGAGGCTGTCGGGATGTCGGAGAAAAGCAGGCTTAGTTCGGCCGCAGTTCCGCCCCAAACTCGTGATGAAAACAAAGACAAAAAATCATTCGCAAATAAAATGGTGTTTTGCGCACATTTGTATACGCGTGTCTGATGAATTATTATTGTGGGCTGCTGTGGCTTAGAATGAGCAAACTCAATTTCTTAAACACAGAATTGAGCCACAGAGGGACCTCTGAGCGATTAAACTTAGCAGTTTATGGCATAAGGTAAGAACGAGATAGACTTGAGCCATATTGAAGAGATCTCAGCGGTTGTATTAGAGCAGAAGGAATATGTAGTAGAGGGGGGTGTCACCGTATGGCTCCATGATATTCTTAAGATCCCCCTCCCTCTTTGATGGTAGTCAATTTTCTATCACCCCTCTTTATACTCAGTTAGCGATGACTGATCCCCCCCCGTTCTCCCTGAAAACCATGTGATCCTCCCCCTTCCCTTAAGAGCAACATGATCGATACTGAGGGAATCCCACCAAAATCTCAGCAGGATCCAGAGGAGTTTCATCAAAGTAACGTGGGTATCTGGATGAGGCTACTTTAGTATTGCGCGCCTTGATTTTTATTTGGTGTTTTTCTATTTCAAGAAGCTTGACCTTAAACCCTACCCTAAAAGCTTATTAGTCGCGAATTACGTACCCTCGAAAGTAAGTACCAAAAAGTTCGATAAATTGTGCGCGATTTTAAATTTTATGCTTGAAAAAGGTTTCTAAAGGACTGCCTATGAGCTATCACACGAAATTCGGCGAAACAACATATTTTGTCAAGCTTACAACGAGCATCACAGGTTCTTTATCAAGTCTTGGTTTCATAGTAGTCTTAATAGCTTGCTCGTTCAAGATATTTTTTTTTTGCTAAATCCGCCGTGAGAAAACGATAAATTATTATCGCTTAAATTAAATGGTAATTCATAGTTAGCGATGATCACAGGTGTCTTTATCTTGTTTGAAGGATATTCCCCCTAGTCTGTCCCACAGCGAAAGTCCATTTGAAGGGGAGAAAAGGCAAATCAGTGCTATTGTTTCGAGAAAAATTGTGCTGACCATCATGAGAGTTAGGTGTCGACTGCGAATTATGTATGTTGTGTATCTATTTATTACTTCAGTAAAAGAGACACGCGCTCCTCCGTTGCTTTCCATCTCATGCGGTCTTTTTAATCTATCCTCGTGCAATCATTCTACTTGGTAACTGTATACTGTGATATCACTCAGTAGTCCTGCAGCTGTTCCATACTACGACTTCCCTCGCATCTTTTCCATGTTCACTTAACATCTCAGTTGAAATTTAACATTAAACTTAAAGTTAGGCCAAAAAATGCGATAGGAGCCAAAAACTTTGTTTGGATTCAGATAAATTTATTTGTAATTTCTCATGACCAGCTGTTAAAACATTTGTAACATTTCTCGCGTTCGTTTAAATGGTAATTCATTCGTTTAAAATGACGCACAATGAACGAGACAGATGAAAGAGAATTTTGAATAGCTTTCGCTTGGTTTCAATAACAAAGTGTGCCAATATTTTCTTTCCAAAAGTAAACTGCGTGTTGAGAGCAGCACACCTTTACAGGCAGCTTTATTTCCTTTCATAACAATCATTGTGTGACAATTGTTTTGAGACGTAAAATTGTTACAACTCTCATGACAGCCTCTGCCAATCTAAAGTCTTCTCAGCACTGTATAGATGTAAGCCCATGGCTCGGAAAGAAATAAAGTAAACAGTTGTAATCTTTAACCCCCGCGCGGCCAGGGTCCAAAAACCGCTTTTTCTCTGGGGAGGGGAGCCTTCAAACCAGCTCGGAATGGAAAACCGTCGGCACCAGCGAGTAGTCCTTCAGAGGCTCTGTCCATATCTATGGGTCTGCGGCCCGTCGGCCAGTTCCTTGTAGCCGTTTATGGGGCGAAAGTTTAGTTAGGGAAATCACCCTGAGATCAGCATGTGTATTCCCCATACTGTTCTTTATGCATTTCCCATGGCACTGACAAGGCGAGAAATCAAGAGATTTTTAAAGTTGCGATCAATTCCTTTATTCTCTTAAGCCTGTAATTTAATCCAGCAGGGGTATCCTTGTGGGAAATTCGATGCTGGTCACCCTTAGGGGTTAAATGATTAAAGAAAATCTTTTGTTTATGGTCATTAGGAAAAATAAGTAATAGAAAAAAAAAAAGAAAAAGAGAAGAAAAAAACGACAACTTGGAAGATCAAAATGGAAAAAAAGAGCCAAACTGTTTAATTTCAAGTTGTGATTTGGATCTTTGAAAGCCACAGTTTACAATTAAAACAAGAGAGCCTTTATATAATTCTGCACGTTTTCGTCGCTCAACAATCCATTATGATTCACTCCTGGATATGTTTTCACGGTGACATTATTCGGCTGCCGCTGGTTCCACTTATTGCAGGCCTCTAGACTGCGTCTATTCACTGTTCCATCCCCGTCACCATAGATAACATCTGGCTGAGTATCCGGAAATTCTCCTTCTTTGAACTGGTACCTCTCTCCTGTTTTTACCCCAGTTCCATACAAACAGTGAACAATTACTTTCGGAGAATGCTCTGTTAACGGATATGTGATGTTTTCGACTAATTTTCGTAGTTTTATCCCGAGTGGGAAGTCAATATCTTGGAAGAAACCGTCGTAGTCTTTGACAGTGTAGTTACGCTCTGGAGTTATCGCCAAGACTTCATCCGCAGACCATAATTCTCGACTTGGGAGCAGATAAACGTTACTTGTATCCGTGCGCTGTTCGCCTCTGACTTTCAACGGATTCACGAGGATCTTCGGGATCCCGAACGTGTTTCCGGAAGAAAACAAGCTAATTTGCTCTGCAGTCCCGCCCCACACTCCTTAGAAGAAAAAAAGAAGAAAACATAGTTTGCAAATAATACGATGTTTTGCGCACTTTTGCGTGAGCATGTCTGATGAAACTGTGGCACAGAATAAACAAACTCAATTCCTGAGCACGGGTCTCAGTTTTCCATCTGATAGGTAAAAACGTGACAAGAAATTTTCGAAACTTAGTAGAGCAAAACCAATACAAACATCCGATGCAGACACACAGCTGAAAATGTCTCTAAACACGAGCTATGGGCTTCAAAGCTCAAATCGCTTTTATTCTTTTTCTTACCTGAAAGAGTTATCCATTGTAAAATATATCTATCCTTCCAGTCTTGCGTTTGTTTGTTCAGGAAAACCAAAGTATACGGACATCCTAAACTATGACTCATCAAAGTTATCTTCTTGTTGCCATTTGCGGAATATGTATCCTCGATCAATGTCTTCAGTTTTGAAAAATATTCTGACTGTGATTCTGGAAGAAAAATTGAAAATATCTTATTTAGCAGAGGGATCCGTTCGATTTTTAGTACCAAGGCCCTTTCGGCTGATAGAGCCGAGCAGCTATGGGGACGAGAGTGAATTCTCAACAAGCAACTAGAGTGTATATGTTCAACAAGCACTGTTTACGTGCAACTTACCAGGCCCATAGCGGAAGTCATATGGAGCCGCTCTGACAGTCTCCCCACGCTGGTATCCCCAAGAGACCAAGGTCTCTACCATTGGCGCAAAATACTTAATCAATCCGGTCGTGTCCAAGTATTCGATTGTACTGGTCTCACCAAATCCGGGAACTCTTGTTTCCACGCCCGGTGCGTTCTTCATGGTCATAGTGCTTTCATCGTACACAAGTCTAATTATTGTCAGAAAAAGAAAGAAAACAACAAGATTAGAATTATGATTGTATTCATTCTACTCTGCAACCAAAGATATTTGTACATTTTCATATTTTGATAGCAAAGCCATTTTCATTTGCTCCACTCAAATGAGATAATTCCCCAGATTGGGTCACGCAATCTTTGATAGACATGATGCGTGACCACAGGACATTGTCGAACAGAAGTAGGGTTGAGGAAAATAGAGAATATTGTGCCAAATGACAACAAACCGAGTCAATAAACTACTGATAATCAAGTTGCCTTTTAATATTGACTTGCCCTCCAATAACATAATAATTTTCTTCGTGAGTGAGCTACGAAAGGTTATTTAAAACGATTTTGAGCCACAGTAAAAGGTTTTTACCACCTCATATTATCCGCCCAACAGTCTATAGCAAAGGGTAAGAGCGAGGACTTCTTTAGCCACAATGTGAAGTAGTCATCGGTTGTTTTGGAGCAGTACCAATGAAGAGTGTTTGGTTTATTAAGTTTGGCTTGAAGTTGGCTTCCACCGGTTCCAGGCACTGACGAGAGAAACAAAAGCAAATCATACATCGAGGTATCACTGTCTCTACCCTGGTGGGTGTAGTTTGATTGAAAGCTTTTTGGTCAAAATGAACGACTTAAATATCATGGACAAGGCGGGAATCCCGGTTAAAACGAAGCGGGATCCAGGTAAAAACGAAGCGGGATCCCGGAGGAATCTTCCTTCTACAATAGATGAGGCCAGATTGGTAGTAGTTACTTTAATTTTTATCGGGCGATTCTCTATCAAAAGAAACCGGTAATTTGCGTTTTTTGACTACCTTTTGTGAGGCCATTGTTGTTTCCTTGCTGTCAAAGGTAAATTTGCTTGTTGCACAAAAACTTCCTCGATGATGCGTGACGCCTACATGAGATCACGTTTCAACTTATACTTGCAGTTGCGTGTTTATTCCGTTGACCGACCATCACAGAAAACTGTATTCGTTCATACTTATTTTAGAATCTCGTTAATATAAATATCAGGATTTTCGCTTTTAATCGTGCTCATTCGAGTTTCGATCTTGGGTTAAGGATCATTCTCAGAAAAAAAAATCAAATATATGCAAAACCGAAACAGAGCAAAATTATGGACAGTTACGTAATTTGCATGTAAAATAAATTGCGCGCTATTTGTAAATTATGGAGGCTTGAAAGGGCCCAGCAAAAGCCTAACTATGAAGCAAAATCCGACGAAACGATATCTTTTCTGAAGCCAAGAGGGGAGATTGGAGATTTTCTGTCTAACTCTAGAAGGATTCTTGATCGTTCGTCCCCTGATATCTAAATTGGCCTTAAGAATGGCTATAGATTGTAAAATTAACAATTCTTAATTACCAATTATGATTGGTGTTTGTATCTCATTTGGAGGACGCTCCGTTGGTCTGTTCCAAACCCAAAATCCATTTACAGAGGAGATAAGGCAGAGAACTGCTACTGTATGAAGAGAGACAGAACCCATCATTGTGAGAGTGAAGAGAAACTGATAATTGCGTTACATACGTTCCGTAAAAATTAATATGAGCTTTTGAACGGCCAATCATGCGCTAGCGCCAGTCGACTTGGCTCGGCACTGGACGCGTGGAAAATGGAACTATTTGGTAATTTTCCAAAGACTTGTCAACAATGCTGAATATAATTTCGGATGATTGAAGTTTTGTTTTGTATTACTTTCTATTTATCTTGGCATTCTAAAGAATCAGTCTTTTTTCTCACATCATCAGCTGTTGAAACATTCATATTATTCTTGTGCTCCTTTGAAATGATGCACAATAAACTGAGCAGCACAGCTGGAAAACAATTTTAAATGACCTCTTTAAAGGTTTCAATTAAAAAAATTTGTCGGGTTTTGCTTTCCTAAAGAAAACTGGTCTTTCAATGCACCACAATGTTTTTTTCTTATCTTTGTTTCCTGAAATAATCATGAAAATACGGATATTTGTTGAGACATATGCTTACGTGGCCTCTGATTCCGAGGGTGTTGAGGGAAGAAGGGAAAGGTAAGCAAATCTGAGACGTAGTTAAGGCTTTGCGCAACTTTTGAGAATTTAGTCTCCTTTTCGATGAGGCCATGTAAACACGGAAACAGGTCCTTTAATGTCTTTCCAAAATATTTCTCAATAATAATGCCATTGTTTTTTATCGGTGAATTCTGTCCATTTTGCTATATTTTGTGCGTCACAGAAAACGGACTTCAGTTATCGGTGAAGAGTACTTAACACCTCTAACGCAATAGGGAGCTCTGACTACCGCAACAACGCGAAAGTTACACACATTAATGGACGTACACACTGATGAACGCATCACAGGGGCATGCTACATTCTCATTACACTGCTGATCTTCAAGGTCTAATTAAGTTTCTCAATCAGTATCAATCAATCAATCAATAAACTTTAGTTACCCTCGAATTTACAATGTAGCATTTGGGTGCTAATATCTAAAGTATCTTGATATCAAGTCTAAAAATGGCAAAGTTTCGTGCAAATCGGCCCTTTTCGACATATTGTGGGATTTTTGTTATTACCGTATGCTAAATTAAGCTCCGGCTGTCAAGATCAAACAGGGTCAATGATTTATGCACAATGGTCTACTCTACAAGAAAGCGCAACAACACATCACAGGTTCTCTCTGAAACCTTATTTCTTGGTCGCTTTTTTTCCTTGCGATTTACGTCATCTGAATTAGACGCGACGATTCACTGGTTACATTATTATCTTAAACGATCATCACTGGTGTCCCTATCTCGTTTGGAGGACGTTCCTTTGGTCTGTTCCATAACGGAAAATCCATTTGCAGAGGACTCGACACCAGTCTGCTATCATGCTCAAGGTGAGAATCCCAGATGACCTGGAGCGATTTTACACAATTAGTCAACCAAAACAAAAATGGCGGATGTGGACGAAGACATAGTCAGAGAGGATCTGAGTGACAGGTAAGTTTCTTTGTTTTCCTCTGCATAATTTTCACTACTTTCCTAAGAATAATTTTCAAATTATTCATATTCTCAGCTAAAATGCGTCATCGTAGAAAATGTTTGAAATTGCTCGAATGCTCGCAGTAATTTGATAATTTACCGCTATAATTTTTGTTGATGATGATCGTTTATTCCGGGTTCACTTACCTCTTGTAGAATAGAGCGCAGTCCGGATGAAATCTGGAATTACCTCAACAGCGTGGTATGTCAAAATCTGTTGTAAAATTCTAACATCTTCTGGCATCGAGTAGCACATAGAAACATTTTTCGAATTTGTAGGTACCGTCTAGTTTATTCTATGGTTGAAGTATCTTATCATTTCCGTACGTAACACTTGCCGATGAATTTTAATAAATGACTGCAAGGTGAATATTTTATGTCTTAATTTACTTTTACAAATTGATACGAAAAATCAGTGATCAAACGCTCGTTATTATCGTAAATTCTACCCACTATGAGTTTAATTCCCACACATACCATAAATCTTTCGCGTGAAACCAAAGAAAACAAAAACAGCAACAAAACAGTTTAAATTGTAATCTGCAACGATTTCCTTACAATACAAACAATGAACTCTGTCTATGCAGATATCTCATACGAAATGGACTTCTCTTTTATCACCTTTAATTTGTTTGTTTGACTTTTCGATAATGAATCATACCTCGATATGAATAATTTCTTAACTAATTTTAAACAAAATTGTGATATACCTCCTTAATTGTGTCATTAGGCGCCAGCGGTTACTTCACCTCTAAGTTGTTTTTTTCTCTTCCTTTTTTTTTTTTTTTTTTAATTCAGGAGTGTGTAGCAACTGATATTTCTCCAGAGACTGCGGAGAGCCTGTTTAGAATACTAGAAGATGACGGCAATGAAGAACCCCCATGCCAAAATAGCAACACAGTCACTGTTACTTCAGATGACCAGAAACAAGAACAAGCTGTTAAATGTCTTGTCAAAATGATACATCTTATCCACCAAGCAAATCTTAACAAAAGGCAACAAGTCCATGTAAGTGTAATATTTACCTTAAACTCCCATCAGTGATCAAGACATAATTTCTCCTCACAATATTAGTACAGTATCAAGCAGACAAGTGATGAGAACTAAGATTAAGGGATGATTATTTGATCTAACACCAAATTCTCCAAACTTGCATTTTAAGAATTGTTTGGCAGATAGTAAGGAGAATTACAAAATTGCGATCTTGAAGAGAAGTCACAGAAGCTGGAGTAAAGTGTCTGATGTAACATCAAAGTTTGATTTCATTTTATTGTCTATTTTTAGTGTCTTGTAGATACACCTTCATTGTTGAAGAGATTCCTGGAAATTATACAGCTCAGGTAACATGCAGTTAGATACAGTATATCTCAGAAAATGATGAATGCAATGCTCAGTTAGTTAACATTTGACAGAAGTTATTCAATTTTGACTATCCAACAATTTAATATGAATTTAAATGTTTTCTTGTGCATTTATGGACAATTTTAGAGGTTTCCAAGCTCATTTCTCAAGTACTGTCTTCATGGTGGGTAAGTGTCTGGTGAATTTATGAGAAATAAAAATAAGAACTCAAAAATTTTCAACACTTTTTAGCAGTATTGGTTAACCGAGAAATTTTCTTTCTTATATCTAGATGCAATTCCTAAGATTCTGGATTGTGATAACTCAGCAGTTCTTCAGGTGACTAAGAGGCTTTTGATCCTTAACATCTTAACCCTTTAACTCCCAGATCAAATTTTTAATTCTCCTTACTCTCAACCATACAATTCTTATGACATTAGTTCAGAGAATTTGGTATTGGATCAACTAATTATCCCTAAATTGATATTTTTCTTTATTCTCATCACTTATCTGGTTGATATTGTATTGATATTGTAAGGAGAAATTCTGTCTTGGTCACTCATGGGAGTTGAAGGGTTAATATCAGTATGCATATTCTCCTTACTGTTCTCTGTACATTTCTTAAGGTGCTGACAGGGAGAATTTGTTTAACAATCAAGAGCTTCTTTACTTGGTGATCATTTCCTTTATTCTCCTGACCTTACTGTTTGATTCAGGGGTGATACTGTGAGGAGAATTTAGATTCTAGTCACTCTCATCTTTATCTCTTAGACAAATTTCTCTTAATTCAAGTCTTCATAAATGACATTGATTTTAATCATCATAATTACTTGACTTTTTATGATACCAACATGATATTAGTTAATTTTTTTCAACAGGCTATATTTCTTGGAGTTGGAAGTTTTGAACCTGTCATCTCTGTTTTGAACTTTGAGGTCAGATGTTCTGAAAACCTTTTGGATGATTCCTACAGCTAAATTTAACAATTCTCAATTGCTGATGTTTTTATCCTTTTCCTATGGGTCCATAAAACTTATCTAAAACCAGTCTCTAGAAGTCTGCAATATGACATACATGTGTTAATTTGATTGACAGCTCCCTCTGCACCCCTCCTCACTCAAATAATTCATTTTTGCTTATTTTGCTATGCTTTTACTTCAATTCAAACTGTTCCTGGATTTAAAATCTTGGCCTTGTTACTAATTAGGGGTTTTGCAATAATTGAATTTAACCCTTTAACTCATAAGATCTGATTGTCAATTCTCCTTCTCCATTAAGCTGTTACACATTTCCTTCTAAGTTAGCAGCAAGAATTTGGTTTTAGTTCCAGATAACAACTACATGATAGGATTAAATATTCTCATTATCTGTTTGCTGGATAATGTATGAATATTGTGGGGAGACGTTACATGCTAATCACTTATGGGAGTTAAGGAGTTAAAGTGACCAGGAATTTTAGTCTTACTGTGTATTTTGAGATATTAAGTATTAATTGATGTTACTTATTTAAACAGTGTGAAAATGAAGAGACACAAAATGTGCTGTACAAGAGCTGTGTGCTGGCAATTCAAAGAATCATGTGTGCCTCACAAGCAGCAAAGGTGACCAAAGTGTATGACATGTTTTGATAAATTGTACAAGGTTGTAGTTGATAGTGCAGGAGCCATTGCTTAAGTGGTTACCATGACGTACTGTGGATAAGCCCTTCGCATTCTTACAGCTGTATACATTTTTTTCATACTGTTCTCTTTACATTCCCAACTTCCCTAAAGTGCTCTTAAGACGAAGCTTTGTTTAGTTTGTCTTCCAAATCAAATTTTTATTAAATGTCTTGTTATAATTTATAGATCATTCAGCATATTAAACTTTATTCCTTCCTTCACACCTAAATTTAAATCAACCATCAACAGTGTTGGTGGTCAAAGAGTTGCTTTGTGAATGTGTCACTGCTAAATTCTTATTCATTTCATTTTTAACTATCTATTATCACTGCCCAGATGCTCCACTGCCAAATGAATTCAAATTATTCATATTTTTCAGGAAGCATTTAAAGATAGCGTGGGGTTTGAAAGGATTTGTAGATACTTAAAAAGACTCCATGCTCCATCAAGAGAATTCATTCACCTCCTATTCAATTGGGTAGGTACTGTTGGCTTACTTCTTAGTTGTTAACAACTTAACAACTTAACAAGTCCTCTGAATGATGAAACAAGTGTGAAAAAAAATGCTGCCTTTAATTCTCAGTTATCACAAGAAATATGATTAACACACAACTCTCTACAACTGACCTCGGCTAGGCTCAAACCTGGACCACTCGATCCGGAGTCGGGCGCACTAACCATGAGGCCACCGCGCCTCCACAATTGTGGTCATTGTGTTGTGTTCTTAGGCAAGACACTTTACTCTCACAGTGCTTCTCTTCACCCAGGTGTACAAATGGGTACCAGCAAATATGCTGGGGGTAACCCTGCGATGGACTAGCATCCCATCCAGGGGGGAGTAGCAATACTCCTAGCCGCTACATGCTAAGGAAACAGGAGTTAAGCACCGGCCCCATGGGCCACTTGGGCCTGTATAAAGGCTTTACCTACTTACTTTACTCTCTACAACTGAAGGAAAATTCCATGAAAGGTTTAGAGCCATTCAATTTTTTTTTCAATTTTAGAGTCCTAACTGCTTTTACATCAAAGTTATGCTGTTAATTTAATTTTTCATGTTCTTATATATATATCAATGTTCTTTAAAGGTAGTGGAAGGGATTTATGGTAAAGAAAACAAAGTGATTAACAATGTTGATGTTGTGCTACTTCTTCTGGATTGGCTTCCATCTTTATCAGCAGAAAACAAGAGGTAAAAAGTGTGCTGCTAATATTAATAGTTAGCATTACTGGGCTTAAAATTTACCATCTCTCTTATTTCTATCTACAAACATTATGCTATTGACATTGCTGATTGTAGCAGTATGCAGGACACATGTCATATGAACTTCATAATAGACCTTGCTCACCATGGAGTCTCTGTGGCTTAGTGATTAGGGCATCAGAGTGCGGAATCCGAAGGTCTGATTCATTGATTTCTCATGGGGACTCAGAATTTTTTTTTGGTCCCACACTCGTGACAAGATGAAAAAAACAGCTTTCTCTAATAATTATTGTCTTTCAAAAAGAATTTTTATCTTTCTATGTACATTTCCAAAATATCCATTGCCCATATCAAAGTAGTGTCCAGCAGGATATAGCTGATCACAAAATAATTTGTCTATTTTCTACTACAATTGACAATTTGGCTTGTTGTTTTCCTGTCTCATTTTAGGCATGTAACAGAGTTTATCAGACACTTGTGCAAGTTTTCAATGCGCAATGCTATGTTGTGTAGCACTAATGGTGTGTTCAATAAAGTTGTGGCACTTTTGGAGTCTGATGCACAGAACATTGATACCATCTGGGCAGGTATGTATATGTTTGGTCTAGATGACATAGCAGGATAGTCACATTTTTTTAAGAATCATTGTCTCTGATTTGTTAGAAAAATCAGAGGCATCACTACATAAATGACCAAGTCTAAGAACTGCGTAAAATTTTACATTGGTAAAACAGGAAAACATGTAGGTGACAAACTCCAAGAGCACCCTCTCGACATAGAAAGGAATGACAAGAAAGTATCAAAAGTGGTTGTTTCTTTCTGACTGACTGTTTGACTCACTGACTGATGGACTGGTGGACTGACTAACCAACTGACTGACTGACTTGTTGTTAGATTGACCTATCAACTGACTTTTGACTGTGTCAGTGACAGACTGACTGTCTGATTCACGTGACCTACAGCCAAAAAAGTGCCCAACTGATTAACTTACACTTGTATAGATTTGATTGATTTGACCTCTTGCTTTTTATTAACTCTCTAATCTCAAATTGTCTCTTTGTTCTCATCTGGTTCTGTAGAATCCCTGATTGGTATACTAGAGGCCATTGGTGCACATTCTGTAACATCACGTGAGCTTAAACAGATGATTGGACTCTTCAAGCCTCTAGAGGATGGTTCACAGGTAAAAAAAAAACTGTTAAGCAAACACCATCTCTGTTCATATTTTATCGTAACAACAACAGGACTTAGGCCTACCTGTACACTGTACCTAATAATTTTTTCTAAATGTCAAACAGTAACTTCATGAACAAACGGAATTCATTTTAATAGAGAGACGTTGCTCTTATTTGTTTGCTCGCTTGATAGAGATCAGGGGGTCTACTCTCCTTTAAAATGCCACACCTCCAAAGGTACAATGAGTACCCCTGTCATATCTGAAGGAGAGTACCTCTGTTGCTATGGGTTGTGACAATTCATTTAGAGAAATACAATCATCATATTATTTAAACTCTTTGGGCCGGTTATTTACACGAGGTCAACCCAAACTGCGGTTTTTACGAAATCAGTGGGCCTCTGGCTTTCTCTATAAGAGGGTTAATTTAATGAAATAAATGCCCTTTCACTGTTAGCTTTTAGCCCTCTTGACACTGTTCACAAAAGTAAATGTTTAGAGAAAACGTCCAGCTTGAATAACGATTGTTTAAGACGCGGTTTGTTAAACAATGGCTAAACTTTCTTTAAATAACCGGCCCCTTAAGTTTTTTTTCTTTCAAGTGAATCTTGTTAGATTTATTTACCAAGTCTTTTTTTTTTAAACAACCAACAGGTACCATTTGCTTACAGAGTCCTGCAGGCCTTGGTAAAAATGTCATTTAGTAGCAGCCGTTTGAGAGCAAAACACTTCTTTGACCTTCACCACCCCTCTGCTGTAAGTAATTGCTACGCTGTGTTTTTAAACAATCAATCTCTCCCCCACCGACTCCACCCCATACATGTATATTCGGGGTGCCTCAAGTTTAACTCTACGAAATGGAGCGTTTGACGTCAGCCGAATTGTGAGATAATTCTTCAGGATTCGGCAAGTTCATCATTTCTTAAGCATCACAATGGGCCAAATCTTATCCTCGTAACCAGCTTTTTACAATACTGATAACGGTCCTGATTTTTTTTCCTGATTTTTTTTCCGCGCCATTGGCGGAAAAGCGGGAGAAAGAAAACCAGCAGAAAAAAAATAATAAAGGAGTCATTTACTTTTCTTTGTCGGTCCTTACGGAAAAAAAAAAGGTGCTCTCGGTCTTGAGTAGATTCCTCGGCCTTCGGCCTCTGACCGCACTTAAGACCTCGAGGACAGTTTCTTCCCATGCGGACCTTCCGCTCGGTTCCAACGTATTTACATTTTCAGTAAAACTTTCAACCGTTGAAACTCCAAGAGTAGGTAGAACTTATAACAGGAGGCAGATCCAGGAATTTTTGAAAGGGGGGTTCCAAACTGTGATTACAATACACGTGAATATCTTGACAGTAGCTTAAATATGCTTTTCCCCCCAAAGGGAATCTCAGTTCTAGGTATGCAGAAATGGCCTGGCCATAGCTTCACGTTTCACGCTTGGATTTGTCTGGACTCCGATAAAATCAAGGAAAGGAGTGATCTGAGTGTTGATAGAAAAATATTTCACTATCGGCGTATGCTCTACAGGTAAATATTTTCATTGAATTCATTGAGGACTGCTACCTGGTTAGCTTCCATCTAGTCATCAGTAGATCCAGGGGGAGGGTGTACGGGTTTTCGATCCCTCGATTCCCCCCCCCCTTGTGAGTTTTTTCAATAATTCTCTGGCAACAAAATTCTTGCAAAGACAGGATGGTATGTTACCATTCTATATGAAGTCTCGAGCCTAGGCTTCGATCCTCCCAAAGAGGAGCGTGGGCTTGATTCACTCCAATAGCAGGTTTCATAAGCTGCTTGTTTCTTTACAGTTTTTTCACTACTTCTGGAGCTGGGTTAGAAGCGTTTTTTTCTTCCACCGGACACCTTGTTGTGGCAGTGTGCAACAAAAAGGAATACTCTTCTGTTACTGTTCCAGTTTGCCAGCTCTGTGATCAAACATGGGTACGATTTTTTAATGTGCTTCTTCTACAGAGTAGAACAAAAAGAGTCCCAAAAATTTATCAATTTATAGGTTAATAAAGCCAAGATAACAACAACAGCTTTTTCTTTCTATTTTCCTATCATAACGCTCTCGAGATTGCTAAACCTAACACACATGTTAACCTTCTAATGGCCTAACTTACCACACTGTTTCAGACCTCATGTTAACTCGCAATAATTGTTTGGGCCTACAATATTGTTTATCACTGACAATCTTTTGTTCAGCATTCTGTAGCGGTGTCACATATACCTTCCCGTCGTCCTTTCGGGCAGAGCACTGTGTCTGTTTATGTGGATGGTGTGCTTAAGATCAGCTGCCCAATGAAGTTTCCTTCTCTCTCAGAGGTAAGCACAGTTTTGAATGGTTAAGAGCGCAATCACATTGATAATAGAAAAAAATCTTTTGTCGGTACGGTCCAATGAACTTCACTTTAAAATCCGACGTATATAGTTTTTTTAACTTGTGTTAATTTTTTTCTGTGTTAGGATATTTCCAGTTGCCAGATCGGCTCAGGTTCCCTTCAGACCAACAGTTCACCACAGGAGTACCAGGATGTGAACACCAGAAGCGGTCAGAAGAGGTTCACTTTCCCCCTCTCCTTCCCGGGGCTGTCGACAGAACCCAGCTCACCCCACTGCTCCACCATATCTGCCGGGGCGCAGGATTATGTGTGGGGGGTACCAACATCTCTGCATGGACAATTAGGTCCCGTATGTGTGTTTAGCGAAGGACTACAGGAAAATTACATCACTGCGTTGTATGTGGCAGGTAAAACCTGAAAATATCATCTTTGATTTGTCTTGATTCAACCAAGAATATTGCATTTCGAGCGTTCTGATTGGTTTACTAATCTCCGGTTATCAACTCATATTCTGAGTCACCATATATGGAAATGCATTACGCCAACTGTTGCGGAACTGAAAAAAAGCTCATAATATCCAAACGTCTAGGATTCGATGATATTTAATTTAAAAAAAAATTGTTCCATTCGCACTCGATGGATACGAGACTGGTCATAGCCAACTCAGCGCTACGCGCCTCGTTGGCTATTTATTACCACATATCCAACGCGCGCTCATGAAATAATAATGCCCCCTCCCCTTCCATATGACTAGTTTGTGGGTATCAGTCTTGTAGGCTTTTTGGGACGTGCTTAAATAGTTTTCGTTTCTTAACGTTTTAGGTCCAAATGATCTTAACCTGTTTCAACCAGTTGATGCCTCTGCACAACTCGCGCTGAATGACTTAACTCCAAAACTAGTCCTTTTTTACATTTCAAAGGTAAGCTATTGATTAGTAGTTTTGTAAAAGTGGATGGACCAACGACAGCGAAGTGTTATGGTGCCAATTTTATTCATTGTATAGAAGGCGATATAAATGTTGTTAATGTTGTTTTAGGCTGGCCGGGATCATGATCTGTTGTGTAGCGATTTAACACCAGGTCAACCAGGAAGAATCCACTTGGATGGCAGGTAACAACTGTACTGTGCAATGAAACTTGTTTCAGAAAAATGAAGTTGTTACTCAGGTTTTCATCAACGTGGGAGAAAGAAAATCGTGAGTTCTCCATGAGGATTTGCCTTCCAGTCTTTCGGATCTTACTTTTCAATGTTCCACAACAAAGCTACTGAGATCTAGAAGGATGAGGAAGCGTATCACTGTTTCATAAATAGACTCCATGTTGCCGTGGGTTTGTACAGTAATAGATCACAAATGACGTCAAAATGTGGTAAAAACAAATAAGGTGGCACATGAGGGGCAGTCGGGTGTGTAACTGATGTTCTGACTACGTCTTGACATCTGTGATTTATTGTTGTACAGACCCACGACAACGTGAAGTCTATTTGTTTTATATAATAAAGAAGTAAACATTATTGATGATGACGTCATCTCTGCGTCAGTCCTTTAAAAGATCATAAACGTGTATGAATCAGATTATTAACCCTTTCACTCCCATGAGTGACCAAGACAGAATTTCTCCTTACAATATAATTACAATATAATATCAAGCAGGTAGGTGATGGGAATAGAGACAAAGATCAATTACTAATTGATATGATACCAAATTCTCCTAGTTAACATAATGAGAGTCGTTTGACAGACAGTAAGGAGAATTAGTTATGAGACCTTGGGAGATAAAGGGTGAAATAAAATGCCTTAACTAACCATAGAGTTCTCTGTAGCTCAGAAGAACATCGGAGCGCAATTCCTAAGATGCATGCAGGTTCAATTCCTCGAAGAGAAAGCATTGGATTTTTTTCTCTGCCCCCGGCTGGTGACAAGACGAAGATCTCCCTGCTTTATTTCGTGACGGAGCCTAACATTTCCCCTCTTCTTTCTTCTATTCAGTCACATGACACTAGCTGATCCTAATAGTACGCAGAACGCAATTCACATATGACCTTAATAATAGCGTAGCTCACCACAGTCTCTGTGGCTCAGTAGTGGAGGGTTGGAGCGCGTAATCCAAAGGTCTGAGTTACGAATGCTCGCGGGGGAATCAGAACCTTTTTTTTTTTGCACGCTTTTGGCAAATAGATATTAACCTCCCTTAATAGTCCATTGTACAGTTGCATGCTTCGTTGCCAAGCCTTTGAACAGGAGTGAGGCTAAGGGTGACCTTATTATGATACAAACCTTGCCGCTTTTCAAATGCAAATTACTTTGTTATCATACTAACTAGATACTGGTCTCTATCACAAGGTTATCTTCAACCTCACTCCAAATCAAAGGCCTGGCAATTAAGTACACAACTGTAAATGGCCTATTCGACAACTAAGTTCAGTTCATCATTTTTTGTGCCATTTTCCCTTGAAACAGATTAACTGGCCATAGATGTAACACCAGGAGCATGAAGGTAAGGGTAGAAATTGTAGGTAACATCTTGGAATAGCTTTCCATTTGTGCAAAAATCCTGGTCCTGGTTGTTGAATGGGTGGATAATGTTTTTGCTGGGTAAATCTCAAACTGCAGTATGTTTTGTCAACACTCAGCCGCTGATAGCGTTCTATCTATTGGAGAGCTGCCCTTTTAGGAACTGAGTCCTGTAATTTTTCGGTGGGAAATAAAATAAGGCCCGCCTTATCCAAATGAAATACCTTAGAAACGAAGAGGACTACCCTCAGAAGTTTTTTTGGATCAATATCAGTATCTGGGCAACTGCCCACCCACCCCTCCCCTAACTCAACAACAGTTAATTGACAACAAGTTAAGGTTAATGTTGGGTTAGGGGAGGGGTAGGTGGGCAGTTGCCCAGATACTGATATTGATCCGTTTTTTTTCCTTTTTCCTCGTTTTTACCGTTCTAAATCACCATATCATTTGCTTCGCCACGGTATCCCTATAAACCACGGTGAAATACACAGGTTTTGTCAGCTACGTTTGTCATCGAAAATCGTCCAAGCTTTCAGAGGATGAGGTACACTTCTGGCAGGGTGAACGCGCTTACAATTTTTCCATTTTTGTGGCAAGAGATCCTATCGTTCCTCTCGATAAGAAACCTCGCTTTTCAAACAAATTTAAAACTCATCTGTGGTTGTTTTTGTTTAGCCTTGTTGCCTATATTAAATACATTGTTTCTGTTTTTCCTAAGGATGCTGTGCGCTGCATCGGTGGAATGAAAATCTTTTTACCTTTGCTGGAGCAGATCCCGTCCTTTGAGTCTCAAACGTCTACAGCACATATTGGTAGCAGTGAGCAACTGGAGGTCTTTGATTTAGAAAGGTCTCTTGAAGAGAAAGGAGGGAGACACCTTGAAAGGTAGTTAAAAAAATCTTCATTAAGTGCTGATGGTGAGATATACTTCTGTCTTCTTTTTAGGGCGTGGGGGAGGGGGGTCTTTGGGGCTTAAGTCTCTCTCTGTCTTGGTCTTTTCCTCTTTCTCTCTCTCCTTCATATTTATGTCTTGTTGTTACTAAAGGCACCTCAGCAGCACCTCAGAGGATGACTCCAGCCAAGCAGGATCCAGTGTGCCTTCTAGTCCCAGTCTTCCTTGCACAGAACAGCAGGAGGAGGAATGGGTCTACATTGAAGATAACTTCGACCTTCGATTTTACAAAAAAGAGATTTACAGACTGTGCAAGTCACGCAATAGTAACGGCGTAGCTTTGTTTATGTTTTTGCTTTTAAGTATTTTGAAAGGCCATGATGTGAGGGAGGAGGAGTTTGCGGAAACTCTTTGCTACGTTGGTAGCATATTACGTACTATGGACGTCAAGTTTATTAATGTTGGAGTGCTTAGATCGTTACAAGCTTTAGTGGAATGCGTGACAAACGAGACTGTTTTACAAAGTATCTTTGAGAATCTGCTCTTTGATTTTCGCATTTGGAGCTGCAGTGAATTTAACGTGAGAATTGGACACATTCAGTTTATTTCCACACAAATTAAAGATTCACCGGAAAGATTTCGTTCCGAGTACGGAGTCAGGTTCTTTCTTGATGTCATTACCCAGCACTATAGTGAGCATGCGCCATTGGGGAATTCCGCTGGCTGGCATCGAGAAAACGAGATTCAGTTGACTCAGGAAGAAGTAAAGATTATCAGAGCATCTTTGTTAGGTTCGTGTTTTGAATACTTTCCTTGGTTAAGTCAGAAAAGAAGGCAGCTAATTAGTGATCGTATAACGGACCTCTTGTTGCAGCGTTTAGATCACCCCTGATGGAGGCACTAGACAGGAGTGTCGAAACGTTGGGTCCATGAATTGTAACTTCTTCGGTTGCATTCATTAAATCTATAAACCAGAGTAGCATCAAATTACGTCAGATGGGGTTGTTTGGAAAGACATTTGGGGCAGGGATTTTTACCGAATTATTCCGATATAAAGAAGGGCGGTTCTCTTTAAAGTTTGACACTCAAATACATAACAATTTTAGTGAATCCCTAGGGGAGGGGTGAGAGGGGAAGAGAGAAGGGAGGGGAAGCAGGAGAACTGCATTCCATTAGTCAACGTCAGAAAAGGCAACATCAAAGTATAATTTAAGTTCCCCTGAGATTTAGCCTCCATTATTTTGCTATTCATTATTGTCATATATATTTTCTTAAAAAATATCACTTTTTTTCACATTTCCATCAATAGTCGGAGAGGATTGATGAATAGTTGTAACCCGAGAAGTCGATTTCAAGATAGAATGTGGATATTATTCTGAAGAAACTGTGGTGCTGCGTCGGTTGGAGAGTGTAGCAGCTGATGTTTCGAGCGCTAGCCCTTCACCATAGCTCTGACGAAGGGCTAACGCTCGAAACGTCAGCTTTTTTACTCTTTACGGTGGCCAATTTACGTTTTCAACTCAGTTGTTAACACTAAATTACCTATTAATATTTTAATTAGATTCTGTCCGCTGATAACTAATTTCAATTTTGCGTTTGTTTTATTTTAGGTTTGATTAAATTCTATCTGACTGAGAAAGTTGCACGAGAAGAGGTTTGGTTCATTGTGGAATACTTGTCTTGCGTGACAGACTCAGAACAAATCACAGAGGTGATAGACGTTCTTTTGTCGCTCTGTGAGCGTGCGTCAAAGAGTAAAATGGCTAAACGGCTGTCAGGTATTGACTGGATTGGAGATATGACTTCTTTATATTTAATAAGCCATTTTTAGTATTTATATGGAGAATTGTGTCACATATCCTTCGGGTGACAAGTCGTTTCGTACCCACGGCAGTTTCGTATTCAGTCGATTCGTACCCAGTCACTTTATTCGTCCCATACCCTTACTGATAAAGTATGTTTAACGTAAGGTTGGATTCTTATTACTGTTAAAAACAAAGGGCGCATGGCGCTAATTCACTATTAATGTAAACAAAGTCACGAGTGTAAGCAGTAGACAGTTCATAATGGTATTAGGACCGAGTGGAGTCCAATTTGGTCTGTAATCATACGATTGATTAACAAAATCGGATGACCGCAAAGCAGGAGTCCGATTTGTTAACCACGAGTATGATTACAGACAGAATTGGACAACACGAAGTCCTGTTACCAATTAATCAAAACTATGACGAAATTTAAGAAAGAAATTGGAATCGGTTGTACGTTTTCATTAGAAAAAATAACAACAGTTAACTCGGCGAATGCGAGACAACAGCGCGCGCACGTGACGGTTCTGTCCACTTACACAGGCATGACGTGTTAGTTGTCCCTTTAACTGTGCTATTACACTGTCTAATTACAAGCGTGACGCGTACCAGCCCAATTTGAGCACTAATAGGACGGTGTGATAGCGAACGACGTTCGAGAATTTTGCTATAGTTTTGATTATATTAAATAATATACCACACTTACTTTGCGCAAGGCAATAATTAAGTTGTTATTGTTGAGAGGGTCACAATTGCAAACAACAGAACTTTACTTTTATCTTACCAGCCTGATTCTTCACTAACTTGTACCCAACAATTGACATCTGTTCATCACGATTTGATCATCACTAAAAGTTTGGAAGGGTACGAATCGAAAAGTGACTTGCGTACGAACCGACACGGACTGAATATGGGTACGAATAGATTGAGCACGAAACATCTGTGGGTACGAAACAACTGAATATCATCCTTTCACTTGAGTGACAAATGTGGATCAAATCGTTCCCTTGTTATTGACTAGTGCTGTGCTTTATTTACATAGCATTGTGATTATTGTGTATTTGCAGAACACTATTATCTCATTCTGAGTCTGGAAAAAAGGAAGGTTGTTTGAAAAAAAGGATGAAAATCCATTTGCGATCAAAATGTGTGCGATCCTTGAAAACTTACAATTTTTTTACTTTTCACCTTCAGATCCCAGACATATCCCAGTCTTTGTCACTTTACTAATCAATCAAAAAAACGAAGACCTTCGTCTCAGGATTCTGAAACTAATGTCCGCCATCATAGCGTCCAATAAGGTCCCCGAGGGAAACAGAAGCTATTGGCATTTAAGGCACATAGGGCTCTCTGCGGTTACAAAGCTCCTCATGGATGACGTCTCTGAGCCCCTTATAAAAAGTCTCCTGAGGCTGGGTGTGTCAGAGCATGATGAGAACAAAGGCGTTGATGTTTTGATGCATTATCACGTGGTGCTGGCCGTGCTGGAACTGATTGATAATAAGGATCTTGAAACGAAGCTTTTTGTGAGTCACATGGTAAGGACGGTTTTTCTTTGTTCACGGGAAATTTTCAAGGTAGCTTACAACCTTTCATAACTCTGATGCGTGCATGAATCGATATTAGTACTCAGTTTTTGAAACAGTTTGGTTTGGAAAATGAATAACTGTGATAACCTTCAACAGATATATAGCAAATGAAGTGCGTTAATCTCCAGACAAAAGGCGTACGTTGCTCAGTAAACGAAGTAACTAAACTATTGGCAAGTCGATATCATTGCAATAAAGCCGTTGTGAGAAAGTTTTGGGATCATGTTTACAAATATCGCCTCAAAAGTTTAAGTCTTGTCGTAGTTTTGTGTTACTTTTGAGCTTTGTTTTAAAGTAAAACTTCATTGTGTGTTTTAGATTTTACGATCAATCGATGCTAACTCCCTCAGCATGTCACGGTGTGCCAAGGAATTTGGGTGGCATGTTACGCTGCTCAGAATGATCACAGGCCCATTTGGCGCACCACGGAGTATCAGTGACTCGAAAGAACATGACATAAGTGTTCTGGAAGAAAAGAAAAGAGGCGAGGAAGATTTGATCGATACCGTGCTGGAAATCGTGTTTCGAGTGATGTGGAAAGGGGTTGAAGGCTTTGGCGAAAGTGATTGGAAGGTTAAAACATATCTTTTAAAATATTGTTTTTGTATCGACGTCATGCGCACATACTCACGAATCTGCACGCATGCACACTTTCACGCATGTGGCGACAGCAGTTCAAAGCTTAAGAGCTCACAGACAAAACCTAAATGGCGATTTGGAATGTTAAACAGCAAATAATTAGGTTTTCGACACTTGTGTCCATGTACTTACTGGTGTAGCAACCTGACGCTTCTTGAAATGTCTGGGTTTGATTCCACATCGGTATCCCACAATCAAAACGTATGGATTTACCTTATCTCATGATTTCAATTGATTTGAACTCCCATTCTTTAACTAAAATTCCCCCCTTAGTCCCTCCCCCCAGATCTATAAACAGAAGACAATGGTACGACTTTGCGGACAGAGCCACACCTCGAAGGGGAGGCTGGAGATAACGCGTTTACTCCACGTTTAATGCAAAAATTAATCGTTTAACAGATCAGAGATTGAAGTGAGAGAGTGAGTGAGTGAATTTCGGGTCCATACGTAAACCTCATGGCAAGACTGACGTCATACCACGAGTTAAAAAACGATATTTCTGCCATGTGACGTTCTCGCTGTCCCGGATGGAAACCCTTTGGCGACTTTATCGGTTGAGAGGTTCTGTCTTTCTCGCTGGGAACCTTCCTACCTTTAGTGACTTGTTACTCTCCTTCCTTAGGTTCGAGGTCAAGCCATAGCCGCAGTGAGTATCATTTCCTCAGCGGAGTCTTTTTTGGTCTCTCATCGTGTTATTGAGAGGCGCCTTCTGGAGCTTTGTCTGCGGGGCGCCGTGCAGGATATCGAGGTGTCCGGACAGACAGGTGAATCTGAGACCCAGAATGCACTGATGGTAATGCGTTTGGTAGAAGACTTCATCTTTACGCCAGGTAATTCGTCAGTTTAAAAATGGAATACGCTTAACTGCAAGATCGTATCTAGGTTTCTATGGTATGAAACGCCTGGAAATATTTCTTCTCCTGTTGGTTAAGATGCTGGTGTCAGACTTCCGCAACTCGTACCATGTGTTTCTTCCTATCTTCCGCGTAATTTACATTTTTTACACTTGATTTTTAGTGCCTTCCGAAGCTGTACTTTTATAAGAATCATTGGATACCTTGATGCGTTTGATTTAGAAAGCTGGGATGACTAAGTCTTAAAAGGGCGTTTATAAAACCAAAGTTATACAAGTTGCTTTAAGACACAAGTTGGTAGTTTGTGGCACCCGGGTTCTGTTGGAACCTTTCACAACACATATTTACAGCTCTGCAGAGCGCTCAATCAAAGAACTTGGAAAATATTAGTTTGGTTTCTCTTTTTATTCTTCATCTTTTGCTTCTTCAGCCGCCATTGCTGGAGCGGAATCAGACACTGAATCGGAGACGTGGAGCGTGAAGGTATGGTTTACTCATATAGATGGAATTTTCTTCCCCAAAACTTCTAAGATCTGATTGCTAATTCTCCTCTTTAGCTGCAACGCGGAGGTTATGGGTTCAAATCCCATACAGGCCTAACTTTTTTTCAGGCCTTATTTTCACTACTGCTCAAGAAGTGTTCATTATTGCAAAGATCGCTTTCATATTCACATTTCCTTGTAAATTCATTACGAAAAATTGGTGTCAGATCAGAATAACTACTTGTACGTGATAGGTTTGAATATTCTCATTACCTGTTTGCTGGATAATGTATGGATATTATTGGGAGATGTTGCATATTGATCATTGCTTGAAGTGTAAAGGTTAAAGAGCCATGTCATATTTTCATTTTCTTTCCCTTCTTTTTAGCTTGTCGAGAATGTTGTGTTCCTCCTTGAGGTACTAAACGTCTGGGACGAGAATGAAGAAAATGTGCAATGGGAGGAAATGTCTCAAGTTGGAGTGAGGATTCTCTTGGCTTTCATTTCTCGGCCGGAAACAGAATACTGCGCTACAGCTTCTTCCAAACTTAGCAAACTTCTTAAGGCCCGGATGACTTCGTCTCAGGGAGAGCTTTGCTACATTCTAGGACGACTACATCAAGCCTTTGTTGCATCACGAAATAAAGGTGTGGTTACTGAAAAATTAATGAGAAAAACGAGAAGCAACTTTTCCTGTTTAAGGGTGATACTCAATAATTTTCATTTGAATAGTCACATACGAAGGTTTCATTACTCAACCATGTTGTACAGCATTACAACAGTACTTTACTTTTTAAACTGTAACAAGTTTTCCGACATTTTAGGTGACAACGAAAATTTTTCGTTCATCATTCCCGTCATCCGTATGTTGCTTCTCAAGTATCACCACACTCTACCGCTGACCATCTATATACCCACATTTTCAACCGCTGACCACGGACGAATACAGGCTCAGGAGGATTTCCTTGAGCTGATTGAGTGTGTAGAATTCAAAGCAATGATGAAACAGCAGATTTATCCAGGGATGAAACAATATGAAAATACGTTGTAAGTAACGTTAGCAAATAGTTTCGTCAGGATTTTTCAGATGAAGGCTCTTCACCAACCTTTTACTGTCATTAAAGAGTGTTCCAGGTCACCACTTTTCCATTACAAAGGGAGTCATTTTCTCATCAGGACCTCATTTTTCTGAGCCACGCCTTACGGTAATGGTATTTTGGGGGAGACAAAGGAGAACGCAGAGGCTTGAGTGATTTGTTAGGAAATTAGGAGGACAATGACAATGATTAAGACTTTTTCAGTAAAGCTCTCTTTACATGATTTGTTGCAGTTATTTATTTAATAAACAGTAGCTTTGAGCGAAAAAGGAAGGACTTAGGTATTTGACGGGTTGACCATCACACAGTGATAGGAAATTATAAACCATTGTTACAGTATTGAAAGGAGTGCCTTTAACCGCTGACTCCAAGAACTGATCAGAATGTTTGATCAGAAGACAAAACTGTGAAATGTCGCCCAAAAAATGCCATTGCCCTTCCTTTACGAAATCGTTCTCATCGACAAACGAATCTCCATGTTATCCGCTGTTATATCCCATTCATTTACAACGTCAGATTGAGGTTAACCTTCGCGCGCATGTCTCGAAGAAACAGACCTCCTTTTAAGAAAGTCCTCACAAATGGCCTTGGTAAAGTTCTTCTAAGACCTGGACAAGAATCGTCTCTCCCTCACATTTCATCGCGGTGGTCACGATTCCTTTCAACACTGAATGCTTACGATTTTTTTTCTTCGTGTACTGATATCTCTGTATTTTTTTCACTTTCCTTTAGCTCAGAATCATCTCTAGCCTCAGGTCGCTTTTGGATGGATTGCCTGACAGGTCTCACGGAAAGCTTAAGAAATAAAGACAGAGCTCAGGAAGAAAGCTGCGAGAAATTTGAGGAGCAGATCACATTGCCATTTCAACAACTTCAAGATTTACAAAGAGAACACATCAAAGATTTACCCAAAGAACAAGAGCAAGAAAAAGAAAATGTGGCAAGGCAATGGAAAGTGTTAAAAAGAATGTTTACCTCTGAACGATCCCCTTGGGGTGCAAGGTGAGGATTTAGGAAATTACCAGTTCAGAAAATAATCTCAACAAAACTTTGTCGAAGTAACCCAGGTTTTGCTGGTTTTACATTACTGTGCTTCGCTTTGTGATAGGTCTATAACATTCGCGCCGTTCTGCGAACCAATCACGTGCAAAACTAAAATCAACGCATTGCATTTTTGCTTCGAGCTACAATGAGTAGCGAAGGTAGTTTACACGCCCTCTCCTTACTAAGTGGTAGACAACGCTCAACTCAACATAATAATCTGAAATCTCTAATATGTTACTGGGAAGTCCTCCCTTACCTCCGAAACAATGTTGACTGAAATAAGTGAGCATTTTGTTAACACCAGGCAGCTTACGGGCCTTTAGCAGCTCGGACGGCAACGCCAAGGAAGACGTCGATTTGAAAATGAACATATATATATTTTTTGTTGGAACTTCGCGAATGACTGGATGTGTTTACTTTCTCTTACGGTGCTGCAAGTTAACTTCAGTATAACGTAAAGCGGCGTTGAGTTCCAAATGGAAATTTAAACAATTTTCCCGTCGGCGTTTCCTTTCTCGGACCACGCAAATTTTGATTATTTCACGTTGTTATTTTGCAGAGGATGTCTAAGAAATGTACACAGATTTAGAACGCACGTGCTGAGCTATTGTTCTGCTCATTAGATCTTTTGTTTTGCCACGTCTTGGTTGCCGCCGTCGTTGTCGTGGTTTCCTAGAGGTCCCTATTGAAATGGGGGGGAGAGGGAGGGAGATGAAAAGTTGTAGAAAAAATTAAAAAGTTGTAGAGCGTTCTAAGACTTGTGTGACTGGTTGTAGTTCGTCTTGCCTTGTCATTGACCAGTTGTGTCTCTCTTTTAACACCAACTTGTCATTTCTTTTTTCCAGTTTATCTCATTTCAACTTTTTGTTCTGTCATAAGGTCACCAAAGGAATCACACTGGAAACTCTCCTCCACAGAGAACTTTCAACGCATGCGCCTTAAGCTAGCACAAAACTACTCATTTACACCGCATATCGAGGCAAGCCGTGCGCGTGACAATGCGGATGTGGTGGATGCTCGCGAGGCCTCACTGCCCGTGCGTGTTGCTAAGGAGGCCGTTGTTCAAAATGTCGACGAGGACATTCTTGAAGTTGATGACCTTGCAAGTCCCACTGGCAGAGAGAAGGTTCGCACAATTTCAGAAGCGGAAAGACCTCTTTTGGGCGAAGATTGCGAGTTGATTACGCTCATGGATATTGTGCCGGGTAAACTTGAGATCACTACTACGCATGTCTACTTCTATGCGGATGAAATCATCGGTCAGGATTTTCAGTGGCCGCTGAATGAGCTTAGAGAAGTGCATTTAAGACGGCACAATCTGAGGAGAAGTGCATTGGAGTTCTTTTTGATGGATCAGACAAACTATTTTTTGAACTTCACCAAAGAGGTATTTTGAGCGGCAGCCTTGAGCATTTCTGCGTATGAGCGTACGCACAACATTAAAATTTTCCCTTAAGAGGAACAAGATGAAGGCAATTTAGCGTGGCGCAAGATAAAAGATACGTTTACAAATCGTTGTTGTTTACTAACTCAGGCTTTTCTTCAAATTTTAAAATAATCGAGAAGAGATTGCAGAGCAGTGTAAGGTCTTTTTTTAACATTTTTGTCATTATGTGGTATCTTCATTTCTTTGAATACACTACAATACTTTCTGGAAACAGCTAAAGAACCTGACAAAATGAGCACATGTGCCTAATTACTTTTAGAGGTTTGGGCTACACATTATTTTGGCGTTTTTTGGATAATCTGTCTTCAGTAATTACTTAATTTAGCATGCATGCGTATATTTTGGAACAAGAATGACTCAATTCTATGTATTTCAGGAACTGAAATTATAGGTATTTAATTGCAACAAGATAAATTCCAATTCGATCCTATGGATATGCCACCTTTTAAATCCAGTATATGATTTGAGTTACAAAAAAACATTAATTTATTCCTTAGACTCGTAACAAAGTGTACAAAAGGATCATGTCCCTCCGTCCTCGGAATTTGTACTACATGGGCGCCAAATCTCCTGCGGACCTGCTCACGGCCTCAGGACTCACAAACAAGTGGGTGCACCGAGAGATATCCAATTTTGAGTACCTTATGCAGCTCAACACCATCGCTGGAAGGACCTATAATGACCTGAGCCAGTATCCAGTATTTCCTTGGGTCCTTATGGATTATGAGTCAGAGGAGTTACGTCTGGATGACCCTACCGTGTATAGAGACCTTTCCAAACCTGTTGGGGCTCTTAATCCTGATCGAGTAGAACCTATAAGAGAAAGGTAAGTAATTAAATTCTGACCCTTGCCTCCATATATTTGCCGGTCTTTAAATGGGAGGCGCTATGGTCAATGGTCAGGGATCAGAAGCTTTGGGTGTGGCCCTTGAGCTTTGGTCCTTGTGAGGCGTTCTGAAGCAAGGGGCCTCTATTTTTTAGCCTGCGGTAAAAGTCGCACTCCCTTTCTGAATCTTTTCAATTTTGTCATATTTGCAGATACAACTCCTTCATTGATCCCTCTGGATTAATCGCCAAATTTCATTACGGCTCGCATTATTCCAGCTCTGCTGGAATTCTTCATTACATGCTGCGCGTTGAACCCTTCACCACTCTACACGTTAAACTGCAGAGTGGAAGATTCGACTGCGCGGACAGACAGTTTCACAGCATACCGTCCACATGGGATTCTATCTACAACAAAGGCGGGGATGTTAAAGAGCTTATTCCTGAGTTTTTCTACTTTCCGGAATTCTTGCTTAATTCTAACAGGTTAGAAGAAATATGATTTTGATGGCTAGGTAGGTTTTGTTGTGCTGGGGGTGGGTGGGATAGGGGTCCTACGCTAGTCTATCATTGGCAGGTCGTTTTCCTGTTATAAATTATCACTTTTTCCTTGCAAAAAGGGGGGTCATCCCCTTACTTATCTCCGTGGGAATGCACTCCGATATTTGATGAGACAAGAAATTCTCTTGACTAAGAACGTCTATCGCTGTTAGAGGGGAGACTTAAGGATTTAATTGTTGTAAGCAAAGGGTAGAACCATCCTACCGAGCTAAGGCTTCTAACCAAACTAACTTTTCAAGGAATTTCTTGTCTCAGGTTTGACCTTGGACGTCTTCAGCGAGGAGAGGTGGTTGATGACGTCATTCTTCCGCGCTGGGCGACCTCGCCGGAAGATTTCGTCTCCAAACACAGACAAGCGTTAGAATCCGATCACGTGTCTTCTCACCTGCACGAGTGGATTGACTTGATATTCGGTTATAAACAGAAGGGGCCAGCCGCAGAGGAGGCGATGAATGTGTTTTACTATTGCACTTATGAAGGTAAGAGAGCGCAAGGGAACTGGGCACTACACGGTCTTTTCTTCCATAGAGTTAGGAATGAGAGCAATCCCAGGAGGGAGCCTGGTGGGGAGTAGGGAGGTTAAAACGGGGTAAAGTAGCAACTGTGTTTCTCTGTGTTTTCTGTTTTTTTTCCTTAATTTTTCGATACTTGGGAAAATTTTTAAAAGAGCTTTCCAAGTCCTTCAACATTTTTCATGATTCACAAATTTACAGTTTTTCACAACAGACTCCGTCTTTAAACTGAATGGAATGGCTACACTGTCTAGCTCTATGTCGGTTATTTCGTCAATCATTGCAATCAAAAGTAACCTAGAAACATTGTCTCCCCGTTTTCACGACTCGGTCAAACCTAGGCCCCACTGTGAGCCGTGGCGTCACTGAAAGAACCGACTGACAACCTCCTCAGCCAAAGGGACAAGAGAAAATATTCATACTGGGCAAGTTGTAATACTGTTAGAGGTAAATTTACTTGTTCTTTGGTCGAAGGGGCTGTTGACCTTGATGCCATAACAGACCCAGCCGAGCGAGAAGCCACTGAGGGTATGATAAACAACTTTGGTCAAACTCCTATACAGCTTCTTACTCAGCCGCACCCACAGCGCATGTCTGCCGAGGAAGCCGCTGGGTTTAAGACAACAAAGAGCGTGGGCACAAGCAAGACACTTGCGAATGTGTTTGAGAACTTCGACAAGTTAAAGGCCTACTTTGTCATCGTAAGTTAAGCTCAAAATGAGGCATAACCACGATACAGCGCTGCTTATATAATATTTTAAAATATTCATTCAAGCCTTCAGTGTCGAAAGAAACATCTTTATTTAACCTTTTGACTTTTCTCTAATTTCTCCTTACAATATCACCACTGAATCAAACATTCAGGTCACAATCACTAACTAAAGAAGCTCTTGTTTGTTAAACGAATTCTCCTTGACATTAGTATCGGAAAAGTAGGGAGAATTTGCATACTGATGTTAAGTGTAAAGGGTTATGGACAAACGTATTTTAAATGTTGACGTGGTGTCGTATACGCGGCGTCATCGAACCCAGACAACTCGCCATCCCCGAAACGCAAATGGTTGCTCTCTTGCTATGAAATAATTTTTTAAGTAAGCTCCTTCATATAATCCAACACGTTGTTTCCAGTGAAAATCAGCTCCCTGTTAACTCGGTGTCTTTCCAGGTATCTGATGCCACTGACCCTCTGGTGTTCTCCGCCGTGTCTCACGTTCACACCAGATCCCTGATTCACTCGGGCATGCCTGAACACATGATCACCATCAGCCAGAATGGCATTGTGGGATTGCATGACTGGCTGCCTTACTCCAAGACCAGGGCCAAACCTTTCACCTTTGAACCTGACCCGTCTCTGTCATCAAACAGGCAAGTTGTGGAATTAATCTGCTGCCTAATTGTACTCACTACGTGTTCGGGACCATTCATTATTTATCGCCAGCGGGGAGGGGGGAGGGGTGAGGATTTCTTTAGAGGGATTACTTGGTTTTCAGGAGGGACGGAATATAAAGTCGTTGGTGCGTGTAAGAACAAAGTTTCATTTCCAATCTTATGATTTCTGTTGTGGCATTTCTTAATTATTTTATAAGTATTTCTTAAGTAAAAACAGGAGTATTGATGAGAAATTCTGTTCTCTACTTCCACTGTAGATTACGCCGTTGTATCGCCGGCCCGTTCAGTCCTGACATGCAGGTCTCTTCGCATATGTTTGCTATTACCCACGATGCTAGGTTGATTATTACCGCTGGTCACTGGGACAACAGTTTGCGAGTTTTTGCCACAAGATCGAAACAGCTGACCAGAATTGTGGGGCATACAGGTACGTTTGCCTTTACAGTGAATAAAAAAGGGAATTGCCTTTGTTGAGTTTTTGAAAGCACTTGTGGTTTTAGAAAAGAGATTCAGCGAAACTCGACAAATTGCGCGCACTAAACTTTTGCTTTGTCATCTCTATTATTAAACACCATTGTTTTCCATAACAATTTGCTTTTATCTCCTACTACCTGGTAAAGGGAGGCACTTAATGATAAAATTGTCTCTCTCAAGAACGTAACACAATGAGATGCATCTTACCTCTCATTATATAAAAAGTTGCATCATGCACGCATTTGATTGGTTGTTACTTACGATCTATTATAGGAGAGACGCATAGGTGACGTCACCATTCATTCTCTTGTACTTCTCTATTATATAAAAAATAAGTTCCCTGTGGCCGTGGGCCTGTACAGTGGTAGATCACAAAATGTGGTAAAAACACTAGTGACACACTCGCCTGCGCCTCGTGTGACATTGTCTTTGTTCTTACCACACTTTGACGTCATCTGTGGTCTTTGACTGAAAAGAGGCACAGCAACATTATTAAATGTTGATTTGCAAGATTCAAAGTTTAGAGAAGCAAATAATAGGATTTAGCTGGAGAAATCACCTTAAATATAGAGACTGAACTGAGGTCCGCCAACTTACCTTCTCAGGCAGTAGTAGGTCTTAACCGGAGTTTTTCATCCAGCAATACACGTGAACAGTTAGACCATCACCGATTTTTACAACATGTAATAGTTTTGTTTATATTTCTGCTTTGTATAGATGTAATTACTTGTGTTTCATTGGATGATGATGGTCATCACTTGATCACTGGGTCACGTGACACGACCTGCCGCTTGTGGGGAATCACTCATCAGGGAGGAGTGGCTCAGGAAGTAATTCGTACCCCACTACAGACCTTATATGGTCATGATCAGCGAGTCACATGTGTAGCTATGAGTTGGGAACTTGACATGGCAGTCAGCGGCTCTCAGGTAAGAGTTACGAAACCTTTGAAATATATTGAAAATTCACATCGCCAGATGACTTTATTTTTTAGCTTATGAATCTTAAACAGGATTGATTGGTTACTTTTTCAAAGGAAAAATCTCAAAATTATTTATCTTATCTCTTACCTGTTTGTTTCTATCTCTCATGTTTTCCCCGTTGTAATTTTCAACCCCACCCCCCTTACTGTCCCAACATCTCTTACACTCGGCTTTCCTCCCCCCTTGTTTCCCTTATGTCCTCTTCCAGCCTTAACCCAGACACCCATTAATACGCTCCTCAAGCTCCCTGTAACAAATCCCCCTCCTCCATGATAATTCTTCTCGGTTCCAGTCCAGTACATGAAAGAAAGAAAGTGACCCGGACGCTTGTTGATGCCTGTGTTTCTTTTTTTGTTCTTGTATTTCTCTCGCTCCATCTCATCCCCACCCCCTCCCCCCTCTTCCCTCCTCCGGCCTCTCCAAATTGCGCTGACAATCTTAAATACAACCCCCCTTTCCCCCCCCCCCCCCCCCGCCATCCATCACAATCCTCCGTGTTTTTGGTTATAATTCTTTTCTACCTCTTCAGGATGGCACATGTATCATTCACACAGCGCGAAAAGGCGAATACGTTGTCACGCTAAGGCCCACGGGAATGTCGCCTGGTGCACAAGACAGCTTCTGTCACGTGACTGGCCTCGCCCTTTCCGAATATGGAAACATTGTGGTTTGTTACCAACAAGAGAATAGTCGATCCCTGTGCAGGTATTCCATTAATGGAACACTTCTTACAAAAGACGTCAAACTGAAAGAGGATGTCGCCCGTGTTTTTATTTCTGGCGAGTTTGTTGTTATCGGAGGAGCCGACGGAAAACTGGAAATCAGGAAATTGCAAGGGTATGAAAACCTTATTATGTACATCGTAACTGTTTGTTTTGCAATTATTTGTTTCTGCATTCTGTTATTTTCAGTCTTGGTTTAGTTACTTACTTAGGGATAGGGTTTGTGTATTTCCTTTCTCTCGTTATATTTGTGTATTTTTTTCATAATTTTTGTCGGAAGCTGCCTCTTGATCAATTACTCAGGTCATTTAATTACTACAGTCCTTTCTAAGGTATCTCAAGGAAATTTGAATTTGTGCTTAAATTGCATTCACAGGGACTCAGCTCTCTACTATCGACAGTATTCTCCCTTACATATTTGCTGATTGAATTAAGATTTGTTGCAGTCTTAACACCTTTCAATCTATTTTGAACCATAATTGGTTATTTTTGGAGATCCTTCGAAAGATACGGAAAATCTTTGTATGACGATCGGACAATTTTCAGATTTACCCCCTCAACTCAACACAGAAAAACTTAATTGGAACATCGTTCATTTATATAATTTTTTATTACTATTATTAATTATATTTTTACGACATTTTTTGGTAAAAGTTTAGAATACATGGTTTAACCTAGTAACAGTACATTAGTTGCAATAACACTTACACTACAGTACTCACCATAAACCACAATATACGTACAATAAATACAATTGAAATAATTGAATTAATTTAACAAAATAACATAGGAAATTTTTAATTATTTTATTTCTTTGTTCTGATATCGTTTCCTCCCTGGTTGCAGTTTCGAAGCGGTGAAGAAAATGAACCTTTTAATACCAATTCGTAATATCTCCCTGGCGAGGGACAATACTCACTTCCTTGTTTGCCTCCAAGATGGTAAACTCATTGTAATTGGTGTAGAAGCTTCGTGACGTCACAAGTACCACGTATTGTCACGTGACTAACACGCCATTTCTCGTGGTTGTCTCAAAGATTGTAAGTCACTACGATTGGTGCAAAAGCTTCGCGACGGTATACATATTAAGGTGATATATTTTGACCTGTGCGTTATATCGCGTCCCTCGAGAATTTCGTTTTAAATTTTCAATTCAGCGAAGTTGATTTAGCTTTTTGCATATCTCCTTTAAGAAATCCTGAACTTACTGGAAACTGATCGAGATTCTAGCTAGGTAGTATATAAAGCTTACAGGAAGCTGAGCTCAGAATGTAGTTAGGTAGTATTTTACAAGGTCTGGTCGTTATGCTCCCTTTGCAATATCTTTATTTTTTGGATAAAATTGAGAATTCGGTGTTTTATAGCAATAACTTCGCTAAGGAAGATAGTTTTGTCTATTTTCATCATGATCGTGACAGTTTCAGTTCCTATACATGTAGAATATGAAAGGAACGTTGTGAAATGAAAGAGTAGAGAGTTTACTTCTTCTAGTGTAAAATTATCACCGTAAAATCTGGCGACTCTGAGGAAAAGCAAGTGGACCAGAATGGAAGACTGCGGAATTTTCTAATTTTGATGGGAATTACTTCATTGTAAATGGTAGATTTTGTCATTTCATTTTCAAGAAGAATTCGAGAATTCTTCCTCTCGTTTAGCTCTCCTATCGCAAACAATGCAGGCACTGGGTGCTTTGATTTATTTACAAGAAATTTTGTAGAGCTAGACAGGACTAAAAAATTGGTAATTTAGTGTTAACAACTGAGTTGAAAACGTAAATTGGCCACCGTAAGAGTTTAAAGGCTGACGTTACGTTACGCAGCACCACAGTTTCTTTAGAAACTTACCCCCTTTATTCATAGGACTAAAAATTTGTTTAACTGTACAATATTAATTCAATAATGAGACTTAAGAGCAAGTTGCCTCTAAAAATACAGTCAGAGCATGGGCAGTTACGTCAAACCAAACTAATCACAGCAGCCAATCAGAGCAAAGGAAAACAGTCACTAGGGATTATCTGATTGGTTGAAGCGGTAACACACGTCTTTTGGCCAATTAAAAAGTCGAGTAGAGAAAAACCAATGAAATCACTGATTACTATTGACTTTAAATTCCTCCTGGCTGTCTGTGGAATTAGGTGGTTTTATGTAATGACGTTGATTTATAAAACGATGTAGAACAATGGAAAATGTCTGAAAGTAAGCAAGCGTGATTCCGTTGTACCCTCGCTTGTTGGCCCAGACTTTCTACTTGTTGCTTGCATCAACCTTCACTGACATCACTCGTAATTTTCGACTCAGTTTAATCGGTTAAGTTCATCATATGAACAATGAAATCATGCATCTAAGCGATGTTTAATGGACAAAAATGTAATGGAACATCTCTGTGTACACTTGTAAATTATGACAGACAAAGCTTACGACAATACATTTATTTTTATACAATTTTAGTTTCATTGGGTGGTTTTTCTGTTTCCTTAATCGATACAATCTGTTTAATCAAAGAAAATCAATCAGATAACTCCCCGCCGTCTATTCCAACCTCTTTGTGCGAATGTCTGTAATTTGGATAATGAGCAATCAAAAAAACCCCTCTGTATATTGAAGCAATAGAATTTTGTTAATGAGTTTGAAAAAACGGTTTTGCTCGTGGTTCTTCCAAGTTGCCAAAAAGCTCATTAACCAATTTCTATTGTTTCAATATTCATGCCTTTATATCTCTGCAAAAAATATGTATTCCTGGACATTTTATACCTCGTGTGTATTGTGTATTAATGTGAAAGTTACAGGTCTTTCGTGAGCCGAGAAAATCCCCTCTGAATATTGAAACAGTAGAATTTTGTTAATGAGTTTGAAAACTCGGTTTTGCTCGTGGTTCTTCCAAGTTGCCAAAAAGCTCATTAACCAATTTCTATTGTTTCAATATTCATGCCTTTATATCTCTGCGAAAAAGAGGAATTCCTGGACATTTTATATCTCGTTTGAAAGAGCGTGATCAGCTGTGTATTGTGTGTAGGTGTGAAAGTTACAGGTCTTTCGTGGGCCGAGAAAATCCCCTCTGAATATTGAAACAATAGAATTTTGTTAATGAGTTTGAAAACTCGGTTTTGCTCGTGGTTCTTCCAAGTTGCCAAAAAGTTCATTAACCAATTTCTATTGTTTCAATATTCATGCCTTTATATCTCTGCGAAAAAGAGGAATTCCTGGACATTTTATATCTCGTTTGAAAGAGCGTGATTAGCTGTGTATTGTGTGCAAGTGTGAAAGTTACAGTTCTGTCATGGACCGAAAAAATCCCCTTTGAATATTAAAACAATAGAATTTTGTTAATGCCTTTATATCTCTTTTATACCTCGTTAGAAGGAGCGTGATCAGCTGTGTATTGTGTGCAAGTGTGAAAGTTACAGGTCTTTCGTGAGCCGAGAAAATCCCCTCGGAATATTGAAACAATAGAATTTTATTAATGAGTTTGAAAACACGGTTTTGCTCATGGCTTTTCCAGGTTACCAAAAGCTCATTAACCAATTTCTATTGTTTCAATATTCATGCCTTTATATCTCTGCGAAAAAGAGGAATTCCTGGACATTTTATATCTCGTTAGAAAGAGCGTGATTAGCTGTGTATTGTGTGCAAGTGTGAAAGTTACAGGTCTTTCGTGAGCCAAGAAAATCCCCTCTGAATATTGAAACAATAGAATTTTGTTAATGAGTTTGAAAACATGGTTTTGCTCGTGGTTCTTCCAAGTTGCCAAAAAGCTCATTAACCAATTTCTATTGTTTCAATATTCATGCCTTTATATCTCTGCGAAAAAGAGGAATTCCTGGACATTTTATATCTCGTTTGAAAGAGCGTGATCAGCTGTGTATTGTGTGTAGGTGTGAAAGTTACAGGTCTTTCGTGGGCCGAGAAAATCCCCTCTGAATATTGAAACAATAGAATTTTGTTAATGAGTTTGAAAACTCGGTTTTGCTCGTGGTTCTTCCAAGTTGCCAAAAAGTTCATTAACCAATTTCTATTGTTTCAATATTCATGCCTTTATATCTCTGCGAAAAAGAGGAATTCCTGGACATTTTATATCTCGTTTGAAAGAGTTTGATTAGCTGTGTATTGTGTGCAAGTGTGAAAGTTACAGGTCTTTCGTGAGCCAAGAAAATCCCCTCTGAATATTGAAACAATAGAATTTTGTTAATGAGTTTGAAAACATGGTTTTGCTCGTGGTTCTTCCAAGTTGCCAAAAAGCTCATTAACCAATTTCTATTGTTTCAATATTCATGCCTTTATATCTCTGCGAAAAAGAGGAATTCCTGGACATTTTATATCTCGTTTGAAAGAGCGTGATCAGCTGTGTATTGTGTGTAGGTGTGAAAGTTACAGGTCTTTCGTGGGCCGAGAAAATCCCCTCTGAATATTGAAACAATAGAATTTTGTTAATGAGTTTGAAAACTCGGTTTTGCTCGTGGTTCTTCCAAGTTGCCAAAAAGTTCATTAACCAATTTCTATTGTTTCAATATTCATGCCTTTATATCTCTGCGAAAAAGAGGAATTCCTGGGCATTTTATATCTCGTTTGAAAGAGCGTGATTAGCTGTGTATTGTGTGCAAGTGTGAAAGTTACAGTTCTGTCATGGACCGAAAAAATCCCCTTTGAATATTAAAACAATAGAATTTTGTTAATGAGTTCGAAAACACGGTTTTGCTCGTGGCTCTTCCAGGTTACCAAAAGCTCATTAACCAATTTCTATTGTTTCAATATTCATGCCTTTATATCTCTGCGAAAAAGAGGAATTTCCTGTACATTTTACACCTCGTTAGAAAGAGCGTGATCAGCTGTGTATTGTGTGCAAGTGTGAAAGTTACAGGTCTTTCGTGGGCCGAGAAAATCCCCTCTGAATATTGAAACAATAGAATTTTGTTAATGAGTTTGAAAACTCGGTTTTGCTCGTGGTTCTTCCAAGTTGCCAAAAAGTTCATTAACCAATTTCTATTGTTTCAATATTCATGCCTTTATATCTCTGCGAAAAAGAGGAATTCCTGGACATTTTATATCTCGTTTGAAAGAGCGTGATTAGCTGTGTATTGTGTGCAAGTGTGAAAGTTACAGTTCTGTCATGGACCGAAAAAATCCCCTTTGAATATTAAAACAATAGAATTTTGTTAATGCCTTTATATCTCTTTTATACCTCGTTAGAAGGAGCGTGATCAGCTGTGTATTGTGTGCAAGTGTGAAAGTTACAGGTCTTTCGTGAGCCGAGAAAATCCCCTCGGAATATTGAAACAATAGAATTTTATTAATGAGTTTGAAAACACGGTTTTGCTCATGGCTTTTCCAGGTTACCAAAAGCTCATTAACCAATTTCTATTGTTTCAATATTCATGCCTTTATATCTCTGCGAAAAAGAGGAATTCCTGGACATTTTATATCTCGTTAGAAAGAGCGTGATTAGCTGTGTATTGTGTGCAAGTGTGAAAGTTACAGGTCTTTCGTGAGCCAAGAAAATCCCCTCTGAATATTGAAACAATAGAATTTTGTTAATGAGTTTGAAAACATGGTTTTGCTCGTGGTTCTTCCAAGTTGCCAAAAAGCTCATTAACCAATTTCTATTGTTTCAATATTCATGCCTTTATATCTTTGCGAAAAAGAGGAATTCCTGGACATTTTATATCTCGTTTGAAAGAGCGTGATCAGCTGTGTATTGTGTGTAGGTGTGAAAGTTACAGGTCTTTCGTGGGCCGAGAAAATCCCCTCTGAATATTGAAACAATAGAATTTTGTTAATGAGTTTGAAAACTCGGTTTTGCTCGTGGTTCTTCCAAGTTGCCAAAAAGTTCATTAACCAATTTCTATTGTTTCAATATTCATGCCTTTATATCTCTGCGAAAAAGAGGAATTCCTGGACATTTTATATCTCGTTTGAAAGAGTTTGATTAGCTGTGTATTGTGTGCAAGTGTGAAAGTTACAGGTCTTTCGTGAGCCAAGAAAATCCCCTCTGAATATTGAAACAATAGAATTTTGTTAATGAGTTTGAAAACATGGTTTTGCTCGTGGTTCTTCCAAGTTGCCAAAAAGCTCATTAACCAATTTCTATTGTTTCAATATTCATGCCTTTATATCTCTGCGAAAAAGAGGAATTCCTGGACATTTTATATCTCGTTTGAAAGAGCGTGATCAGCTGTGTATTGTGTGTAGGTGTGAAAGTTACAGGTCTTTCGTGGGCCGAGAAAATCCCCTCTGAATATTGAAACAATAGAATTTTGTTAATGAGTTTGAAAACTCGGTTTTGCTCGTGGTTCTTCCAAGTTGCCAAAAAGCTCATTAACCAATTTCTATTGTTTCAATATTCATGCCTTTATATCTCTGCGAAAAAGAGGAATTCCTGGACATTTTATATCTCGTTAGAAAGAGCGTGATTAGCTGTGTATTGTGTGCAAGTGTGAAAGTTACAGGTCTTTCATGGACCGAGAAAATCCCCTCTGAATATTAAAACAATAGAATTTTGTTAATGAGTTTGAAAACTCGGTTTTGCTCGTGGTTCTTCCAGGTTACCAATAGCTCATTAACCAATTTCTATTGTTTCAATATTCATGCCTTTATATCTCTGCGAAAAAGGGAAATTCCTGTACATTTTATACCTCGTTAGAAAGAGCGTGATCAGCTGTGTATTGTGTGCAAGTGTGAAAGTTACAGGTCTTTCGTGAGCCGAGAAAATCCCCTCTGAATATTGAAACAATAGAATTTTATTAATGAGTTTGAAAACACGGTTTTGCTCATGGCTTTTCCAGGTTACCAAAAGCTCATTAACCAATTTCTATTGTTTCAATATTCATGCCTTTATATCTCTGCGAAAAAGAGGAATTTCTGGACATTTTATATCTCGTTAGAAAGAGCGTGATTAGCTGTGTATTGTGTGCAAGTGTGAAAGTTACAGGTCTTTCGTGAGCCGAGAAAATCCCCTCTGAATATTGAAACAATAGAATTTTGTTAATGAGTTTGAAAACATGGTTTTGCTCGTGGCTCTTCCAGGTTACCAAAAGCTCATCAACCAATTTCTATTGTTTCAATATTCATGCCTTTATATCTTTGCGAAAAATAGGTATTTCTTGATACTTTATATCTCGTTAGAAAGAGCGTGATTAGCTGTGTATTGTGTGCAAGTGTGAAAGTTACAGGTCTTTCATGGACCGAGAAAATCCCCTCTGAATATTAAAACAATAGAATTTTGTTAATGAGTTTGAAAACACGGTTTTGCTCGTGGTTCTTCCAAGTTACCATAGCTCATTAACCAATGTCTATTGTTTCAATATTCATGCCTTTATAGCTCTGCGAAAAAGAGGAATTTCTGGACATTTCATATCTCGTTAGAAAGAGCGTGATCAGCTGTGTATTGTGTGTAGGTGTGAAAGTTACAGGTCTTTCGTGGGCCGAGAAACTCCCCTCTGAATATTGAGACAATAGAATTTTGTTAATGAGTTTGAAAATACGGTTTTGCTCGTGGTTCTTCCAAGTTGCCAAAAAGCTCATTAACCAATTTCTATTGTTTCAATATTCATGCCTTTATATCACTGCGAAAAAGAGAAATTCCTGGACATTTTATACCTCATTAGAAAAAGCGTGATTAGCTGTGTATTGTGTGCAAGTGAAAGTTACAGTTCTTTCATAGGCCATGAAAATTCCTTCTGAATATTGATTCAATAGAATTTTGCTACAAATTTGAAAAGTAAGGATAGCTCATGGTCTTCAAAAGCTAACTAACTTCTATTTTTTCAATATTTATGTATTTATATCTCCTTGAGAAGGAGGAATTCCTGGAGCATTCATAATGCATTATAAATAGTGCAGGAAAATAAACAAAGTGATGTTTTTTTTCTCTCTTGTATCACCCTAGAGTGCCTGCAGTCAAATCACAGGAGTTTGCACTCAGGTTAACCCTTCTAAAACTCCCAAGAACAAGATTGTTAATTCTCCCCTATAGCTGTGACATATTTCCATGAGAATTTAGTGTTGGATGAAAACAACTTCTACCCAAATATTCTCAATACCTAACTGCAGGATTATGTACAGATATTAAAGGGAGAAGTTACATGTTTATCACTTGTGAGATTTAAGGGTGAAGGTCAACTTCTGATTAGAATAATAGCATATGTACACAGAAACATTAACAATGTTTGCACTTTAAAAATTCTGCATTTTAATAAAAAGAGATTTTTAATTAATTCACTACATTATATTTGGACTTTTGTACAAAATACAAAAGGTTATAAATCTCACTACTAGTTACTAGAGCAAGAAATATATCATACTGTATTTACTAGGTCTAACTATGCTATCTACGAGTCCGTGGATCTCTGCTAGTGTTAATTACATTACGAGCACTTGGATCAGCATTAGGGTGTCCATTATTCCCATTTGTCGATGATGAAATGAAGTTTGGGCCACTCCCATTGCCGTTATTGCCATTATTGTTCCCCCGTAATTTTAACCTTGGATCCCGTGATGCATCTACTTTCGCTGCTACGTTCCCATCTGACCTGCTGTAAGGGTGGAATCTGTGTGAACCAGTGTTGGGTCCCATGTGATGATTGTTAAGTGATGTCGCTGTCGCTAAATGTTCTGTGTTATGGTTTTGGTTTCGAGACCCCACAGATGACAATCCAGCAGTAGTGGTTGGAGTATTGGGAGAATTCTTTCCTTGATCAGCTTGAAGCCCCTGGAAAGAAAAAAGGTGAAAATGATTAAGTGAATCCAATTGTTTGAATGGCTCATCAATAAACTGGCTGTTTTTCAACTGATTCCGGGCTTAACCTTTCAGTCTTTAGAGTGAGTAGTATCTAGTTTGTCCTTACAGTGCCAATGCGGAATCAAACATTTAGATTGTGAGAATAAATGAAATGATTGCCAATTTACACTTAACTCCCATGACTGACCAAGAGAGAGTTTCTCCCTACAGTATCAATACAATATCAAACAAACAAGTGATGAGAATGAAAAATATCAATTACAGGATTACGCGTTGATCCAACACCAAAGTTTTTCAAACGAACTTCATAAAAATTGTACAGCAGACACTACTAAGATCTTGGGACTGAAAGGGTAAATGAGAGAGTAAATACCCCATGCCTATGTAAATGTTAACAGTATTTCTCATTTGTACACACAGTTATATTGCCTGTAGGGTTCATTTCTTATGGAAAAAGTGAACTGCTCTGATGTTCAATATGAATAGGTTTCAAACAATAAGTACTTTGCTTTTAAAATGTTTTCATAATTTAGATTTACTAGTAATAGGATTTTCAGTCATCCAGTTCTGTCTGTAATCACACTCAAGATTAACTAATCAGTCTGCCATTTTGCAGTCATTCAATTTTGCCAATTTGGAATCCACCAATTTGGAATCCACTTGGTTTTCTTACCCCTGTAAATTGAGGTTTGGAGAGTTTTTTTTTATGAACAAAGATCTGACACTAACCAAAAACAAAGTCGGACCATACTCATCACTAATGTTCACTTTGAATTATCATCGAATACAACCCACAGCAGTAATAGGCAAACAACCATGCTGTGTCATCCCAAATCTGTCCCTCACCCACCCCCCCCCCTTCCCTTTCTTTCAGTAACACACAAAGAGTGTTTTAACTGAGTGAAGTCAAAACATAAGTTGGAGTAATCCCAACAACCAATCAGAACAGAAGTAAAAATCACATGTTGGCTAATATAAATTGTAATAATAAAAACAAGTCAATCAGCTGAAATGCTATAAAACTAAAGTAGAAAAACTGAATAAAGGGGATGAGTTTCTACAGAAACTGTGATTTTGCATCTGTGCGGAAGGGAAGGGGAGTATAAAAAGATAATTTGGTTTTATCATTCTGAGTTGATGATAAAAAATTGGCCACTGCAAATAGTTTCTAAATCTGACGTTTTCAGCCTTAACCATTCATCAGAAAAAAAATGTTAAAAAAAAAACATTTTTGCACTGAATTGGTTGAGAGATTGGCACAACTTTTCATTAACAATTGCAGTGCAAACTAAAGCAAAACCAAAAATAAAATGTAAGATTACATTTGACACCTAATTGAAAATGGCTGTTAAGACATACCTGTTTATACTGCTGAAGAAATTCTGCATTAGGATCACTCATGTTTGGAAGCTCACAAAAAGTCATGCAGAAACTGTATGAAGACAACAAAAACAAGAATCAGTTGTGCCATAATGCCCCTGGATCATTACATTACCTTGAAATAGTGGCTCCAAGGATCATGCTAAAAAGATTACTAAAGCAGAGATTATATTTCTCCCTTTGCCAGAAGCAGGTGAGAATAAATGGAAGAATACTAAGTGAAAACAGGAGAATGGAAATTACTGCCAAAAACATGAGGCTTCTGTCCACAAACAGCTGGGTTTGAATCTTTGCATTCAAAATGAATTTTGAACAAGAGTTAGAAAATTGCAAAAAATGTCCTTATAAGTAACCTTTAACAACCAAGGCAGTCAATTTAACAGAGTTCTCAAGTTGATTTGCTGGTGAAGAGTGAGATTTATGAAGGCAAAGCCATTGATTGTGATGCCACAAACATCACCTTCCTGAAGGGGAGGGGAATGAGTGAATGAGGGCATGCTTTCCAGAAAAATTGTAAAAAAAAGACAGGCAGGCATTCCTTTATTCTGGACAAGAATTTTCATTGTTGAAAAGTGTTTGAAGTGAGCACATATGGAAAAGAGTAAATAAAACAATATTTTGAAGGACATTTAATTCTATAGGTGCTTGACAAAGGCAGCAGTTTTTTTCCCTCAAATCAATGGTTAAAATCAGAAACCTTTCATACATGACAATAAAAGTTTGGTGTGAGAGTGTAAGACTGAACTTGTTTGCAAAAGTCTCGTGCTAAAAATGCAACTCGAGAGTCCTGACTACCTCATATAGCACATAGTGATATATTTTTTTTCCAGTGATACACAATTGCACTTACTCTCCAACTTTCTCCAAGTGCCCCACCTTGCCTGTGTACAGAGTTAAGCTTCCTTTCCATAATGACGAATAACTAGAAAAAAAGGTCAATGAAAAAAAATTGTCAGTGACACAAAATCTTACATCGCTGTTTTGCCTAGTTTACTGTTTACACCTTCTCATAACGTCTAGTTTGGATTGTATCAACAGTTGCCATTGAGGAAAGTCAAGCATTCAAACTCATGGTCATAAGATCGTTTATTTTGGTGTACTTGTGTAACTGCTTTGGAGCATTCCTTTTTTCAGTTTTGATTAATTCTAAGCAAGACCATTAAAATGAAGAACGTGAACAAGAATGTTTTTCACGAAGTGCTCTTTTTTTGAATAATATCATATAAAATAGTGCCCTCAGGCGTGAGGAAATTATTGTGGCTTAAAGCAGGAAGAGAAGTGACAGTTTTTAAGGAAGCAGTGGTTCCCATATAACCCTAAAATTTTTACAACAAAGATCATGACGCCTGGATAAATTTTCCGTCATGTTTATAGTGGAAGCAAATTTCTGCAATATTACCTTCAACAAATAACACATTTTAAGAGAGTAAATCTTAGAGTGGGAAAAATTGAAATCTATCCCTCTATCACTCTCAGGCCAAGAATTATAAAATATTCCTTTACCAAAGGTCAGTTATTCTTGGGTTTTGATGTTTCCTGAATGTTCACAAAATCGTGCATTGTATGGCAGTGAATTCTGGGTCAAAGGCTCTTCAGAAGTCAGGTCGTAACACCCTCCCCTCCCCTGTAACAAAAGTCATTCCCTCACAAATTTCACTTTCCAACACAACATTGATATTTGGGGGAAAGGGGCTCGAAAGCGGAAAATTTCCCAGACGAAAGCAAAGTTTTTCTTTACCTACACAATCAGTTGACCTCACAGAAACAGACAGTCGACATCTCCAATCGGCTAATTTATGCAAGATTTCGTTTGAACATGAAACCCTGACAAAATCGACAGGAATTTGAACGCCATTCGCGCTAAAGATCACACAACAAGGCGAATAGAGCCTATCTTACCCTCGAACAAACTTAATGATATCTCCTGGTTGTAGAATTTCTCCGACCTCGTCCCAAACAGACACCGTAATGGAGCCTGTTTTATCAGCTACTCGACATGCCCTTACAACGTGCGCATCCTTCGTTTTCGTGGCTTTCCCTACAAGAAACGGCCGTGAATTTAGCGATCAGATCAAACAGGGAGCGTGTGTGACTACGGGGAAGGCTTACCGACTTCCAAAACTATGAATAAACAGTGTAAGTTTTTTATGCCGGGCCGAATATCTTTGATGTCTGTGAAATGCCTTGTGTCATCCGCCATGGAAATTTTCTTGCTATTCCACTGTCTGTCGATCGAATCATCGATCAAGGTTTATAAAAGCACCTTGGTGACGTCATTGGCACGTGTCCAAATATATTGGTAAGGACTCCTGAATAAAGGATATTGGATTCAATCGATAAGCTCAGTGAAGACACTCGCCAATCCTGATAAAAATAAAAAAAATTAAAAAAAAAAAAACAATTTTTGAAAATATGTTCTCCTTAGGGCGACCATTTGAAACAGTTGAAATAAAACCATAATAAATTCATGCATAAATATCTTTTTGATATTCATATGAAGCCATCTGTTTAATGTCATTACAGCTTTCTTTCAGTAAAGGAAATTTATTTATAGTGAAGCAAATTCGCTTTCGAAAGTCACCTATCAGAGAAGATGACAGCAAGGAATTCGAGTTTCCGGAAATCCAAATTTAGCTCTCAGAGAGATAAGAAGTACCATAAAAAAAATTCACTTTCAGAATAAAAAAATAACAATAATAATACGTCACAGAAAAGAAGGAAGCAGATTCCCAATATTTTGAACAGGATCCATTTTTTTAAAATATCAAAAATAACTCGACAGTGTTGTATGTCCTTTTAATAGGTCTTTGAACGCAATTAGATTCAGTCTGGTGGATATATTAAAATGCAGAGCTATCCTTGAAGCAAGAACGGCAAAATTTACCTCGTTTTTCGCTTTGTCTTCATCGAACGCTAAGAAAATCGTATCGCAGGTCATCAGAAGTTATCTCTTAATAACAAGAAACGCAGAAATTTTCTCATCAGCGCGGAAAACAGTTAGAAGAGAGACAACAAACGAACAATTCACGCCTTCCACCTCAAGCGTAATTCTAAATCTGCCTTGTGTTTACATCGCAACTTTTAGTACTAACCTCTCCAGCTGTTATCCGTATGTCATATGTGCTTGGTATATTCTTGGGGAGGCCCCTCCCATGCGTCTCCCACCCCAAATCCCTACAACTCTCTTTAAGCGAAGTAAATTCTGAGAAAAGGTTGAGGGAGGAGGGGGAAGGGGAGAGTCCTCGCTTTTATCAGGTTTCCAAAACGGTTCGCCGGTTGCCAATTTATACTCCTTAGGAAGAGGGGGGGAGAGGCACTACGAGTAAGGTGTTTCACACATGAACAGAAGTGTATGATCACGACCGGGTTATGGTCCGTCCAGTGCACTGAGAGAGTGGAAAGAGCATGGGGGAGAGGGGGTGGGGGAATGGAAAGTCAGACAAGCTTATCCCCCTGCTTCCCAATAAATACTCTACGAACAAATTTTCCATTTTTTTTTTCTATTTTTAATGACACTGTTTACTTCTTTCTTTGGATGGCATATGAAAATAGACGGCTTTTGAGTCTAGTTTTTCTTTTTTTTCGAAACAGTATTTAATGCAAACGGTTATTTACAAGAGTTTTGGGTTGATATAAAGCCATACTTGTACACACATGCCAAATCCACACATTTCTATCAAGAACACAGAATTGAATGTTATACGATAAAGAATTCCTAGTTGGTTATTTTTTCTCGCCACTTGCCATCATAACAATCAATAGCAAAGATAAGGAGTAATTTAGCTTTTGTCAACATCGCGGCTGGAGTGTTAACATAGCTCCTCTTCACTGTACCACGATTCCACGCACTGGGATCTTAGCCACAATCAAATCGTTATGCTCTCTACCATTGTAGTTAAGATCAGAACCTTACAGATCAAGGGAAAATGAGCTGAGAAGTGTCATCCTCTACATTGCCACGCAGTACGACAAGGCACGAAAATTCAATTTGGAAATCATCATTGGAATCGAGGGGCGTGTATGAGGGATCAGTTCTCTCAGTTCATGGTCTCTTGTAACAAATCCATGAAACGTTTGTATTCTTATGAGTCTGAATCTTATTCAGTAGATTGATGGAACCCGTTTGGATATGTTCTGTTGCTCGGCAACGCGTCCGACTTAGCGTTAGCTAGCATGCTTTCTAAGGCACTGAATTACCTTACTCAAAAAATTATCGGGCAAACATTCGATCGAGTAGAGAAGACTAGAGGTAAACTAAGCGTTCCAACTCGATCTGGTTCGACTGTGTAGAAGTTTCAATCAGTTTCCTCTATCAGAAAGTGTTTTCGATCTCTTGTACGCAAAACTACATCTCTACCATTTTCATGATGTAATCATTGCATTGGAATGGACTCCGCCGCGTGCATCCGCTGAGCACGCTTCAGTTGCATACGCACCATATGACGTGACACTGATGTCACTTGCTCATGGAACACATCGAGTAGTTCTCTCAGTTCATCACGTGCCTGTAATAATGAATGATTAATTCGCTATGATTCTTGTGCAATGAGGCATGTTTTCACCCAACGAACACCGCCAACAAATGATTAGAAAATTGAATGGTGGGGAAAAGCAAACCAAGCTTACCTTCATAAAATAACCCCAACAGGAATTACCGTCCCTAAAATAGGGCAATTTTCACAGGAGTGTCCAAAGTTCAACGGAAAAGGACTGGTTTTGCAATATTTCATTCTATGTCTGGTCTGGAAAACACGTGCCACCCTCTCAGCCAATCAAATGTTTAACTTTATCTATTCCTTTCTGGCTCCATCTGATATTTCCCTTTGTTCTGATTGACCTATGTAAGAGCTTTACTTTTGCTTGTGCAGTACTCAACTAAAAAACAGTCTTCATACTTTTCACCCTAATATGAGCATGCATATTCTCCAAACTGTTCTCAATGCATTTCATCGAGAAGCTGACATGAAGAATTTGTTTAACAATCCAGTGCTTCAGAGTTGTTGATCATTTCCTTAATTCTCGTGCCCCTATTGTTTGATTCAGGGAGTGATGTTGTAAGGAGAAATTAGATGCTGGTCACAAAGGGCTAAGGAATCTTACCTGAGCCAGCTCGGAATCAGGTTGCACGTCCTTAAGCAGAACCAGCAGTTGATCCAGGGAAGCGTACGGAACCCACACACTGGGACTGGTGCCGTGCAAGGCATCCTGGGAATAAGATTTCTGTATTAATACAGTAGAATGACCGTTCAAAGGACACTCTCGGGATTAGAAAAGTTGTCCCTAAAATACGTGTCCCTTTCAGGAAGGTCATAGATACAAAGATTATACGATGGAACTTTAATAGAGGGCACAAATTCAAGAATAGAAAAAGTGTCGCTTCAATTCACCTGTTCTTTCAATGAAGGTAATTAGTACAAAAGGGTTTATATAGCGGCCTTCATTGAAGGATACGCTGGAGACTCGAAAAAAGTGCCCTAAATTGCCACTTTAAAGATTAGGGGCCGATTATTTACAAGAGGACTAACCCAAACCACTCTTTACGCAATCAGTTGGCTTTATAGGCATTATCTATGAGAGGGTTGCTTTAATTGAATAAATGTTCTTTACATTCATTGATTTTTCTTTGTGGTAAGCAGTGTAACCAGGTTAGTTTACCCTTTCCTCGGGATATTGTGCCGCTGCATTAGATGAGGAATACGTTTCCATATATTTTTTGGCCACTTCTGAAGAGTGATTTTTTAGTGGTTTTTCGTATCTGGAGTAGCACGGGTTCTTTTGTAGAACCCTTAGTTTTCAGTGTACATATGTTAGGATCATATTAGGATGCATATTCTACAAGACTGGCTGACTCATCCTAAATAAACTTTTCACATTGAATAACTCGTCTGAGTGTGATCAGTATCAAAAATAACTAAAGGCACGGCTCACAGGTGAACTCACCGTCAGTCCAAAGTATTCTTTGCCCTTTCCAAGAACAGCTTCAATATACTCAACAGCCAACATGACAGCCTCCAGCAGAAGATCATAGTTGATGTACAAACGGAGCAGTTCGGTGGCATTAAAGCGCTAGAGTAGAAACATTTCGAAATTTTGAAAAACAGTGACCACTGATAAAGGATGGTTTCATCTGGAGTGTCTATCAGTAAGGTACGTCACACAACTTGACGACATCTTCCAGCCCGTTAGCCAAAAGTTCACGCAAATTAGACATCACAGGATCGCCTATGTTTTAATGGCTATGAACGTTTCCGCTGAATAAAAGCTCTGAACTGCACATAGGCAGAGTAATAGTGTCTTATCTGTAAAATGACATTCAAATGGCAACAAACTGGGGAAATTTCCTCTAAGCATTACAAATAACTCTTTCAAACAAATTGTTGTAATCTTGAAAAAAGTCAGATCGATTTTCGCCCAGTAAGCCGAAATGAAATCCGTTCTATCGTCTTTTACCGCTTGTCAATGTTCTTCTGAAATCTTAAGTGCTTATTATGTTGAGTTACATGGCGCAACAGCAAATAAAAATAACTTTTTTGGTTTCCAAATTTAACAAAACGTCAAAAATTTTCATAAACGCATACAAATTTCTTGCAGCCTCAAACCGTAGGTCTTGATCACGTGACCACTTCCACACGTCCTCTCACCTTGTAATCATTCACGAGCCACGTGGGCAGAGTAGCCCCGGCTGACAGCAGTTTACTGGTTACACATCTGTAATACACGTGACCATCACGTGGACCAAGCTTGTCGAGGTACAACTTCAAAAGTTGCCAAGCCTGGTCAACAACACTATAAAAAAATCATGGAAAGTATAGCCTCAAACATTGCTTACTTTAAACAAGATCCAAAAGGCAAAGAAAATAAAATACACGATACAAAACAAAGGTCTGGACACCAGCAAATTGACGCGTACCTCTTGTATCCGGAGACCTGAGCTTCGCCGAGGTCATTGGATAGGAGCCAGTCCCACGCGTCCTCTTCGGTTTTTCTGTGAAAATCAAAGAAATGATATCAGAGAGTAGTAAAAGCGTGGATTAACAACGTGAAAACTGAAATAGTGTAAGCTGTACTATAGGAGAAAATTCTGAGATTTGTAAAAACTGAAATACATCCATCGGATGGCTATTTTGTCGTTGTTGTTCCTTCCTTTTGGGAATTGGCATTACAATAGTTATTTCCTCACCGTGTTAGACCAGAACCATGGGTAGATAACTTGACACACCTATTGCAAAGACAAAAAAAGTCGCATTAGAAGTTAAAAGAGCAGAAGTGTTACAAAAAAAAGGAAAGGTACGTTTAAAACAGAATTAAAATGCTAGATATTAGTTACGTATTCATTTTGGTAGCCTGTCCAGATCACTGGTGAGTATTTCCTTTTTTCTCGAAACGTCAAACGAGCGAGGAGAGAGAGGAAATGTATAATTGACATTTGAACGAGATGAGATTGGGTCGAGACCAATATGGCACTCCCCCTTTCGTGGATCTGTCTCGTGCCAGTCTCTCTCGCGTTGAGCTCTCGCAAAATCGTCGAGACTCCCCTTGAAACATTTTAATGTTTATGTTTTCTAACCTTGAGGCAAGTCCTTCGAAGATCGTTTCTTTTGGCAAGTTGAAGTGGAAAGCTACAGTGAAGGCATTGTCAAACAAGCCTGCTTGAGTCAACAACGCTACGCTCTCCTGGGGTGACAACTGAGGGCCTGAGACCGAGCGGAAAAAAGAAAAAAAGGAAAAAGGAAAAGGAAAGTCAAAAGATTGCCATGGTAACGGCACTACACCAATCAGAGAATCAGAGCAGAGAGCTACATGTCTGACGTATCAAACCTATTGCACGAGTTGGATCTGCGTCCATTTTAATGAGCTGCAGCCTGGCGAGAACCAATAGATACTCTCCCTCCAGGTCCCTGATGTCTAACACGGTCACTTTACGCCGAGGCCTGGCCAGATGACTTGGGTAGAGTACCTCTCCTTCTTCTCCCTGCTTTCGTTTAGGTGACATGTTGGGCGGCTCCGCTGGTTTCTGAAAAATGAGCAATATCCCGTTTGGTGAAAGAGGAAACTGATTACTCCGTTTTTCTTTGGGTGGGTGTTGTAGCTTTTACGTCTATAGATGAAACCCAGGTGAGTGATCATTCAAATGATATCTACTAAGCAGTACTCTCATGTGGTACTGTTTATCATGCTGCACGAGGTGTTTCGAACCTTTTCCTAAGTCTGTTTATGAGACCCTAATGCAAGCGGTCAAATGAAAGCTACAGAGCTGTAATTTAATGTATGTGTGGTACTGTTTTGAAGCAAAAATATGTAACTTACATCGGTGCCTATTCTGTCCAGAGGTTTTACAATCCAGGCATTTTTCGGCTCGACGAGACGGAGTGAGTTCATAGCTGCTAGATAACATTTTGCCTGAAAATAAATTGGACACAGATGTTTCTCAGCGTAGAGGTACGTGTAGGAATTTTAAGTGTGCACTAAGTTTTTCATTTCCTTGCAAATTGATTAGTGAGCTACCAAGGTCGTTGATGAGCTTTACTGCAAAAATATCAAAGAAACAAACCTGTTTTTGCAGACTGTCAAGCCCTGAAACTTCTTGTCCAAGTCGCAAGGCGTGTTCATACATTGCTGCCCCAGCTGGAGAAAAAAGATCCAACACAGTAATCTACAACAAATGACATCACTTTGTATTTGCTTCATTACTCTGTGTATTTGTTTATATCGTCATCCTGCCTTTGGAAGATGTACTACACCCACTTCTTCTCATTAACCAAACATTGTCAAAAATAAACAGTTATGTAAAGTAAAGTGCGGTTTTTTTCATAGAGTCTTGATAGTATTCCCTGTCTGCATAAGTTCCACTCTTCTATGCTTTCTCATTGGTTCAAAAAAACACTCGCACCCCAATTTTGACCAATCAGACCCTAAGCTTAAGCCAACTGTTCATTCGCGTTTTCCCGCGCTTGAAGCGACTTGTGCTCATTTCTCTGAGTTCTCATTGGCTCTTCATGACACCTCCTTAGTTCTGATTGGCTGTTGTGATAACTTTTGGTTGTCACCTTTTCTGTAGTTTCCTCTGAACACGTGAAAAGCATAGAGTAGATCGTAAAAGCTGTGAGTAGTTATGTCCACTGTACGGGCATGAGACTCGATGATGTCTATAAACTAAAAAAACACAGAACAAAACAGTTACAGAAAAGTTTTCTCAACGCCGAACGCTTTATTCTAATAATGTATGAACCGTGTACCATATAAGGTTCCTCTAAACAAATTTAAAAAACTACCAGCACCACGCAAAGCGAACCGAGCAGAACGAACCAACTTTACCAACGGATCGAAATGAAATATCAATACCGAGTTACGCCAGTTGAGTCTTACAGGCCAGAACATCAAAGGAAAAACTAACAATCAGTTTCAACGCGTTTCTCAGGCGAGCAAAAGCAAGCGTGAGGCGAACGTACGGGGGACGAGACACACGCGACTCGCCCTTTGCATTTTCCTCGCGCCTTCCACGCGCTTTTCTCGCACTTGCGCTCTCACCTGTCTAACAGGTTTGTCTTTAATCATAACGTTAATATTCACCTCATTTTGAAGGTTGACAAATGGATACTCTACAAGCTCCTGAGTTTGACCTCCCTCGTACAGTGTTACCATGAGCTTATGAAGGCATACACGCCGCCTGAAAAAAGTCAAGAAAAGTAGAATGATAAAATTCCACATTCTCACAATTAAAACGAACGGAAGCGTTCAAAAACAGCCGATAGCGTTCAAAATCTGACGGAGATGCTGTAATAGGATAGGGGCGTCCAAAATATAACGACAGCGTCTAAAATCAGACTGAAGAGTCCGAAATCGGACAGGAGCACTCAAAAGCGGACGATAGCAGCCAAAATCGACGTTCACTGCACAATGAGAAGCAAAGAGCCAAAACTGCGAACGACTACTTACAAAGAAGATAAACGAATAAAAAGGAAAAGAAAACTAAGAAAAGAGATGGGAAAATTACTTACCTAACAGGGTCAGGGTTAGCGGTCAAAGCTTCATATGCCAGGTCATTATGGCCCAACTCCAGATGATGTTTAAAAATTTTTGACCACAAGTCGGGCTGGAATAATTAAGGAGAGATAACATAATTAACAAAAATTACTCCACTCTGCCATACACTTGTACAATGAAGAAAAGAAAAAAGGAACAAAAATTACGAGTAGCCTCATAGTGCTCCACTGTTCGAGGTATGTGTTCCTATTGCGCATTTGTTTTTTCTCACCTGTAAAAAGGCGCCAAGCATATTTTTAAAGTCTTCCATGGCTAAACTTTCGGAAAATTATCAGAAAGTTATTGGAAAATTCTCGGAAAATCATCGTAAACTCATCGGAAAAATATCGGAAACATCGTTTTAAAAGAGTGTACGAATGACGAAGGAAAGTAAACGACTTCGCACGACGCTGGTGTCACCTCTGTGCTCGGATACTTCATAAGAAACGACCAATCACAGAGCGCGTTATATTCAGCTCCCTGAATGACGTAAAGTAATAGTCCGGGCAGAGTTATAGAAACCGTTTTTAACCCCTCAAAGGCTCACCTCTCCTAGCTACGACCGTTTTGTTCAAGAGTAGGAACAAATTTTGGCGACTGAATTTACAGCTATAGTCGTTTATTTAGCGTCCTGTGTTTGCTGTCATGTAACAAGTTGTAAAAAATCGCTTGCGCTTCATGATCTAAAGTTAAACTAGGGTAAATATTGCACTCTGAAGTTTTCTTTCATAAACTTTTGCCTCTTCTCCCTTAGTTGTCAAAAGCAAGTCTTGAGATGTCACGTGAACCTCCAAAAGGCCAGCTGTCAGCCTGGTTTATTTTCCTATTTCAGATCGCTAAATGGCAACTTTGAAGAGGAGTTGGACTCGGCGCCCTAGCCGGCTTTACCACATTTTCTTTCACCGCCTACCCCTCCCCCCTTATCACGTTATCCACTCACAATATTTGGATCATCAGGTGAAGCGAAATCCAGCGCTAAATGAGCCACACGGATGACATAGTCGGGAGCATCAAACTGCTCAAACAGCTTCAACACCTGCACGGAAAACAGAGGAAATGATAACAGTCACACAATACAAGTGAACATAAGGGAACAGACAGACACGTTCCTAGTCCAGGAGTTGGGATTTATCAATTCCCTAGAGTTATTTGTAGACTCTCGTCTGTAGAACGAAAGTCTATTTTCCGAGACGTCTGCGTCGAGTTAAACCTCAATATAGTGAGTAAAAGCAATATAATGGAGGGCAGCGTTCAGATTCATTTGTCGATGAAAGAAACTTCCAAAAAAGAAGTGAAATAGCATTTCTTGAGAGACAATTTACACTGTAAACTTCTGGGAAGATAGGCTTTCGTTTCCGTCTCAGAGTTAAGTAGAGTGTCAGTGATTGTTCCTCTGAGTCGCCTGAATTTCATCATGAAGAACTTCGTCTTGTTTACCTGTGAGTTTTAATCTGCCTCACCTTTACGTAAAATAAAACAAGCAGTGTTGAAATATCGGTGGAATCGCTTTGAAGAACCTTCATCACAAAGGCATCCATTGAACCTAAAATCAAGAAAACTTAAAGTGAAAAGTGATAGAAACAGAATGAATCGTACTAAACAGGCTACGCAAGCATAGAGCTCCTTTAGATTGAATGTCGTTAGCCTTTTCCATCCCAAGATCTCATTAGTAATTCTCCTCACTGTTTGCCATACAATTCTTGTGATGTTAGTGGGAGAATCTGGTTTTGGATCAACTAATGATTCCCAAACTGATATCTTTATTTTTTGTCATCACTTATCTGTTTGATATTGTATTGATACTGTATTGATACTGTAGGGAGAAACTCTCTCTTGGTCACTCAAGGGGTTAAAGGGTTCGTACCCTTTTTTCTAGAAAAAATTTTCAAGGACTTTTCCAGGACTCAGATTGATTTTAAACACTTAAACCCTTTCACTCCCAAGATTTCAAAATAAATTCTCCTTACGGGTTACATACATTTCTTACAACGTAAATTCTGAAAACCCTATTGTTTGAGTTCAGCAGATTTCCAGAACTTTCCAGGACCTCTAATCTTATTCCAGGGCCCGTGCGAACCCCAGAGTTTACAGGGTTAACCAACGGAAAAGTAGTCACAACAGCAAGTTGGATCAAAGGAAATATCACAAGGAGCCTATGAAGCCTATGAAGCCAAAGCCAAAATAAAAACAAGGGAACTGGCTCGCATAAAAACGCGATTGCACATGGGGTGATTGGTTTTAATTTTGCATCCGTTTGGTTAACATGGCATGGTGTGAATTGTCTGGACCAATCACAGAGCGAGGTAAAGAAAAACTATCATAATCCCAAAATACTTCATCATATGATTTGATCACCCAGCAAATAATAAGTACCAAAGCGTCCTTACCAATCCCCTTCGCAGCCTTCAGGAAGCAGCTTAATGCCTTGTGATTCTCGCCCAAAGCCAAATACGATTGGCCCAGTAAGAAATGCCATGATGACTGACAGGTGTCACACCAATAGCAAATCAGATGCGCGTAATCTTGAATGCGAAGATACTGACACCGCGAGAGGAGAAATTCTGGGAAAATGACGCTCTCCCTTAGTGGCCAGCTATAGTTGGATTTGTGTCAAGTTAAAATAACGTAATGCAAAACACAAATAGAAGTGGCGGAGCTTTTTGAGACATGGGGGAGGGGAAATACTCTAGTCACTTGATGCTATGGAATCTAAGATAAGCTCTGGCGGTGTTGGAAAAAAATAGCTCCCATGGAAACCACGTAACAAGATCTCAAAGCGTTCTCACGTCTCCTTACTGTTCGCCAAACATTCTTTGCATTTAAGCTCAGAGAGACTTAGTGTTTAATAAAGCAACAGTACCTGGTTGATACTATTCCTTCCTCTCATCACTTTACGACTTGACATGGTGTATCACGGGGATAAATTATTTATACTTGCTTGTGGGAGTAAAAGATATAATCTCACGTAAAACCATCCGATTCAACGACAAAGTTTTTATGCTCAATGGTAGTTGCAGAAATAGGGTCTCGGTGTACTTTCTAACTCAAGTTCAAACAAAAACCGGGGAAAAAACAAAACAAAAAAAAGAACTGGCAATTACGATTATTTAAGTCACTAGGATACATTAGGTCCATCAAGATGTAAACAGCCCGGTTGAAAAATCCAACCCAAAGAAGAGGTGGCTCCTGATCAGACATCTCCAGTGAGGCCCTGATTTTATGGACCAGGTGCCTTCTCAGTTGTGTTCCCCCAACACCACATAGGAAGAGTTCCCCTAGTGTTAGAGAAGGATCATCTACAACGAGAAAACACACATCAAGTAAATAGTCGCTCAAATAAACAATCATAGACCAAAAAAAAAAACAACGTTAACCTGTGACAATTTTTTAACTCTTACCGGGGACCGCTTTTGACTCCATTCCATCTGAAATTTCCAGTGTGGCTAACTGTTTTAGGTTCGACTCTCTGTACGAAAAAAGTTTGCAGGATTGTTGAAACATGTCACAGTTTAATGGTAGGAGTCATGCACTCTTTGTTATTACTCTCTCTTTTTGGAAAATGAGTCCAATCTTTTGTTCGTATTCATATTCATCGTGCTAGTCTGATTGTCTGGGTGAGTGTAGTCCTGAGGGGGACTGTTGTCGGTAGTAGTGACTGACGCTTTCACAACCTGAGTAGAAGTCATCATCAGAGTCAAGTGAAGAGTTGTTGTTAGTCTATTGTTGAAGAGATATTATGTAAACTTTGCTACCTGAAAAACCTAAAGCAAGCAGAACTGATGTACATACACAGAACTTGATGGCGTGGGCGTGACAGCTTGTTCAAGGATCCAGTGCAGAGCAACATACAGCCTGAGAAACTCAACTGTTCTAGGAATGAACACTGATGATACATCCTCAGCTTTTCTAGCATCCAAGCCAATCTTAGGAACAGAAAAAAAACACTTGAAATGGAAACAAAGAGAATTAAGAATCTGCACTACAAGGTTCAGGGAACATTGAGATGATTTGTTAAGAGGAGATCATTGATGAACCTTCTTGGGAAATAATTGCAATCTGTAGTTCTAGGCCAAGGGGGGAGTGATATGCCAAGATGCCAAAGACGAGGAACGGGAAAAGGAGGAGGGAATAAAAGGGAAGCGACAAGGGTCTAATTATTAAGGCATAGTATGGAAGGAAGAGGCAGGGGTTTCAAAATCCAGTTATTGGCAGCCTACCGTTGCCTTTAACACCCCTTACTGTTGCCTTTAACACCCCTTACCGCTGGCTGTAACACCTTCTACCGTTGCCTATAACATCTCTAACCACTGCCTGTAACACCTCCTACCACCGCCTGTAACACATCTTACTGCTGCCTGTAACACCTCTTTCTGTTACCTGTAACACCTTCTACCTCTGCCTATAACATCTCTTACCACTGCCTGTAACACCTCCTACCACCGCCTGTAACACATCTTACTGCTGCCTGTAACACCTCTTACTGCTGCCTATAACACCCCTTACTGTTGCCTGTAACACCTTCTACCTCTACCTATAACACCTCTTACCGCTGCCTGTAACACCTTCTACCGCTGCCTAAAACATCTTTTACCGCTACCTGTAACACCTCCTACCACTGCCTGTAACACGTCTTACTGCTACCTGTAACACCTCCTACTACTGCCTATAACACCTCTTACTGCTGCCTGTGACACCTCTTACGGCTATCTGTTCAGACTCTTATGTAAAAGTGTTGCCTAACAGCCCAGTCACCTATTGCACAATGGGAGGTCCCTCACAGAAAAAGTAATTGATGAAACCCCTAAACATAAGAACATGAGAAAGTACAATGGGGACAGGAGCAAAAAGGGAATAGAAATCACCCTTTCTCGCCACAATATAGTGTTTGGAGAGGACAAAAATACATTGTTTTACATTCTCACTGTTTAATACCTTGTTGACCCCCAGCCTGGTCATTAAACTGAGCAGCACCAATAGATGTTTACATACGGACATTCTGGATGAAGCAATTTGGTGAGCAGCCTTGGAGAGGAGAGAGCAGGTGAGTGGAGCACTGAACAGGTGATGACCAGTCATGATATGAGAGAAATCTGACCAACCTGTGATGAAGTATTTAACCCAGAAGTTAATAACAGGTATTATTCTACATTAAAGCTACCGTGAAAACTCTGATTTGTTGAGAGTGTACAGTCAATATACAATAGCATGTGAAGTTGACATGATAACCCAATATCTGCAGCAGACACCAATACACAAAATACACCAAGTTATCAGCTACAGGGTGTCATCTATGTATGCCGTCAAAATGTATGGAGAACAGTATGGAGAATATGCACACTGATATTACTTTGTAAAAGGTTAGGATGTGGAGACTATTTTCCCATCACAAAACACTGTTATCTTGTGACTAAATTTCTTGATAAAAACCCTGGTAAAGGAGGAATACCAGTACACGTTTTTTTTCATACAACCTTCCCCACTCCTTCCCAGACCTACCCAAATCAACTTACTAGGTTTTCCCTTCTTACCACTGACCGAGAGCCTGACACTAGTCATAAAAAGTTTAGCAGCCAAAGCTCAATAGCTGCTAAAATGAAACCTCACCAGTCTGTTGCTCATAAGGAACATCCTCAATGAGGTCACTCTCTAACATCAGAAGAAGGAATTCCAAACTATGGAAGATATTTGGTATCTTGTGCAAACTGTGGAAAAACATATCAGTCAGTATTTAACACATATATATATCCTGCCCCTGAAATTTTGAAAAATTCTAACTTTCCAAATAGCAGCTCCACTTCAACACTAGTTTCCAACTGGAAATGAAAATACTTCTTTGTCACACTCACCTTGTCTCCAGTTCCTGTTGAAACTGAAATAAGGCATTTGTATCTGCTTCTCCTTGATCTTCATCACTAAGCAAAGTAAACCAATGTAAGCAATTCAGAATTTTAGAGCACCACAGCATCACACTATTGCTTGTTTTTTTTCTTGTTTCATAGAGAAGGGGACAAGAGAGAGGATTATAGGAGAGAGAGCTTCATAGAGAAGGGTTTGGTAAAGACATTGGGATGACGTTGTAAGGGGAAATGAGATGCTAGTCACTCTTAGAGGTCAAAGGGTTAACCCTTTCACTCCCACAAGTGACCAAGACAGAATTTCTCCTTACAATATCAATACAATATCAAGCAGACAGGTGATGAGAATAGAGAAGAATATCAATCATGGGATTATTAGTTGATCCAATACCAAATTCTCTGAACTAACATCATAAGAATTGTATGGCAGATAGTAAGGAGAATTACTAATTAGATCTTGGGAGTGAAAGGGTTTATAAAAGAATACAATCAGCAGATGGTGGGCTTTCTAGAGAAGGGGTTTATTAGTGAGGTGCTTATAAGGGGGAGGTGCATATTGAGAGTGGTGGAGAGAGGGTTTAAGGGAGGGGCCTATCAGGTAGGGGCTGATAAGAGAAAGAAGCTTTCAAGAGAGGGGGCCTTTTTGGAGAGGGGGCTAAGTAGAGAGAGAGGCTTACCAGAGAGAAGGGCTTATTGGAGAGGAGGCTAGTTAGGTAGGGGGTAATGAGAGAATGAAGCTTTTAAGAGAGAGGGCCCTTTTTAGAGAGGGGGCTAAGTAGAGAGAGAGGCTCATCAGAAAGTGGGTTTATTAAAGAGGGGACTTATTAGGTAGGGGCTGATAAGAGAAAGAAGCTTATTAGAAAGGGGGGCTTACTGGAGAGGGGCCTTGTTAAAGAAGGGGCTTAGGAGAGAGAGAAGATTACAAAAAAAGAGGGGCTTATTAGAGGGAGAGGCTTCTCAAAGAGAGTCTGACTAAAGAAGTCTGGCTAAAGAGGAGTCTTATCAGAGACAGGGCTCATTAGAGAGGGGGTTTCATACTTAGATATTAAAATTTTCTTGTGAGAAATACACTGTCACTTCTTACCTCACATTTGTTAGAAGATAAACAGCAATCTGTTCAGCAGTTAATGCTGGATTCAGCTGGTACATGACATCATTTTCAAGTGCTGATAGATGCTCAGGAGATAGCTACATTGGAATGGTGGAGAAAAAAATTTTTAAAAAAATTCTGTGTCAAGATACAAGTTACTGCATTGTAAGATTGCTAAATTTGATCACAACTAACTGAATCAATATTAAAATTTATATGAACCTTTCTTAAATCACTGTATTGAAGCAACAAATTATCATTTAGGAAAATTGCATCACATTAGTTCACCTGATCTGAAACCATTCTGATGATGTTACAAAGATCTATGAATGATTCCTTCATGGTTTTATCTGCAAAGTAACACAAAAATGTAAAACTGACAAGAATATTATTTTCAATTACACCAGTGTCCAAAATGTGATTGTGGACACTAGCATCTAAAATCAGTTAAAATCAGTCATTAATTACTAAAATCCAATACCAGTGTCTAAAATCAGACAAAAATGTTTAGAATTGGACATGTACACATGTCTAAAATTGGACACTAGTGTGTAAAATCAGACACTACAATTTAAATTTGGACTCAAGTGTCTAAAGTTGTACCCTAAGTCAGTATTTTTGCACTTCCTGTTTGGAACAAAAATTGAAGAGGGCAAAACTCATTCTACATCCTTCACTGCAGACCTCCAACTCCTTTACTAAGAGGAAGCTACACATCCATGTGAAATAGCAAACCTGCTCTACTTGGAACATTAAGATTATATACATACCTAGATGAGGCTCTGTGGCAACAATTGACACTTCTAGAGGTTCTTCAGAGAGATGAAGTTGCTCAAACAGGTCACAGGGTCTCAGGAATGACAGCATTTCCTGTGTGACAAAACATTGAAGAAAATGTAATCTACAGAATTCTGTAACTGATAAAGGTGACAAGAAATTGTGTACTCATTAATTAATTTCTTCACTATTTTCATAATTTGTTCCAAAACCCACAATGAAACACACAATTTACAATTCTTTAACCTTTTCACTCTCAGAATTAACCAAAGAGGAGTTTCTCCTTACAATATCATTTCAAGTTTGGGTAGAAAGATGATGAAGAGAAGTAAAAATATTTCCTAGGGACTTTGATTGATTTGACTTCACATTATCAGAGTAAAATCATGAGAAATGAAAGGCAGATGGTGTGGAAAATCAATTGTTAGGGCTTGGGTGTAAAAGAGGTAATTTAAAGAATACCTCTTATCAATATAATATGAGTGAACAATTTTAGTGTACTACCTTTCGCACAACACAGACTAATCCTGTTTTAGTGTCCATGAAAATGCCCAAGGCTTTACCTCCAACCTGGAAAAAGAATTAAAGACAGTTATTTACACCTTCACTAAAAATCTAACTTACAAACATCTTAACAGATTCATTGTTGTCTATTAATAAGATCAAGCAAAATAATTTGAAGCCCACAAAAATCAGTCTCAAATCAACACAGGGACAAAACTCTTTTTCTAAACCAAATCTGATGCCTTCAACATTGTTGATTCTGCAGCTACCCCTCTCCTAACCCAATAGCAGTCAACTAGTAACAATTTAAGGTTTATGTCGGGTTAGGGGAGGGGTAAGTGTGCAGTTGTTCAGATACTGACTTTGATCTGTTGATTCTAATGGTGTGTAAACTACATGTACACAGGACACCAAACTAAGAAATTTGGCCTCTAAAATTTGTTTCTATGAACCATGGTTACCAAAATGGTGGCAGTTTGGAGCACCCAGGAGCATGGATACTTACTTGATGGTACTGTACGACACAGCTGTAGAACTTTGTCCAACATTGTAGCTGAAGATCATTGTACTCATGGTGAAGCATCTCATAATCTGGAGCTGACATCTGAATCTAAAGAAGCCAACTGTATTAGATTTTGTAAGTGGTAAACTTAAACCATTATGTATTTCCTTGAATAAGCGATAAGGCACTTATTTAAAATTTTTGCTACTGGATGGAGGGTGCTTAATCGAGGGGGGTGGTGGGGGGGGGGGTGCCTATAATTCTCCTGTAATGATTACATTGAAAAGTAAAAGTGAGTTGCCATGTTGGATCTGTATCATTTTTCTACAGTTCAAAACCTACTGCAACAATGGAATCTCAGCAAAGAAAACCCATCTCTTTTCAATACAAACCTCTGAATCAATGAGATTGATAACAGCCAGTTTCAAATCACTCCTTGAAACAGTCTCATCAAAATCACTGACAAAGTTTGAAACTGGTAAATGGTGGTATATCTATAAGGAAAAAGCAAAAACAAAAACAATAAACAATAAACAAAACAACAATTTGGTATCTGCATTCCAAACCACATCATTATTTCCACATGGCAAGTGTTGGAACAAATCAAAGACACAACAGAAACTGTGAAGCCACAGAATCAAATGAACACAGATATTTAAAGAACTGTACCTGCATAGCTTTCAGAATAGAATGATTTGAAAACCTTCCAGGGTAGAAGAGCTGATCAAGAAAAACTTCCTGAGAAAATAATTTTAGAATGGTTACAGAGGGATAAACTTCATAAGAAAAATCTGCACTGACACTATTTTGAAGCACCAAAGAAATCTTAAAAATAGTTGTAAAATGTAGCCACATTTTAAACTTTTAGTTAACGTAGAGATTAATCTTGACAACATTTTTAAAAAGTTCTTCAAAATGGTGAACAGCACATTGAACTGGTATAACTCCTATCACACCCTAAAAATTAACAGTGCAGCCTTGTTAAATCTTGGAGTGTATTTCTAACATTGCATATGGTCAAATTTTTCTCCAGACTATTCATTGATGTTCTGAAGTTCCTTATTTATTACATTCTTCTTTGAAGAATCAGATTTCCAGTATCTGTACAATAAACAAACTTACTCTTGGTTCTTTATATGGTGGAACCATGACATCAGAATTCTCTGTTGGTTTAAGGAATATTCTTTTCCAACCACATTCTTGTGCATCTATGCTACAAAATTGAAGTGAAACCTTTTGGCATTAGAAATGGACAGATTTACCACCAAGAAGTTCACTTTATTAAAAAATTCCTCAGAGAAACATTTCACATGTCAAATGTTACAATTTATAAACTTACTTTTCAATGGGAGTGAAGTAAGCCATTGTTTCACCATTTTTATCTGTCCATAAAGTCCAGATGTTCGATGTGGTCACAGCAAAGTCTACAAGATTTTCCTTTTTTTCAAAACAAAAAGCACATTCATCCATGAGCAAAAAGACAAAAGCATGGCCATCAAAAAGTTTCAAGGTAGAAAGCAAACAAGAAACAAAGGGTGTCCAAGAGAGATCTTGGGCTACTAAATTCCCAGATGGGGTAATAGCAGTTCTTTCAAACAGTCAATTCAAAGAAATTGGAAATAAACACAGTAAACGACCATAAACGCATTGCTTGAAGAACCCCAACTGGTAGGAGGCAGACCAGTCAGCTATAAACAAAGAGCAGCCAAGGAGTTGAACTCTCAAGGCACCTGAAAATAAATCCAGTGAGTAGCAGGATGGGGAGCCACCAGATTTCAAGACCAGTGCCCTAAATACTTGGCCAACCTGCCTCCACAAGTGATCAGTCAGTTTTGAGATTTTACCTTTGGAAAGTGTGAGAAGGAAAGTGCAGACAAGCTTGGATCATCATCTGAAGATGGCACAACCTCATACACACAGAACTAAAACAACAATTACAAAATGTGTTATACTGATAACAGTTGTCAATCAAATTTTTCATTACTTTGATGGAGCAATTACATCCTCCAGTGTCATGCAGCCAATCCTGCATACTTTCACCCATAATAAGTTTACAGTCAACTCCTGATAACTCAAACTTTCAAGGGAAATGAAAAAGGTTTGAGTAATGGAAGTCTGAGTTATCTGGATTTGAAAGCAAAGCAGGAAAACTCCTGGAAGAGATCTTAGGAGTGAAAGGGTTGATGGAGCAATTTATTTAACTCTCAAGACTGAACAGCCACCTAATACAATCAAACCTATATTTAAACAGCGTCCAGCATCACCCTGTTGTGAGTGGCCAGCTGTCAAAGTCCTGAATTCGTTTCCCTTGATCTCAGTTATTTTCACCTCTATTAAGCAGTGATGGTCACCCTTTACAGAGTCCCAATGGTCTGCTTGTTTTGTTTTCCACTTGTATTAAATGGTCACTTATGGCAGATCCACTCAAACAAACTAAGAATAATCCTTTAAGTAAATTTTATCATGTTTTTCTCCCAAAATCAAAGAAAGTAGTATTTTTTGGCAAGATTCTGTAGAGTAAGTGGTCAATTATCGCGTAAAGTGGTGTTGTGTATCATTTTTTATAATACCCTGTATCTATGGAACCTGAATTAAGTAGTCAGCCTGTATCAAGCAGTCACTCTGTCATTCACCATTAGTGACAGCTTAATACAGGTTCGACTGTAGTTTGCAAGAGGTTTTAGCTATAATTTTTCGTAATATCAAGAAAAAAATTTTGGACCCTCAGTGACTGGCAGTATTCTACTAGTAGCTTCTCCCACCTCCCCCCCCCTCCCCCCTCCCTTCAACTTTTCAATTGTCCACTCACCTGTGTGTTGTACATTAGGTTTAAAAACAAACCAAGATAAAGTTTGCCACTTGATGGATCTACCACTTTACGGAGTATATGACCCACAGCTGCAAGGACAAGAAATTCATTTTACAAAAGCATTATGTCAAGTCATCAAAAGAATAACTCCAGCTAACATGGATTTTATCATCTCAAAAAACCAGTACCAATATCAGGTTGACTGACTGCTTCAACCTGATCTCCACGACAGAATCAATGACAACACAGCAGTAAACAAAAATAAGATCCAAAATTTTAAAAACTGGACTTACCTGGAAAGTTTTGAGCATCCATATCATCACGAATATCTTCCAGAAGATCTTTGACGTAAATGCACGATAGAGTCTAGCAAAAATAATCAAAGTTACAAATAACAAAAAAATACAAACAATAAATACTTAAAATGTAGCATTCAGTACATGGCAGAAATGTAAAGAAACAATGTTAAAATATTTTAGGTAAAATAAAAGAAAAGTCTCAACCCTTTAACTCCTATGAGTGACCAAGACAGAATTTATCCTTACAATATCGATACAGTACCAAGCAGACAAATGATGAGAATAAAGAAAAATGCAAACTGTATTAGAGAAGGGATTGTTAGTTGATCCAATACAAAATTCTCTAAACTAACATCACAGGAATTGTATGGCAGACAATAAGAAGAATTACTCATGGGATCTTGATAGTGAAAGGATTAGAGATACATTTGAAAGACCATTTTGACAAAAAAAAAAAACCACAGAGGTGAATATTAAACAAATGCTTGGCGGAGAGTTTACTGGCTTTGAAAAATACTTATTGCAATATTTCCAAAGTACCTGGCAAGACCAAATCCTGAGCTTGAAATCTCGGCAAAGAGCAAACACACACATATGATTTCCGTATGGATGGATTCCTACACTCAGTGTAGCATCAGAAGCCATTGTCTCTCTCCTTAAGCTTGAAGGAACAAGACCAGACCAAAGACGTTGCATCACTCCTGCTTCCTTTAATTCATACTGCTCAACTTGACCTATCATGATAATACAAACCAGAATTGATCAGTATGTAATTTCTCTCACAATGTCAATACAATATCCAAAACCGAACTCATCTTACCACCACTCCCAGGAGGAGGCAATTTTATCAAAAGTATTATTCCTGAAGTAGTAGCTAAAGCAAAGAGACAATGTCCATCCTGGCAAAGCCAGCTTGCAAAAGTCACACATGATTGTGAAAAAGTTCCAAAATTTGAAGGACTTCTGAGCTGATGACTGGAAAAATCATTAAAGATTGACTGCTGACTTCCTTCACTAGAGTAAGACAAACCAAATCCCTAGGAGACAAAGTTAAAAGTGAGATGAACACCTCAGCCCAAAAACACAAATTTTATGGCAAAGTACAACAGACCACAGTTGGTAAAAAAATTAACCATATAAACCAGGGGTTGTGCAAATCAAAGCGTGCAGCGCAGCCTCCAGAGACAAAACATGGAACACTAATAGCATTCACCACATAACAAGGTACTCCATCATTTTTTTAGGTTTCTGCTGTATACTGTAAACAACTCTTCCTAATACAAGACATTTTCATCACTTAAATAGCGACTTGTTTGATCACTAGAGGTTTCCTTTAAGCACGAAAGGAGCATCAATAAGAAGGGGGTGTCCCTCCTCTCAATTAGATCTGGTGCACTGTGAAAAACTTGCCAGTATAAAGGTTATGTCTGGAAAAGACCTGACATCTTCAACTTGATTCAGTCTAACAGGACTGCTCCCATCTAATTTTCTTTAAAAGACTTACATGTCTACGAAGTCTGTCTGGATGAGGGAACGCAATCCTGTGTACACTGTTGGTTGTGGCAATCAACAAGCTAACATGTGCAGGAGTTTCAAAGATATACACCACTGGTAAAAGAACACCGTCAGTAAACTGTAGTTCAAGGTGGTTTCCTGAGAGATTGTTGTCCAAGGACTCTTCAAATAGCTCCAGTACATTATCTGTTACTCTCCTGTACACGAAAACATTCGCAAAACATTAGGAAATTGAGTGCACAAACATTTACAAGCCTTAGTTTAATCTAGTTTGTGGACAAAAATGGCTGTTTAAGATAGTTTAGAAAGCGGCATGGCTCCGTATGCATATTCCAAAGTTTCTTAAAATTTAATTAAACGACAGTTAAATATCGATCTATCTATCTATCTACCTATCTAAGTATTGCTATTGTTTTACGTAGTTTGGTAGGCACTTTGAGTCTTAATTAAAATCAACGTGTACTGGTATTAAACCCAAAAACTTATCAACAAAAGTACAGGACAAAAATTGCCGCGAGTTACAAGTTTCAAACACAAATTTTCTTGTGAATACGAACCAAAAGATGTAACGATTTCGAGTAACAGAGTCGACAGTCCCGCACTCTCGATAAGCAAATCCACCTCCCGTATGAGGCTGAGCGTTTTCTTCATCCCTCACTGTCGTTGCTGATCCTATAGTAAAATTTATCACGTTTCCTTGTGGCTTTCCACTGTGATGCAAAACTTCTCGGAAGTTCCCACCACTCGCCATTTTGGATTTGGATCTAGCCGCCATGTGATCGTTAGTGGATCCCAATCTTCTCTCATCCTCTTGGACTGGAAACTGAGGCCGATAAACATGTTAATGCGCTTCCAGCAATATTAGAGGGGATGAAATTTGCGATGTGATTGGTGAAAAAAAAAACTATCCCTACTGCTATCGTTATGCGCAAGCGCCGTAAACATAATATGGCTATTTCCTACTAATTCAGGGGAAGGATATTTCCCTTAATTCGTGGGTACATTCGTGATATGAATCAATCAATAAAGGGGGTAAGTTTCTAAGGAAACTGTGGTGCTGCGTCGGTGGGAGAGTATAGCAGGTAGTTTAGTGTTGACAACTGAGTTGAAAACGTAAATTGGCTACCGTAAAAGTTAAAAGGCTGACGTTTCGAGTGTTAACCTTTTGTCAGAGCGATTGATGAAGGGCTAACGCTCTGACGAAGGACTAACGCTCGAAACGTCAGTCTTTTAACTCTTTGCGGTGACCAATTTACGTTTTCAACTCAGTTGTTAACACTAAATTACCTGCTATATTATCGTTAGTTTGCCTCTAAACCTTGGAAGTTGATACCACAACTGTGCTCTGTGCGAGGTGGTGGTATGCACGTATCACTGTGTGATAAATAATTTCTGAAGCGCTTCAATTAGTGATTACTTCCTTAGTTACGAAACGCTCACATCTACAAATGTGAACCCTACGCTGATAAGATAAACGGCTTAAGTCTTATAACCGAGTGTTGTGTTTACTTTTCATACTTCGATTACGATCTTTATTAAAGGAGTCTAGGCCTAGTTGTTCAAATGCTGATCAGCGCTAACCCAGGGTTAAATTTTAATCCAGGTTTCGATATTTCTCTGTTCAAAAGCCGTTTTGGAATAATTTTACCCATTGTTTTTAGAGCAGAAATAAAACTGAATTTGCTCTTCAACCTTTCAGATCTGAAATCAGATTTCACTCTAACCTTAGGTTATCTTAACCCAGCTTTGAACAAAATACAGGATTCCCCGTCGGAAATGATATCCTTTCCCGTCGGAGTACAGCGATCCCCTAGGGACTGACGTAGTAATTAAAAGCGTTTATTTATTGCACAAATTTTTAAAAAAGCAAAAAAGGAATCCTTTATTGTTAAATTGAGGATATCTATTGCATAATCTTTAAATTTTTATAAAGAAAAAAAGAAAGCCTTTATTATTAAATTAAGGATATCTAAATCCTTAAATTTTTAAAAAGGCAAAAGAGGAAGCCTTATTTGTTAACTTAAGGATTCAACAAATAATTTAATTAACAACTTGGAGGGCAGAGAAACTTTGAAGAGTATTTCCAGAATTTGATTTTTTTTGTGGAGAACCGAAAACTTTCAGACGAACAGACGAAACTAGTGCGTGACGCATAAACTTGAAAAACAATGCACAAACACCTTGGAGATTACTCTTCCTTTTGAGTTAAACCACGCGCTAATTATCACATTATATTTAATCAAGCTTTGTGCACAAGGAAAAGATGGATGAGTTTATCAAGAGAACACTGTCGAGAAACGGTTTGTAAATGGCCGGATTGTGAGTAATGTAATATAAAATTCCCCTTCGAACGGATAATCCAAGTTTCCCCCAAATGTTTGCAACTTGATATTGCTAAAAAAAACCTGAAAGAATGATGTAGTCGCTTTACGAAGATTAGCACGTTTTATGTTACTGAAGTGAAACATCTTTACTCAATTGTCCTATCATTGTATGAAAAGGACAAAGGTACGAAGCTGAGCTCCTTTTTTAATGGAAATAGAAACATACACTTTGAAAGCTTGGTGGTGTCAGAACACGAATGCAGACGTGCTGGGAACTCACTTAATGAACTAAGCATTCTTAAGCATGTTTGGAGTCAAACTGACAGAGTCAATGTCTTAATTTTTAGATGATAAAAATTTCTAAGTTGAGACTTTCAAATCCTGCTTGGTGTTCCGACTTTTGTTAACTACCGTTTCTCACGCTAGATAGCTTTCAGCCAGTTATGATTGATCACTTTGTTATTACGAGCTGAGGCCGATCTACATACAATGCAACCAGTTGCTTTTTCATGTCTCAGCAACGATGGAATCACATTCATATTGAATTGCTACAATGGCAAGGCACATCAGGGATCCAAAACTGGAAAAGAAAGGATTTAATTTGCAAAACTTACAAAAGGATTGAACAAAAGCCATGACACAAAAAAAAGCTTTTTCCATTGTGTTCTCTAGCTACCGTAAAGGTAACTCTTGCGGACATTTATCGCATTGAATTACCGAAATTAGGACTGCAACGCCGCCAAAAATTGAAGGCATTGTTAGTTTTCAAATAGAAAAAAGACATATTGGGTATTATAACATATGTTTAGAATGAACTCTGGAGGGCACAAGAATTCTAGGCGCCAGAACAGTTGGTTATTTTTGTTTCAAGGATACTGTCAATTTAAACCCCCTCTGATATGATCAGTGCCACACAAGAGACTGAGAACGAAATTCACGCCCACTTAGCGCCGTGATACTTTTAAAGTCTGGATGGAAGCATTGAACGGGAAAAGCCCTGAGCTTTAAATTTGCACAAGATATACTGCAGAATTAACGTAATGTCTGCTTCTTATGAAAGTCTATGTTTTCCTCTAAAAGCAGCTACGATTTAGGTTCTCCGTCTAAAATCCGTTTCAGTATTCGCTGCTCATTGCCCATTCGTGATTCTTTTATCTTTCCGAAATAAATGTTGCGGTCTCCTTCAAGTTAAAATTAGTTTTGAACCTCGCAAACAATCAACTTAAATGGCAAAAGATCGAGCCTCTTAGGATCAGTTCGTGTCTCTCCTTAGATAGTTTTTGTTGGAATAAAGACTTTGCGAGATGAATATCCACTTTAGTCAGGAATAAGAAACCTCATTTGGAAAGTTGCTCGAACAACGTATGTCACAATTAAGAAAATAGTGTATGATTCTGAGATATCGAGCATTTCACAACACCAGAGAGTCATTGATACACTTATGAGCAAATTTTTAAAAAAATCTTGTTTTATGAAGAAGTTTTCTTGACCAATTGAATAGCACGCTTCCTTTACTCCTTTAAAAAAAGTTGTTGTTTAACGTATGGTAAAAAGTGCTTAGTCCCACTTTTAATAAGAATACTACAAACGCGGGTTTTCGGAAACAATGTCAAAACAGACGACAATGGAGTTCTCTAGAAATTCTCTTCTCTATTAAAAAAAAAAATTCGTTTTGCTGCCACAATATTTTGAAACTGAATCAGGTTTTGCCTTTCAGCAGTGGGGGATCTTGACAGAACCGTATCGTGTTCCCTCTCTTTTTTTAAACCAGTCGTGCTATTTGCCTGGGTAAAAAACAATGCAGCATTAATTCATTTTGACAGCAGTTAGCGTGGTTCTTAATTGCTGAGATCGAGCGACACCCCTCAAATCTACAAGAAGTAATTGTTTTTCCTTGAAATGGAAACTCACTTTGAGAAGCCATTTAGTGTACCCGCATTCGTTCAAATAATGTTATTTTGACATAAAATGCCCGCGACGTGTAAAATAGACTCATAACTCATTTGCGAGACCTCATTAAGAACACAAAAACGACAATATGCTTACAGCTTGTGGAGGATTGCCTAGAATCACTAAGATTCGATCGTACATGGCGGACAAGGTTCGATCGCCTAAATTGCGAGTGTATAACCAAAAGATAACATAACAAGAACATTTCAAGGTTGGGCTATGCAGTCGAAATCTGAGGCATGAGGGTTTGATGAAAAACGAAGCTTTAATGACTTTACGAAATACTCTTTAATGCATACTCAATTACAATGTCTCTCGTGAGTAAACCATATTGTGCCTAAATAAGCTGTCTTTGAAGTCTTAATTGTTCTTTGAAACAGCTCACTCCGAGAGAATCTTCAAGTGCCACGTTTCAATCTAGTGTCGACGGGAGAAGTCGAAATGACAGTTGCTTTTAAGACAAAAACTTAGCGAAAAATTAACTCCTTAGGAACAAAGCGATCGACCTTTTTTTTCGTAAATGTTTTCAGCTATTTTCAAGTATAACAATGGAAAAAACCGCAAAAAAACAAAAAAAAATTAAAAAGGAAGAGAAAGACTCAAACACGAGGATATAGCAGTCTACGGATAATGCTACGTTTGAAAAAAAGGAAAGTTGTGAACAAAACTGAACAACTGAGCATGAGATAAATTGCGACTCGGAGAATTTATTTACGAAGTCTACATCTGCCAGAAACAACCTAATTGTTAACAAAATTGCTCTGAGCGCAGAAAGCTTTGCATTTGAGAATATAGTCCCTTTTTTTCAGTTTTTGTAACTTCATTTATAATGCGATTAAGTACCAACTTTTGATGTGTATTGAAAATTAATTTTAAATCGATTTCCGTTCCTTTAAATAAAACACAGAAGCCCTTAAAAACAATAAACGTTTTTGGCTGATTATCCAGACTGCAACTGTAGAATATTGGTAATATTGTTAAGTTTGAAATAAGAATTGGCTTTTTGACTAAAATATCTTTAAAGACGAATACAATTTGATGTAAATACTGCGCAAATGGTCAGGGAAGACCGACCAAACTAGAGCTTATGGGCTGACATAAAAAACTTGAATTAAATATTCGAAATTTTCTGTAAGCAACTCAAAGTTAACCATATTTGCAGCTTGTGGTTTACAAATTTTTATTAACTTATCGTTTAATCGTTTACAGCAGTTGAAAGTTGGTCTGTTAGGTAGATAGCGCGAGAATTTTTCGATTAATTGCAAAGACTTTGAGAAGGAAGAAAGACGAAAGTTCTAGAGGTTTACATAAAAAATGAATATGATTCAGCGTTTAACCTACGTTTTGTGTGACAACAGCCTAATACCGGCGCAAATTTTATCGCAAATGGATTGCTTATCTACAAATACAAAAGACGTTTATATAACTATTTGTTTTTCGGATCTTCTTGTACATTCTCAGTAAAGGAATATCACATTATAATCATTTGAAACTAATATGTACTATGTCGCTGCGAAGATGTCTGCAAAATGCGAATGGTGTTCATCTTTTAAATCCTTGTGTTTGAATGACGAACCTGGAGAAAAATTAATAAATCACATTTTAAGATCCATTTTAACCTCTAATAAAAGTTTGCACTATTTCCCAACACGTTGTGGTGTTTCAAACGATGATCGTGTAAACGACATATCGTTCAAAGAGATAATTAATTCATCGAAACATTTCGAGGGCACAAAATAAAGCAACTAAGTCTAGTGCTTGGGTTAAACTGGAAGGAAATGTGGAAAATGGTTTTTGCCTCAAACATTATTTTCTATCGTTAAAAACGAAATTTTCAAGGATTTTTTTTACATCTTAAGAACTGCAAAACTTAACTTCCCTTTTCTTACAACGCAGTTGAAACGAAATTAACTTGAGGTAACATACTCAATTTTTTTTTACGTTTTTCGTGAACAATTCATGTAGGACGGCTTCTTAAACATAAACAAAACATTGAGTCGGGCCAGACGTTAATAAAACAGAGAGTAATTAAAATTTAATTCTTGAAATTCGATTTTGCGTTGCCAGTTAGGTTTTGGAAACAAAAAGAAGAAACGAACCACGTGTGAGTTTAAAAAGGGCTAACGGAAACTAGTGATATTCTCAACTGCACTGGACCTTAATTATTCTACAAACGACTTCATATTTCTGTTTTAATGGCACGCCATCATGGGGCCTGGTTTTGTGGAAGCTCTCGTCAGCAGAAAAATAATGTTGTAGATCTGACAATCTTTGATTGATTTACAGGCAAGCCAAAAATAAGATGGAAATTTCCAAAGGAGGAGATAACGGCGAAGCTAAAGAAGAAGTGCCAGCTTCCGTTTGCTCGTTCTCTTTTAGGCTGTAAAGAAAACATGTTTTTAATGAAGCGAAGCTAGACATGGGTTGAATGAGTTAAAAGCTATTCGGCTCTGGATTAGGGATTTTCGAAGGGCATCGAGGTGCAAGTACTTACATCAATTGGAAGAGGTGTTTTAAAATGAACTGGGTCAACAGCGATTCCCATCATGTTGGTGTTGCGGGGAACAGTGGAGTTTGGCGGCTGGTGATGAGGAGCGCATCTTGAAACAGGCGGCGGCTCCTCGTTCAAGACTTCGTTCAATGCCTTGATGTAATTTATAGCGAGACGAAGAGTAGTGATCTTTGCCATATGTCCGTCGGCAATATAACATGGCAGAGCGTCCCGAAGCGCCTGAAATCCGTTGTTTAAAACACGCATTCGGTCGCGTTCCCGCGCATTCACAAGAAGACGTTTCTTCAAGGAGTTGCGCTGTCGCTTAGCTTTGACGGGCGGAGTGGGGCCAGCTTCCTCTTGCTCAAACTTCGGCAGCGCCGGAACATGAGTGAGAGCTCCTCTCGGACGCAAATTATAGATACCTTTGGCGAAGTCAGAGTCGTTGCCTGTGTCTCCGTCAAATGTGTTGCCATCTGTGAAACAGCCTGTGCTTGTTCCAACCATAATGTTATCTGGTAAAAACGGCGGTGCTTCGCGGCTAACTTGCAAGCTGGTGTGCACGTTTTGATCCATTCGCTGAGCGAAACTGAGCTGGTTTGTGTTTGGGGCAAACATTTGATCTTTATGTGTTAATGGCAACAGAGCACCTGAATTGAACTGAAACGAAACTGTAGCGTGCACCTGAATGTACCTTGGCTTATGGGGTTTAAATACTCTACCAGGCTTTTTTTCCAACTTCCTCCCAAAGTTCGCGCATGATCTGACTATAATTTATTCTGTTGCTATAAAAATGGCAGCGGACAGAGCATTGACTTGCAAATGTTCTAATTCATCCCGCATGTATGGAAGAAAAAAAGTCCATTTTTGAAGAAAATATTTATCTTTAGTAATCCTAACAGTGAGTGGTGAAATAAATTCCCTCTGCATGGAAGCTAATTTTAAGAGATGGTTATTTAAAGCCAGATAAAGAACTCTTGGCATAAACAAAGGCTTTTGTGGTTTACAGTTGTGACGTTCAAAATACGGAGTTATCTTTGTAAACTTATTTCAACACTGATTGCATCTATCTATTGCCGAAAGCCACTTTCTTTAAAGGTAATTAGATGTCGTTTAAATCAACAAGACTTTAATTCCTCGAAACAAAAATCTGCAAAAAAAAATAACTTTTAGTAAGACACGATCTTAACGGAAAAAAGTGAATTAATTTCCACAAAATCAGTCATGAAGCGCCGCAAAATTCGAGTTGGAAAACAGCTGTAACCACATTGGCCATGAAATTTCCTACTTCGCTTTTAATTGCTAAAATGTCATTAAAAGTTGATATACTCGGAGTTCCGTATTAACTTGGTTGAATCGCATGCTGTTTCTAGTAGGAATGGAGTTAATTCTTGCTCTTTATGGAACGCCGATCGTGAACAAGGAAAAAATTTTTGACAAACCATTTATAGCACGCCGAAACCTTGGCAAAAACTTCAATAAGTGCCCTTTATTTCGATATCGTAGATTTACACCTGGACATCTAGGAGAACTGGCTTTTTCTTTGTCGAGATCAATACAATATGAATATTGGATGCAAGGATGAGAAGCCGATCGAGGACTGAAAGTCAAAAACATGGAATTGAACCCACGTGTCAGAGGTGTACAAAACGTAACTCTGGCCGGTTGCGAAACAACTCTACAATTTTCTATGGAGAATTTTACAGGACAATTACAAAAAACGCCCCCAATTTAATTTTTGAACAGTTACTGGTTTATCAGATATAGGGTAAAACACCGGAACTGTTGAGATCAACATTTTGATGTGAGGTGTGGAAATTCACACGTTTGAAGGAATGTTTGACATAATACTGGATGTATGCAGGAAAAATCGAAAATTGTTATTAGGGCATGTTACTCTCAAACCCGTGAATTTCTGAAAACGCCGTTAGTGGCTATAACACGCGAAATAAGGCGTAGGTTGCATAATCAATCTTAACCAGTGGCTGAGGAAACTATTACCAGTTTGAGAAATAAAACTAGACCTTTCTAAGGTTGTAAATAATGGAAAATGGGTTGAATGTTTTTGGAGAAAATTTCGAGGCTCGATTTCGATAAAACACTTTGTTATGATTTGATTTAAACTGCGTTAATTCGAAGAGGAGAAGGCATCGGTCTTAAAGTGAGAACTCTCAATCCTTTCTTTGAAGCAAACCCTGTATCTAATGAGCTTTTAGTACAACATAGGAACCAATTGTAATGAAAGTGGGTGAACAACTATCTTGTTTGTACTTGTTTTCGGTACATTTTAACAAATGAGAAGCTTAAAAGGTGTTATCCCGAGAGATTTAATGATTGAAAACAAGAACACATTTTTATTTCGCTTTTAATGCTGTTGTTTTGGTATTTTTTCGATTTCAAACTTTCAGGCTTTTGCGGTGCAAATTTAATGTCCACTTATGTCCACATAAACACCGCGTAGGTTTCTCTGTAGGAGAACTTTTTTTAATACCGATTTAAACATTGGCTTTAATGGAAAACTTCCAGATCACGTTTTTCTCAACAGAGAAAAAAGAGAAAATAAATCCTTGTGGATCAATGGAGCAGGTACCTGAAGGTATAATTGAATTATTTCTGTTATTATAATGTTGTGGAACAAAAGGGGACAGAAATAAACAAAATGTCTTATCTAATTACAAAAAGAAAACGGGTTACACTTGTTTAATTGCCCTAGATCAAAACAAATCCTGAGGAACTTTCCTATCCAGCGATCGACTTTGAAGGTAACATATTTCTCTACCAAAAATATTTCAGTCTCTTGAAACCATCGATCACTCGCGGCTGGGAAAGACACGGGAATAACATGACCTCCCAGCAGGTAACCTGTATTTCCAATATAAAATTTTTCAACCTGCTACAACAGTTTGGGTGAAAAGGTCGCTATGCGAACGTTTTTTCTTGTGATATGATTCAGAATACACTGGTCAGGTGTCATAGTTGAAAACATCGTCACATGAAATCTTGACTGCACGTATGAAGCTCTGCCAAAGGAGGGCACATTTAGACGGCCTTCTTGAATCTATTGTTAACAAAATGGCTAATTTTATGTTAATAGTAAAGCGGTTTGCTTTATTCAGGTTAGGGGAATATCACGATATTCACTTTGATGGAGAGGTAAAAGTGTTCTTTCAGCTTCTCTCTAAAGACAATAAGGGTTAAAAGTGAAGGCCCAATTAACGTGTCAAATTTTTTAAGATCCACACCTACGCCTTTTTAAAAGGCATATGCGTGGGCTTATGTCTGTGTGGAGACAAAAAAAAAAGGCAAGCCTTTTTTTCTCAAGATTCATAACTGTTTCTTAGGTAGGCATTCTGCAAAAATCAGTCATTTTTAGATTTCCTGATAAATGGTACTGAAACACTTTTTTTACGGCTGATCTTATTTTAAATTCTGGTGAAATTGTCGTTTACAAAAGGCAATTTTAGAGACAAAGCTTTTGTGTAATGAGAATGGGTTTTCATCGTTTGTCTCATGATAGAGTCATTTTGGCAGGGTTTTCAATAAAAGTTGGAAACTTTTCGACTGTGCACTTCAATAACCCGCGGGTGTTCAATAGTAAGAGAGTAATTGGAACACTCTGCATTTTAAATGTCAAGTCCACAAAAAAGGCTTAGCGTTTCATAATACTTCACCTACCGGCACAACCACAGCTACTGCACCATATCAAAGCTTTTGTGATTGTGAACACTGTGCATTGGCTAAAAATAGAAAGAACAAATTGTCGGTTTGTACCCTGAGTAACAAATGAAATAGATCCCCATGATTTATTTCTTCTAATTAAAGAAACATGTTTCGCAATGGTCACGAGTGAAAAACAAAGAAAACAAGAAAACTCTTGGTCCACCCACGAAGATTACCACTCCTGCCCGCCGATTTCCCAGTCGAATGCTTTCTCAACCAAGCAGAAGAGTGCTGAGTGGTACACTTCAATCAATCGCAGACAAAACTGTTGTTTAGACAGCGAAGCGTAAGTACTCTTATTTTCAATCCAGTCCCGTACATCATAAATCTCCTCCACCCCACACTCCCCCCCCCCCTTCCCTCGTCCAATGTTGTTTCTAGACTGTCATTTTTCTTCGGTGTCTTGAGATATTTGCGTGAAAAAGGTGAAATAGCATCATTGAAAGGAGTGGGTGGGGGTGGGGGTTGGGGGGAGTTTCTTCTTTTCAATGCTATTTGGAGAAGTGAAACTGTCTTACGCCGTAAACAAACTGTTTCAACAAGTTTTTTTCTCTTTGCTTGTAGGTTCAAATGCGACAAGACTCTTGTACACACTGCTACGATCAGCATTGTTGAGAGCGAAAAATGTTAAAGTCAAGTTGAACCGCACCGTCAAATTAAGAAATAAATTTTAAATACCTATTTGAGAAAGGCTGGTTTTGGAATAGACGTTGCAAATACGGGTAGAAGAGCAATTACTGATCCTATAGAACAATTCACCTTTTTGCTAAAAGAATGTTTTGTCTGAAATATTCAGCTAGGAGAGAAAGAGAACAAACGAAATCAGTTATCATTTTTGTCGCCAAGAGGCGAAATAAATCACCAAAACGTAGACAATGACCGGCGAAAGCGCAATTAATTTGTTTTTAATAGTTATGCGATTTTAATCTTGTTTTGACGCACACGTGCTAGCAAAATAGAAACATATTATAAGTACTTTGTTCCTGAACCATGTTTTAATTTTTAGACGTAAAAATTACCCCTAGTTTGACAATGAAAAGATCCCAAGCAGATTTAGTCTCGATCCTCCGCCATATTGGAGAATTCTCGTGTCACGAAATATTTAAAGACGAGCAGTCCCTCCTTTTCCGCAAAGTCCCTTATGCAGGTAAAAAAAAAATCGATGTTTGCTCACCGCGTAGAGCTCTGGGGGTGAGGCGTACAAAAATTCAAACTCTCTGGTCTAGTCGTAGTTCATAACTTTCGTGTGCCTCACTCTCAGATTTCTGTGCGGCACGATAATAATATTATTTGATTTTTTTTTACCTGCGCGACGGATTCGGCGAAAAGAAGGGACAGCTCTTGGTGTAAGTAATCAACAGCTCAGTTATTCAAATGTAGTGGTCATGGTTCCTGGAGCTTTAAAAGGACACGTTCCTACGTTTCCCGACGAATATTTTTCATGTCGGAGATTTCCGATCTTCGTTTTCCACATTCAACGCAACCCCAATACTCGAGTCAAGATTGCTTTTAGTGAAACTATAAACAAGCGCAAAAAAAGAAGAAAATATTGCAAATAAGCTCACTTTATTGGCAAGAATTTGGCTGAGAATATTTAGTATTAGTGCCATTTATTTTTTTAAAAGCGGAGGATGATGGGAAGGCTTGTGGGTGCATGCAGAGAGCTAGTCAGAATCAACTAATTGATTCAACTGTTGACTATACCCAAAGGCTTGACGTATCTAGCTAGTCAAGACAAAACCGCTGGGCTTAAAACGTCAGCTCTTGATAAGAATACAAGTGATGATGAGATACGCCCTTTCTTGGCAGAATATTTTATTTCAGAGAAACACAGCTAGTATCGGCAACTTACAGTTGACTATGAACGTTACGTGCTTTAAAATTTGGATGATTCCCTAAGCAGTGAAATACATTATTGAGTAATACATTATTATAAATATACTAAAAGCTACTTGTCAAAATAGCAAAATTCGATTAAGTCGTCGTTCAATGGTGCTGCAGCTTTGTTAAGAAAAGTTCGAAAGTTCTAGGATTTTCCGACTCACACCGATTACGAACAAAGCACGAATACCGAAAGCAACCAAAGCTTGCAACATCGTTTCTAGGATATCTCTTCACCCTGATCTCAGTAGGAGAAGAGAGGGGAGACCGTGAACGAGGTTACAAAACTTGCCCCTTTGGGCTGCGGAGATAAACACGCTACAGCACAAAGGGGGATTGCGTGACAACTCTACACCTACCTAAAGACACACCAACTTTTCATTAAACGTTGTATTGAAGGCCTTGCACGCGCACAGCAATACCAACATATTAAAATTAGAATTGCAATACAGAGCAAAATGCCACTACTTCAGTAAGTCTATAAATTTAGATAAATAGCCTAAGAAATATGTTCTTGTTGATTATTCAAAGCATTTATTCCACATTTAAGAAAAACGTCTAATTTCCCGAAATAATTCTACCTAAGTTTATAAACGGCATTAGTTGTATGGTTTCCCTGTAGGTTTTTAGACCACTTAACACATATGTTAGCAGCCATCAGGTCAAACCAGTTTATCCAGTTTCTCGTTTGACCAGTCTACTAGTTAGACCTGTTTTTTCTTACGATATTTGCGTTAGTATACTAAATTCCTAAAAATAGTTAATTCGCCAAAAATTATGATGAATACTTGTAAAAACCACGGGATTTAAAACGTTGCGCCCATTCTCATACTAATAATGTACATGAAAAAATTACGCGCTTCTGATTGGTTAAAAACGAGTGCATCCTCATGTAATACGAGTGCAAATTACGAATAGCGCGCGCACGTTTTCAAAATTTCGTCTCTCTTAACTTTCTGTGATGTTTTCCATGTACATTATTAACAAGCAATCACATGATTTCTCTTGCAATGTGGTGTAATAAGCACTTGAAAATTTTTCAAGGACTACACATTGCACTTGCCCTTTGGGCTCGTGCAATTTTGTTGCCTTTGAAAAATTTACTTGTGCCTATTTCCTCCAAATTGCACTCGAAATTATATTATTACCTCTACAAATTGCATTAGTGTGTGAAAATGTTAATATAAATTGAGTTAAATTAGCGGTCGATACTTTTGTTCTTTTAGAACAGATCATTGGTTTTCTTGACTTGGTTCTTCTTCCATTGTGGTACACCTTCCCATTCTTTCTTAGACATTTTGAAAATTTCTTCAAATTTGGCATCCTCCAGATGAAGCTAAAAACAAATAATAATAAATATATAGCTTCACGCAAGCCTAAAAGCGGAGCTCGCATTTTTTTTCCCCGCACGTCTCTTCAACAAAACTAAAGCCCCAACTACGGATAAAGTGCGTGGTAATATTAATGGTTTTCATTCGCAACTTCTCCGTGTCCGTGTAGAGGACTGATTATAAGATAGTGCCCGCGGTACAGTTGGCCGCGCATGCTAAAAGTAGCACCTTGTACGGTCGGTCGTACGGTCGTACATCCAAATTTTTTCGGCTTGATGGGTAACTACTATTTTGTATAATTACGGGGCTACGCTCTACAAGCTCCGCTATAATTGAAGGAAGTAAATATTGACCATTCAACCCGCAGCGGTGACTAACATGTTAATTCTCCTTACAATTCCGGTACATTGTCCAGCTAGAAAGTGACGGGAAAAGCAAAACGAAACAGCTGAAAGGTGAGAGCTTCGTAAGCAACCAATTCTCTTGACTAGTTTTCAACGAAATATGTAGCAGATAGAAGGGAGAATCACTCTACAGATCTCGAGAGCTACGACGAAAAAATCAAAAGAAATATCAAGAAGACTACATGAAGCCATTAAGAACTTTCCCACTCATTCCAATGCACGCAGTTCAAAAGGTGTCTCCATCATCTATATTTTGCAAACCGTTATTAGTTATACTCAGAAGAGATACTTTAATTTGAAGAAATAATGTTGTATAAAATCATTTCTTTTTCCTTTGTCTCCGAGAAATAATCCATAATGACCTTTCCTGACCAACATTCAAATTCCATAACCATTTGAGCCTGCACAACAGGCTTCACTATCTATTTTTCAGATTTTGACAAGGAGAATTTGGACATTGAACATACCTCTTTCTTAGTAGGGTCTACTTCTTCAGGAAGGTCCTCTCCTTTCTTTTGTAAAACTTCCAAGGGGAAAAATTTCGGCTTGAGTTTCTCGTCCCACTCGGTCTGCAAAAGAAGTGGATATCAACACCATGCTAACAAAAAGGTTTAACTTTCCGATGAAGAGTCTGCTACTGTTCCTGGCGGCTTGGAAGTCTGCAACTATGCCCATCTGATAAAACTATCTTCAAGGACTTTGCGTGACGACCTACATAACAGTTGGTAACGCAGCTCTTCTCTAAAAAGTTTGCATGACAACCAACAGATCAAGTGGTCACGCAACCATTTTCTCTGAGACTTGCGTGACGATCCTCGCCACTTTTAACAGTGCTTACCAAATGCCACGCGTTATTATCCACTTTCTCATTTTCTTGTTTGACTTGTTTCATCTGTTCTTCGTAACTCATTTTCTTGTTCCACATCTGCGGTTCCCAGGCCACGAAGTAAGATTTGAACCCCACCGGCTCAGCCCCTTGTTTAATCACTGACATCGTCATGTTTGGGACGCGCTGACGAGGATCTGTCTTAACGTATTCCTGAAATTATTACCAAGAACTTTCGTTACAACTTTACTTATAAATTCGGGGAATAAAATTCAACTGCGCCTGCGTGCTTCACATTCTCATAGTGCACGCTAATGACGTGTACTTTTCTTCTCTCTGCGATTGGTCTAGAAAGTTTGTGCTCCTCTATCAACCAATCAGCCTGTAGCTGACGGAACTTTTACTGATCGAAAGTTTAAATTACTGTTTCAAAGATGTTATAGTTAACAGCGTGCGTCTATCGAGATACGAAACACGCAAAGCTTGAAAAACACTTAAATAGCTAGAGCTAGGAGTGTTGCACTTAAACAACTCCCAACACATCTTCCACTTCCTCCGTACCTTATGACAAGGCACAGCCCATGCATGACACAACTTTCAATTTAGAAAACAGTCGAGAAAGTGGGCTAACTCTGTCGACCGTAAATTTTGTCGCACACATTTGATATAATTCATAGTACAAAAAGAGCAATTTTCACTGTGTCAAGTCTATTCTGGGAGTTCATTTGGATTTGCATTGCATACCCTTGTATTTGGTCTGGAAAACTCGCGCGATTTCTCGTTATTAGTTTGGCTTGACCGGTGTGTTAACTTTGGTTCTGGTTTTCCGAAATCATAAGAAAGCGCTCTACTTGTGGGTTTCTGGGCAAAATCCTCAAAATAAGGTAGAAAGAGAAGGATGGAAGCATTAAAAGTTGAACATAACTTACAATATTCAGGATGGAAGTGGGTTTCAATATGAAGAAACTCGACTAAGCAAAGTAAGATTACCAGAGCAGTCCTGATAGCATCTTGTTTTTCTTCTCTGCGTGCAGTGGCTCCAACCCATATAAACAGCTGCGACCAGGCATCGAGGATCATGACATCATCTTCCTCTAAATCCTCCTGGCCGAAATCAAAAATTTCTTCGACCATGAACCTGCCACTGGCGTTTGAACAATGGAACAATCGGGGTGGGTAACCGCTGCTCTCTTCCTCGGCCTAAAATATTTCAGGGACGATAAAAAGATACAGTTACGATTCCTCGTAAAGGTTTAACAAGTATGTAGTAGCATGAAGTCCTAGTCTCCTTCGCAGCTGTTCTTTTGGATGTCACGTAAAGATTATTTTGGCGGTTTTGCATGACATTCTACAGAATGGCTGTGATGGAGACCAATGATATCTTAGTCACGCGATGATTCGGAGATTTTGAAAAGTCTGCTCACCACAAGTCACTAAATTTTTGCGATTTATGGGGCAGAAACTTATGGAATTTGATAAAATGAACGTCTCATTAAAACTAAAAGACTTTAAATTATACCGAAAATTAACCTTAACATCAGTAAGCATATTCTCCATACTATTCACCATAAATTTCCTGAAATGCTGACAAGGAGAATTTGTTAAACAATCGAGAGTTGCTTCTGTTGGTGACCATTTCCTTTATTCTCGTGACATCAATCTTTGATTCGCGGGTGATATTGTATGGAAACATCAGTCACTTTTAGGGTTCAAAGGGTCAATTCTGAGACGTTTTGCGTGGTTCATCTTTCTTGCGCCTTTGCAAAACAGTTTGCGCATATCAGTTCCACCTTTCGCTTTCCGTATGGTAGACTAAGCAAAAAGAGTGCCTGGATACCTACCCAGCTTTGCTTGGCTGAGCCATAATCAGCTTTTCCTCCTAGCAGGTTCCAGAAGTTGTCACGTTCCTTGCCCTCCATAACTAGATCAGCATCGTCTGACTTCCAAATGAGCCGCACCACCTCTCGGGCACACTCCCGTTCATCACCGATGCTGCCTTTGCCCACCCAGATGAAGCAGTGATGAGGGTTGTGAAGCACGAACACATCACTGCTGTTCAGAGATTGAGCCACCGGGAGAACCTGAATAAAGATCAGACATCTTCGTTTCAATCAGTTTTCATCTCCTCAACCCTTTAGCCATCTTGTTCCTTCTCAGGTATCACATAATAAAGTTAATTTCAATCCATCTTTGCTCCTTCTTGCTTTATTATTGCCTATCACCGAGTGAACATTTTTGTAGTCTCATTTGAGACAAAGGTAATTTTGCCTGGCATAAAAACAAATGATCATTTTGCTTTGAGATTTTTGGCGGGAAACTGGCGCGCGGCTGCTCAAATTTGATCCCATTACGCATGCCCGAAATCTGACCACTTTGTTGGTCTTAAGAATCTGACTCTCACCAAAACTTACCTCGACAATCCTAGAATTGTTTCCAGTGACGCGAACCTGAAGGAGGCGAGTATCTGAGGCATTTCCGGAGCTTTCAACGTTTTTGAACCCACTAGCATGGCCACCCTACAGGCAAACAAATAGTCGGGTGTTCAATTCTTGAGCGTTTCACCCCCAAAATCTAAACATCAATTCTCTGCACCACCTGCCATAAACTTCTTAAAACTTAAGCTTTGAGAATTTGGTGTTAACCCTTCTACTCTCACAAAAAAGCAAAAAGGAATTTCTCCTTGCAATATCAATGCAGTCCTACACGGAAATGTGACGAGAAGAAAGAAAATTGTCAAAGCAATCACAATGGCCGATTAGAAGTAAGGAAAATACCTTTAAGAGCCAATGAGAACTCAAAAGTAAAAACAAACAAGCTGCCTAAAGCGCGCGAAAACGCGGACGACCAAGTCATGATAGGTTTTAATTTTGCATCTGATTGGTTGAGAAAGGGGCACGGGTTTTTTTGGACCAATCACAGAGTGAAAAACAATACAATCCCGGATAACTTTCGACACTCAATTGAAAATTGCTTTGACGAGGAGTTCCTTTTGATCACACCCGGGAGTGATACGAAGATGCCATAACCAACTTCCTCTCCGTTGACACAGTGAACAACTATGTTAGACCTCCCTGATACAAATTTTCCTTTTTTTTTAACCTAAAATACTCACTTGGTAGATAATGAGTCGGTGCTTGAAAATCATAAAGAAATGCAACGGTTCCTTTCCTTCACACAACCGAACCTGAGATAATAGTATGCAAGAAAAATTATGAGGGCTTACAACCATGAAACGGTTAAGGATGCATTCAGTAGCACACTAGAATTCCAGACATAACACACTCAAACACCAACGCGATATAACACCGTTTAAAAACATGCGCACTCACAAAGGCGACGCGCACTTTGTCTGTTAGGTCTGTCACTGCAACTTCGTATGATATTAGAGAAAGATATGGATAGCGTTGTCAAATGCTTGAATAAAAAAAAGAAAATCGTCGCCCACGACGAATCGAACCCCAAGTCTTCACAATTCGAGCCTTGATGTTGTTATCAGAAAACAGAAGAGGCACCACACTATCGAGTTTTCACTTGAACATTGATCTTAAGTGAAATAATAATACTCCTAGCACAGAAGTGAGCGAGAAAATCTATGCCAACGAAAAGGTACTAACCTGGTATGGTTCCCCTGAAAACTTGTCATCAAGGGCTATAGCACCGGCTGCAGCAGCTCCTTGTTCATCAGCTGTACTGTCGTTTCCCTGGTTGAAGAATAACAAAACTTTTTCTAATAAATTTGTTTCTTGAGCCCTATCCACCGACAGTACGGATGTTAGGTATTAGTGCTGATTATTAAAATGTGGCATCCTCATAAAGAGCACATACATACCTAGCCTCGAAGCTATTCCCAAAACTAAATTATAACCCCTGTTTCTTAAATGTCTTTTTTTTTTTAGGGAAGCAGAAATGCCTTATTTGGCGCTCCACTCGGCGCACGTGACACTTGCTGCACACGTGACATTTGCTGCGCGCGTGACATTTGCTGCGCGCGTGACATTTGCTGCACACGTGACTTTTGCTTCGCGCGTGACATCAGCTGCTTGCAGTTGGTCTCTTTCTCTCCCATCCATTTCTAACCTCACCCGAACCAAACACCCCTTGCGACGCGCAAAATAATCAAAAGTGATATTACACTCACCAGCCAAAAGTAGATGATGTGCTTTTCCCGGTTGTTCTTCAAGTATGTATACAGAATAACATAACAGTCCCCAGAGTAGAACACACCATGTGATTTTGGTGGTACCTCTTCAAGCTCAAAGCCTTTAATTCGCCAAACCTGTACTGTGCCTGTTCCATCATCAGGAAGAGTGCTGGTCACGGATGCCCTCCTGTCATGCATGGATCTCACTTCAAACTTTGGTCTCTGGTCAAGTTGTTCTGAAAACGCGAGAGTGGTAAAAAACGTGTATTTCTAAAACACCAGCAATTAATTATTAGCGATTGTCTCACAATGTAGTCACTTCCATTGTGGATTCCAAGTGGACCTGTTGGGTGTCAACTTGTGAAACCAAAAAACCAGTGATTATGACCAATTTACCTTGGTGCGTGGATAAGACTAACAGTATACAAACAAAATGTCACTATCTACATCAGAAGCGACAACACTGCGAGACAGATAATCATTATAACTGGCATATTCATCACGATAAATGGCCACAACCTCTCTAAAAACGTTTATTAAAACAGCCTTAACTGATTCTACCCTAAAACAAAAGATATTAGAGGTACAACTGAGAGGTACAATAGCATACAAATAATGAATGTCATTGTGGAGTTTATCCCAGTTGCTGTTTTATGCTACTCCTACCAACTGGCATACTAGTCTATGAAAGGTAACATCCCCACTAATGGATTTCCAGTACACATTCATATTTCACTTTAAATTCCACACTTCACATATAGCACTTCACATATAACACTTCACATGTACCACTTCACTTTTCACATTTCACATGGATGGAGGGAAGTACTTTGAGAGGAAAATTTCTTACTCAAGAACACAATACAATGACTGGGTCAGCACTTGAACCCAGATCTCTCCACCTGGAACTCAGTGTGCTGACCACTTTGGTACCTTGTCTTAAAATGAGACGAAAAAAAAAATAGAACTTAATTCATTCATCATAATGAAGTGGAATTGTGCCCTGATAAACAAACTGTAACCTTTTCCTTATCATTTAGCCAGAATCAAAATCAAAGCTGAAACTCCCTCTGAGCAACAGGCTACATCAGCAGAAGATGGTGAATTATATAAAAACTTAAGGATGGTTCAACAGAACACCATTACTTTAAGTTAGTAATTGGCCTTGCATACCTTTAGACACAACTCCTTTACCAGCTTGAAAGGTCTGTGTCTTTCCAAAAGGTACAACAGGTTCCCATGAAGAAAAATACTGTTTAAACTCAGATGGCTCTAGATCCTCACCAATAATTTTTATGGATGTGTTTGGATTTAAGTTCCTAGCAGATAGAAAACCCTGGCAAAAGAAAGAAGATGGAATTTTATTAGTGTGTTGCATGAAGCTGTGGAAAGGAAACAGTTTCCAATTGGAGGTAAATTTCATCCATTAAAATGTGCAATTACACATACATCTTTGAGGTCTTTGTTAAACTGATCTCATACCAAATCATCGTAACTAATTTACAGGGAAAGAGGGCAGAATTATCAATCAGATGTTGGGAGTTAAAGGCTTAAAACTGTTACTTACCTGGGCATCCTTGAGAGCTTTATCTTTTTCATTTCTGCTTGATTTTTTCCCAACCCATACGTAGACACCTTGGCCAGTTTCCAAGATGAAGCAATCCTGAAACGCCACAAAAAAATAATTGTTTCAGTTGACTACAGCTTGGAGAAGACAAAATACATGGACAGGCACAGTGATCTGGACAAAGAGCTCAATAGATGACTTTGACTTCTCAGTGGGGTGGTCAGACAATCTAGATCAATTTCAGTATCTGAGTAACTGCCCACCTACCCCTCTCCTGACCCAACAACAGTCAACTGATGACAAGTTAGGGTTAATGTTGGGTTAGGGGAGGGGCAGGTGCACAGTTACTCAGATACTGATATCAATCCCATAACCCTCAGTAAACCTAGAAATCAATTAACACATCATGCACGCATCCAAGAAGGATGGATTGGGAAACAGAGACCATAGAATTCTTCGACTTTTCCTACAATTCTCCTGCTCAGTTATGATACCCCAAGCCATTCTTCGTTCAGATATCAGCAGTTTTAAAGCATATTGTACTATTACCTTACACCAGCCTCTACTTTCATATCAAATGTAATTTATGAAAATCCTGATAAGAATTAACCCAGTCACCAAGGAGACTTACATCTGTGTCAAGATCATCAGGCTTCAAGGGTTTACTTCCGGTCTCCTTCATTGTGATATTGCCAGTTTCATCCTCTTTGATCCTGAAATTCAATACAAACACAATGTACCCATCACCTTTGCATAACATTACCTCTCAACAATATTCAACATTTTACCTGTACAAATTAAGTGAGAGGGATGCATCATGTGCCTCATCACTTTCAGCTTCTTTTGTGATAGGAACAATTACTTTTTTTCCAGTTAATTCAAAGAAGAACTCTTCTTCCTCCTCTGGTGTGACTGTGAGAAATGCAATCATTCAAAAATCAAAAGTTATCTGCACTTCAGTTGTATGCTTGTATCACAACATAGAACTACATGAGGTTAGAGTTACCAAAATTAAATAATGATAAAGTAAGATATATAAACCTATTCAAAAAATCTTCTATTGTCCTTTACAATCATTAAGCTAAGGTTAAAACCAGAATCTAAAAATACCAAGATAAATTACACGTAACAAAACAAAAAAGATTCAATTCATATATCAAAAATAAATGTTAAAAGTAAAAAGCTTCTTTAAACAGGTAAGTCTTTAAAAAATAGGTATTGATGGAGATTTTCAAAAGCTAAGAGGCAATCCATTCCATTGCCTTGACACTGCAGTACAGAACACTCATGCTCAACAAGTCTTAAATATCAGTACCAATAAAAATAACATCATCATTATTACCACCTTATATTTAACATACAAAATGATAAGAGGCACTCACCAACAATAATAACATCAGCAAGACCTGCACGTTCTTCATCACGTAGTTCACGTGCATACTTTACAGCCTGATATAAAAACAGATATTCCAGTCAGAAATTGAATTATTCTGACACTTCAGAGAAACTTGACAACAAACTTACATTAAAACTCTCTTTTTTGTTGCTTTCTTTTCCACACCACACATAAATTTTTCTTCCACAGTCAAAAACAAAGCAATCCCCAATGTTCAGCGAATCAATGGTAGCTGGTACCTAACCAATGAAACAATACAAATAAACTAATTTGCAAGAATATGTGGAGCAGCAAGAGGGAGAACTATACTCGGATCTAGGAAGTTAAGGGTTAAATATACACAGAAAGCCACTCACCTGAGAAGCATAAATTTTACGTTTCCCTTTCACTTGCATTAATGCTTTTGTAAACTTTTTCTTTCCTTCTTTGAACCCAGAAGCATGGCCTCCATCCAAAAACCTGTAGAGAGAAAGAAGCAAGGAGAGTCATTTCTATTTACAACATCACCCCGGAATCACACAAATCAGTCTTGAGAATCAAGGAAATGATCACTAACTAAAGTTCTTGATTGTTAAACAAATTCTCCAAGTCACCACCTTAAGAAATGTATAGAGAACAGTGTGGTGAATGTGCATACTAATGTTAGGGTTAAAACTCAAAAGAAGTCATACTTTATCCCATCTTTAAAAAGCCCTTTGAACTTTGAATCTTCATGACCTCCAACCTTAGCAAAAGGGATAAAAAGATTATTTATATTTCATTCTTAAAAAAACAAAGCAAAAAGAAGGGGGGCATTGGGATTTTCAGTTTTGTAGTTTTGGCTATTTTTTAGATTGGTTTTTCGGTTTTTGTGCCAAAAAACTTTGGTTTTTTGGTTTTGGTGTTCACTGTGGTTTGCAGATTTTCCGTTTTTTAACACTTGGTTTTCGATTTTCGCCAGAAATACTAATGGGTTTTTGGCTTTGATATCCAATGCGGTTTTCCGTTATTCCTATTTGACCTATTTGGGTTCCAATTTGTCTTCCATCTGAGTGGCAATTACACACCTCCACTGATCTCGAATAGCTGCTAAACGCAAATGTTATCGAGAGGAATGCATGACAAACCAACTGAAATGTTGCAAGGATTTCTAGGTAGCCTACGTGTAGCCGTACCCTCCCCCCTCCCCTAGTTGGGGGGGGGGGAGGGGAGGGTACGGCTACACGTAAGGTATGGCTAAGCACGAAAAATTGCCAGAGCTTCTCTATCAATGCCACTTCGAAATTGGAGACCAAGTTACAGGCCACATTTGACTGATTGATTCAACATTCCAGTAGAGTCTCCAAACTTTCAGGTCTTAGTTTGCGAATGGAATTGTTAGATTAGGGATTTTAGATTAAACTTTCCAGAGCTATAGCTTTTTGCAACTGCAAAATTACAATCCTATTGAGGACTTTTGTGCGAATTTCCATAATTTAAGAAGGCTCCATTACCACTGCTGAGTCCATAGAGACCATGCTCGAGGTCCTCGAGAGAGCAGCTGTTAATTTAAGCAGATACTAGAAGATACAAATGCCAAGTCCATGGCATTCATAAATCCTGTAATGAAATTAGTGTAGTTGACTCTGTTTGCTCCACTTGTCACTGCTGTATTGGATCGATCAGGGTTTTAATAACTGGGATGTGAAAATGTATTGGTTTTGACAGTTTTGCAAGTGCTTTTTGGTTTTGTCTGAATTTTTTTTGGTTTCTTGGTTTTGGATGATTTTTTCCGTGGTTTTGCAGTTTCTAATAGGCCCCAATGCCCCCCTCAAAAAGGCAAGCAGACAAATCAAATGCTTACCACTCGATGCTGCACAGGGAAATCACCTAATTCTGTATCAAGTGTCACAGACAGGCTGGCAGCAGCTCCTTGTTCATCCTTAAGAAAGAAACATTTTAATAACATTAACAAATTATCTAGTAAATAATGATGTAAAAACAGCAGATGACTTACTGTATGAACTCAATGGTCTTCATAATAGTAAACACAAATGACACATGTATTATAAGTATTATGCAGGGCGTGAAATTGCGCCTAATACAGGCGCCAATGCGACTAAATTTTTCACTTTGACGACCAAATCCTGAAAGTTAGTCGCCAAATTGGCGACTAGAACGTTTCATCATAACCTTACCAAGAGATATAGTGAATTAAAAAGATTTGCAAAGATAAATCCGCGGCAAACTTCCTCGTTAAGTTTGTTTCCAAAATGTAGCACATGCATCTCGATCAATAACTAGATGCCATCTTGGATTTAGATGAGCCTGAACATTGTATATCATCCATCCTAGTGTCCACTTTGTAGCACGTTAAAGATCTTTTCCCTATCTTAATTTTGGAGGGTCTATCTAGAACGCTGACAGCGTAAAGAAAGTTTTTTTTGTCTTTGATAATGGCGACCAACTTTTTTTTTAATTGGCTACCACTTTGAAGAATTTAGGAGCCAAGTGGCTATCAGAGAAAAAAGTTAATTTCACGCCCTGTTATGTATGCACCGTCCTGTTCTACTTCTGTCTAATTACAAGCACAAAGTGTACACTGTCTAAGCAATCACTTTGAAAATAAATTTGTAGGGGCAGGAAGCTGGAATCAAGGATTGAACCCTCTAGAGGATATGGCATGTTGGTCAAATGAAAAAGGAGAAGAAATTAACTCCCTTATTCCAATTTTGTCATCTAAAGTAACCATACGGCTTTTTTATCAATTCTATCTCGTAATCACTGAACATTGGGAATTTTTAATTCAATTTTTCAAATATTCTGTCGGAGAAAAAGGAGAAAATAAGCTATTCAATCACAGGAATTAGCTTCAAACAACAGTGCTGCCATATCTCAATCAAAAAGTATAATCCCTACACAATGAAAATGTGCTTCAATTATTCTTAGCTTATCAGCACACAGAAAATATTTCCTTTCAAGTTCAAAGCAATCCTATCATCGTGGATGAAGAAATTTTTTTATAGCTCACCTGAGTAGTCTCTGGTCCCAACCAAAAGTAAATATTGGCAGTCTTACCAACAGTTATTGTCTGAAATATAAATTTAAATAACAGTCTGTATACAAAAATATTTTATCACGACAGAAACAATAAATGCATTTTTCTAATAATTATTCAAAACTAGCCTGCATGGCTAATTAACTCTCCATGAATGGTATGTATTCAACAGACAGACAGACACTTTTTGTTAATTTTTAGCCTGAGAGTGATCCTTTCAGGTGCTGATGAAAGCAACCAGTCATTAATAGGAGGGTAATTTGGTTTTATTAACTGAGTTGATAACGCAAATTGGCCTTCGTAAAGAGTTTCTATGCTGACATTTCAACCCCACTCGCTCCGATGAAGGGCTAACACTCGAAAAGTCAGCTTTGGAACTCTCTACCATGGGCCAATTTATATTATCAACTCAGTTTATAGTACCAAATTACCCTGTTATACTCTCCCACCAATGCAGCACCACAGGTTCTTTACAAATGTACCTACGTTATTCACTTGCCATCGATGGCAGCCTAGTCTGAATCCTTAACCCTTTAACTCCCAAGATCTGATAGTCAATTCTCCCCTCCAGCAACTATATATATTTCCTTTTAAATTAGTTATAGGAATTTGGTGTTAGATCAAGACTTTAACTTCTACTTGATATGTTTGAGGATTTCTCATTACCTGTTTGCCTGATAATGTGTGGATATTGTAAGGAGAAGTTGGATGTTAATCACTTCTAGGAGTTAAAGAGTTATCAAGAAAATCACTATAATGATTGTTGAGATACCTGAAGTATGATGTATGAATCACCCTTGTAAAATTTTCCATAGTCCTTGGGAGAAACTTTAACAGGCTTGAAAAACTGCAACATGAACATTTAAAAAAATGCAGTATTAAACTAAGAAGAAATCAAGTAAAGACATTAAATAATTTATAAATATATATTCCTTTGCAGGCAAGGAATATATACCATCCTCGTCCCTATTAATAAGTAATGTTGTTATGGCTATTGTCAATCTCATCGTTACCATCACCAACATTGTGTCCGTCACCAGAAACATTATTATCAAAATCACCCTGTAACAAGTCCTGTAACAAGTCACAAATTTCTAACCAGCCTGAACCACAAGTGTTTAACTCTTAAAACTCAAAAGATGTGTCTAATGAATAATTTCTTGAATGATATAATTTATATAGATAGATATAATTTCTCAAACGGTAATTTTTTTAGATATATGAATCCTGCACCAGTATCACAGAGGTCATGGGTTCAAATCCTGTACATGCCTCAATTTTTTTCAGGTCCTATTTTCAACTACTCGTTTCAGTAGTGTTCTTAGCTGCAAGGATCTCTGAATAATTTCTCCTTACACAACAACTGCTAAATCAACATCTAATGTTAAAACATTAACAACATGGGAATAAAGGAAATGATCTTTAGCTAAAGAAGTCTCCTAATCAATACCCTAGGAAATGTACAGAGAACCATATGGAGAAAAATAAAACCAAAATTAGGGTGTAAAGAAAGAACTAACCTCGATTCTCCATATTTCCAATCCTGGTTTGGATCCTACTCCAGGAAAGGTCCTTTGTCCATTTTCTGCGACTGGCATTTTACAGTTTTAACTGTGAAGTTTCTGTACATCAAAAATAAAATTAATTATAAATATTTAATTCAATAGGAAGCATCACTCCAACTAAAATCACACTCAAGTCTTTTCTTTCCTTCTCTCACTATAATCCATTGCATTTAAAATTTTCAAAATATTTTCCCTTGTCTCTATAAAAGACAGAGGAATACCCTTAAAGATGATGTCAACTGTGCTCAGCTTTCCTAGAAATTTTTAAAATTTCCTGTGCAAATAGGTAATGATAACTTTTCAGAAAGTAAGAATGGCTAAGTTAAATTTGATGACACGATGTGAATCACAAAAATTTTAGAATCTATATTTAAATAGAATATATTACAGAAACTTGGCAACAGAAGAGATTGAGGGAAACGCCAACCCTAATTCATGTGCCCTCTTTAGTCCTAAACCTGTTGCTGTGAGCTTTTTCTTACTGGGTTACAATGATGACAATTTCATACAGAGGAGAAAACTCTGTAATTTTCTAGATGACTTATACAAATATGTAAAATAAAAGCAGTGATCAAATGTCTCAAGAATGCCAAAACAGTGTTCTAGCCACTTCTGTTAATCTTCTAAATCAATTGACAAAAACTTGTAAAGGTGATCAGTACAAGAACATGCATTTTAATAAGGATAATGATTAACTTTTTAATTCCCAGCTGGCGTTAAAACATAATCCTCGTTTTCATCAAGCTTGTGGACCATAAAATATGTATTTACACCTTCAATAATTACAAAATTTCAGCATTGCTTTAATTAGTAGGATGTACTACCATGTAAAAACGCCAAAGAGGGTACAAAATCGGCAAAATGTTCACCCATTCGTCACTTAAAATGCGGAAAAAACGATGGCATATTTAGAAATCAACTCTTACTTTAAAATCCAAGAATTAATTACGATTTTGGAAAGCTATGTTCTCCAAATTTCGAATGCATCATTTTAGGGTTTGTTACAAGGTCAATGAAGGTAATTCAAGGTTCACTGGAATTCGACAAAGAGGTAAATTCGAGAAATTTAAACCCACCAACGGAGAACGAGAAAGCGTAACCACAGACACTATGGCAACGGAGAATATAATAATTACCGATTTGCAAAACTTTGCATGAAGTTAGACGCCATAACATTAAACGAACCGCAAATGCGAGTCTATAAGCCGTGAATTAGCGAATTAAGAATTCATACGGGAAATTTCCTATACAACAAATACATCGATACTCACTAAAAAGGTGTCTTTACAAATATAAACGCTTCTGTGCTTTGCATATAGGCTTAAGTTCCGTTTTCCAGTGATTAAAAATTCAAAAGGATGGCTGCGACTCGAAACCAGCCGACTCAGATCATTCCCACAAATAAAAGCAGCATAAACATCGCAATTCGACGACAATGGCTCGCTCAAAAGTGTACAAACTTGCAAAGCAAATACGTTGAAAACTATAGCAAACATATCACAGTGTGCAGGCATGAAAATCGAGGGTGTCAACTATCGCTGTTGACAAAACGCTAAGAAGGAATTCGCTCAAAATCCTGGAGAAAAGTCTGCCAGGAAATTGCAGTAAAGCAATGTGGCGTTACAGCGATTCGGAAATGACACGCATACCAGCGACTTCACCTTTTTGATGAGCTTTTCAGCGAGGTAACTTCCAGGTCCGAACTTGAGTAGTGCTAATAGAGAGCAATTCAGCTGTAAATAGTCTTCAGACTGAATCTCATATCCGGGACATCGACCCTTATAAGTGGGCGTGAGAAAAATACACGGCGTGCGCTTGTAATAACATATTCGCCCCCACTCCACCCAAATATCCAAAGACAAATTTCCTTGAGGATAAAACCGCGCAAGAGTTAAGTTCATAAATACAATATTACTCTGTCTAAGTTCTGGACAGTTTAATTACTTAAATTGTGCCCTATTCAGACGCCCAATTCCATCTAATTACATCTAATGTTTTTGATATTGGTGACAAAACCAAAAACATTTTGATGAGCTGACAAACATGTTCAGTAGGGCATGACTAGGCACCATATGAAGTGTGCAAGTCCGTAACGGGATATTTTTAAAAGTCATTATTTCTATTGTGTGACAATAAAGCTTAGATGACGTAAGGGCAAGAAAAAGCATACTAATATTCTTTCGTCCGATTGTAAGAGTATTCTACACAATTGACCATCGGAAATACGTTATTAAGCCTTTTCATTTGAATATAATAGAAAAGAAATACGCGAACAGAGATTTCGAGAATGTACTATTTCATGAGGTTTTATTTTTCCCATTTTGGCAGATGTAAACAGCAAAGGTCAGAGACATGGAAAATAACTTGTTTTGAATCAGACATAATAAATATTTTATGGTCACCGGAAAAAGAATAACATTTTCCAGTCTGATTGCTTAGCCTTGGCCAAGGTTATTTCTTTGATCTGAAATGGAATGTTTATAATGAAGCATATACTGTAAACTTATTTGTAATCTCTTGACAAAGTACAATTGTAAGTATACGGACTTTACTCAGTTCTTGAGCTAAACAATTGTCTATATCCCAGGCTCTTGATTAAAGAACAACCCGATGGAAGGCCAAGGCCGCGAGGGAATGGGACCAAGGGGGTAGTAGTCACTAAGTCACTAATAGTCACTAAAACACTAAAACTACAACCCACAAATATTGCAATTTCCATGATCGTAATCTTCCTCGTCGTAACTGTCGTTGTCGTTATCGTATGAGAGTGGGACTAAAGAATGTTCCTATTATTCATAATTCCAATGCCTTAGCAGCGGGGAGCTGGAAGAGGCCGCTCTGATTTAACAATGCCCGTATACATAATTTCATTATCTCTTTTCAGCTTATCGGCTGGAAATCTGTAACCCCTACCACTCAGGTACATTAAAAAAATTCAGTAAAATGAAGTCACTAATTTGCGAGCACGTCCTCATTATTATCACTTCGGTACTAGCGTTGCATCGCCTGAGGAAAAGTATGAGGCCTTGGCATGAGCAATGCGAGGCAGCTTTTCTAGACATTTTTAGCATTTACTGTACAAATAAGTAACGATAACTTTTCAGAAAGTAAGAATGCCTTGGTTAAATTTGATGAATCACAAAATTTCAGAACCTGCATATAAATAGAATTTATCAAAAAAACTTGGTAACAGAAGAGATTGAGAATGTGAACCCCTATTCATGTGCCCTCTTCAGTCCTAAACCTGCTGCTGTTAGCTTCTTCTTCATGGGCTGCAGTTATGACAATTTCATACAGATAAATGTGGTCACTAAGCTGTGAGCTGAGCATGTCCTCATTGCTAGCACTTCGGTCCTAGCGTTGGATCGCCCGAGGGAACGAATGAAGCCTTAAGCATGCGGGCCAGCGAGAAGTTTGCCAGCGGTCTAATACAGAAAATGTCTCATTTATTAGTGCCAGTAACTCCTCACAAATGAGAACAAAATCAACACGATGAAAGATGAAAAATAAACACAAGACAAAATAAAAGCTAAGAAGTAATAATGATAATAATAATAATAATAATAATAATAATAATAATAATAATAATTATAATAAAAGTTTATAAAACTACAAGGAAAATTTTGGTTACTTTGATTACCGGCATTCCTGCCAGCCTGAGTAACTTCCCTTAATCGGAATTAAGCAAACCTATACAATGAATTCCTAATCACAGATAATGCCTTTTACCTACAATCGGTAGAAGGGATTTTCTCTCACTGGGGATGGAAGTCAGTCTCCAAGCTTTCAGATGTTCGGTTTCATGCGGTGATTGCGCGAGGAACATTATATTTCTAACCAATTAGCATGCCGCCTCACTGACAGCCGTGTTGAGTAAGAGTTAAAGGAGGGGAAGGAAGCACTAAAGTCGCATTTAGGAAGGTGAGCGCCTTTGGAAGAACAGCCTTTAGAGAGCTCTCCGTCTAATAATAGTTTCCAGTTCCCATGTGTGTCGTTCGGTGGGCTCTCATGTCATCAAATCAAACCTTAACTTAGTTAAAGACAAGTCAGCATTTATCGGCCACAAGTGTCCAAATTCCAAATTCAGACCCTACTGTCCAAAATCCAAAATTGGCCACTAGTGTCAAAAATTCATAATCGGATACTAGTGTGCAAAATTCAGAATCAGCCACTACTGTCGATTTCGACCCTAGTGTATACAATCCAAATCGGCCACTAGTGACCAAAATCCAAAATCCACAAATCGGCCACCACTGTCGAAAATCCACATTTCGATCCTAATGTCCAAATTCCAAATTTGCATTCTGGTGTTCAAAACTCAAAATCAGCCACTAGTGTTGAAATTCCAAATTTCGACAGTATTGTCCAAAATTCAAAATCGGCCACTAGTGTTCAAAATCCAAAATCGGCTTCTAATGTCCAAAATACAAAACTGGCCACAAGAGTCAAAATTCCAAATTTGCGCCTCAGTGTCCAAAAACCAAACTCGGCCACTATTGTTCAAAATCCAAAACCAGCCATTAGTGTCTGAAATACAAAATCAGCCGCTACCGTTCAAATTAAAAATTTCGACTCTCGTGTCCAAAATCCAAAATCGGCCACAAGTGTCCAAATTCCTAATTTGGACCCTAATGTCCAAATCTAAAGTCGGCAACTTTTGTCCAAAATCCAAAATCGGCCACTAGGGTCTAATCTTCAAAATCGCCACTAGGGTCCAAAATCCAAATTCCAAAATTGGCCACGAGTGTCCAAAATCCAAAATCAGCCACTAGGGTCCAAAATAAAAAATAGGCCACTCGGGTCCAAAATCCAAAATCGGCCATGAGTATCCAAAATCTAGAATCGGCCATAAGGGTCCAAAAGCCAAAATCCAAAATTGGCCACTAGTGTCCAGAATCCAGAATCGGCCACTAGGCTCCAAAAGCCAAATCGGCCACTAGGCTCCAAAATCCAAAATCGGCCACGAGTGTCAAAAATCCAAAATCGGCCACTAGGCTCCAAAATCCAAAATCCACCACTCGTATGCAAAATCCAAAATCGGCCACTAGGGTTCAAAATCAAAAATAGGCCACTAAGGTCCAAAATCCAAAATCGGCCACTGGGGTCCAAAATCCAAAATCGGCCACTAGTGTCCACAATCCATAATCGGCCACTAGTGTTTAAAATCCGGAATCGGTCACTAGGTCCAAAATTGGCCATTAAGGTCCAAAATCCAACATCGGCCACTGGTGTCCAAAATCTTAAATCGGCCACTAGTGTCTAGAATCCAAGATCCAAAATCGGCCACTAAGGTCCAAAATCCAAAATCGGCCACTAGGGTCCAAAATCCAAAATCGGCCATTAGTGTCCAAAATCCAGAATCGGCCACTAGTGTCGTACACACAGAATCAGCCACTAGTGTCTAAAATCCAAAATTACCCACTTGAATCTAAAATCCAAATTCAGCCACTACTGTCGAGAATTGGGAATCGGCCACTAGGGTCTAATCTTCAAATCGGCAAGTAGGGTCCAAAATCCAAAATCGGCCACTAGGGTCCATAATCCAGAATTGGCCATTAGAGTCCAAAATCCAGAATCGGCCACTAGTGTCCAAGATTTTAAATCGGTCACCAGTGTCCAAAATCCAAAATCGGCCACTAGTGTCCAAAATCCAAAATCGGCCACTAATATCCAAAATTCAAAATCGGCCACTAGGGTTCAAAATCCAAAATCGGCCACTAGGGTCCAAAATCCAAAATCCAAAATCGGCCACTAATATCCAAAATTCAAAATCGGCCACTAGTGTCCAAAATCCAAAATCGGACACTAATGTCCAAAATCCAAAATCAGCCATTAGTGTCAAAAATCTAAAATCCAAAATTGGCGACTACTGTCAAATATCCAAAATCGGCCACTAGTCTCCAAAATCGAAAATCGGTCACCAGGGTCTAATCTTCAAAATCGGCCATCAGGGTCCAAAATCCAAAATAGGCCGCTAATGTCTAAAATCCAAAATTGGCCATTAGTGTCCAAAATCCAAAATCGGCCACTAGGGTCCAAAATCGGCCACTAGTGAGGCCACTACTAAGCCAAATTTGGACTATGTAGACAAAAACAATTTAATAATAACCAGGGTCTAATCTTCAAAATCGGCCATTAGGGTCCAAAATCCAAAATCGGCCACTGGGGTCCAAAATTCAAAATCGGTCAATAGGGTCCAAAGTCGGCCACTGGTGAGGCCACTACTAAGCCAAATTTGGAGTATGTAGATAAAAATAATTTTATAAAAAACAGCAAGGGATTTTCTGTGAGGCTAATTTGGTCTTTGAATAATAACAATTTTGACCAGGTTTCCGGCTTGAATGTTTGGAATTGAAAACCGAAAATTCGAACTCGCCCGCTTTAAAAGAAAAAATAGTCCAAGTAAAAATCTAAGGCATTGATTTTGTAGGCTAAGGATGGTGAAAAAATATTCGTTCAAACTTTGGCTAATATTACCTAAAAAGTTGCCAAATTTTATGACTTAGTCATCAATTCCTGTATTTCCTTGGAAGAACGACAGCTACTTACCATCATGCGAGTACTTAAGAGGGATTTTCGAGGGCCTTAAGCTTAATATCACACCTTAGAAAAAAATACAGGTTTTTAGATTTAACCTTAATATTTAATAAGTAAATCTGAAAAGTGTCAGGCAACACCTTTAGGGGGGTTTTAAAAAATCTATGAAATCCATTAATTTTTTAACGACAAAATCTTACAATTTTTTTTAGAACAACTAAGTTATCGAAAAGTTATCTCTAAAAAGTATTTCAGGCTTCTAGCCAATATTGAAAATCTAAAAGCTATTTTTCAATTTTGATACTGATGTTGATTTAGATATTTCATTTTCTTATCTCGATTAAATAGGTACACGAAAGTCAATTCAGTCCTTGATTTGAATGTTTGATGAAGCTACAAAGACACTGGCGTAATCATAATCTTTGGCGAAGAATAGAAAAATTGAGATCACGTTTTTCTACTGCGGGGGTGTCTCGTCTTATTTCTACCAAAGACTTTTAAAATCAGACGTATATTTTCAACAATTTTTTGTTAGAATCCCTCACATCTCCATAATCCGGCAAATATATTCTAAGGATTATTTTGGTCGAATGTTTTGTTACGGAAATAATGGCGCCAAAATATTCAAGGTCTCCGTAAGCGGCGTATTAGGGCAGTCATGCATGAATTATTGATTGACAGCTACGTATAACAGAACCCCGTGTGTGGTTACTGTTGATCGGAAGTTCGATATGGCGACTAGTTGAGTTTGTTCTAGCCTGATAGGGCCTTCGGGGCTTTAACCGCTAAGCGTTTTAGAGTACAATGGCAAAGTGGGATTCTAAAAACTTAGAAATTCGTAGCAAATCTGTGGAGCAAACTCTGGTGCCCCTTGTGACTCAGGTAATAATTTTTCTCGGCGCTATTTCATCCATGACGGCAGCAGCGGTGTTTCAGCGGGGACTCAAGCTTTTTGTAAACGACAGAAATTCTACATGTATTTGATCTGTGCGGTTGTTTATTCTGATCTCAACGTAAAGTAACTCCTCTGACTTTCATGTTCCACTTGTCACCTACAGTGTTGTGTTTATGTTCTAAAATTCGCAGATAACTACGCTTGTTAACCACAAAGACCATGGTCGGCGATCGGAGAGAGCTTTGAAGGCGATTCATGAGATTGGACGAGTTGTAGCAATTGCTGTCGATCGCTTTGTTAGTGTTGGCGAACAGATCGCATCAGAAAATGAAGACGTGGCTGAAGAAATGCGTACAGCATGTGAAGAAGCCAAGAAATCTGGACAAACAATCTTTAATCTGACAAGTTTTACGGGCGATTCTATTAACGGAGATGGCGTACCGAATGGAACAGATAAAACTAGTATGGTTCGTGCAGCACGATCGTTATTATCTGCTGTAACAAGAGTATTAATAATTGCAGATTCTGTTGTTGTGAAGAGACTGCTGGCAGCAGTTAAAAAGGTACGGGTTGCGAAATATTTGTTTTCGGGAAGTCAGCTTTGTGATAGTTTTGTCTAGCTGTCTCGGCTTCAGTTTGAAGCGATTAATTGGAGATCTTTGTTCAAACTTTGTTTATTCTGTTCCTTAGTTCTTCTTTCAGAAGTGTGCAAACAAAAAGAATTTAAGAAATAACAGTTGATTTCTCCAATTAGAGAAGAATTCGGAAGGTTTTTGCGTGACATTATTTTGAATGAATGTCTTAACCGCAAATTCATGATGAAAAGGAATGCTCTCCGCCAATTTCTGCTAAACGCTTTTCCGTCATTCGACTACGTATTTGGTCTGTTTGAGAATCTTTCAGCGGCAAGGTCACTTCAACGTTTTCGAACAGAATTAACCTCATTTTCTTAAGGTGGAAAAGTTTATTTACAGTTTCTTTTTTTTAAATTTTTCCTTCCGTCTGGGAATTAATATTGCATGTTGAAAACCTGCTGAAAGTCAAAAAGCCGAAATTATTCGATATGTTTGAGAATGAATGATCGGAACGCAAAGCGGTTGTTCAAGTATTCGTTGATTGATTACAAAGTTATTGATTACTCACCCATTCTCGCGATTACACCTATTAACATTTCCCACATAATTTCCTCGTGCCTCAATTGAAACTCGACACCACAAAAAAATTTGTCATTGTTCTTAACCAGCCGTCCAATTTCTGATAACTGAGTTGGAAAAAATGTGAGATTCAAACACTCTACAAACCCCCTAAAGAAGTGTATAGTTCTCCCACAAATACCCCTATCAATTGTCTGTAAACAAAAAAACAACTAACCCTTGAAAACTGCAAAGTTTGTCGACTTTATTTTAGTTCATCCGCTTTGTAAGATCAATTTGTGAAACAGGTCTTTTCTTCACGTCTGTTGATATCGTTTAGCAAGATTGTTAAAAAAACGAACTAAGGTGTTTTTTGGCTTCATCCACGGTTGGAAAGTTGTATATATTATCATACACTTCATTTTGTCAAGTGACCTTATCAATGGCTTCATTGACTTGATGTTAATTACCCAGTTAGGCAGGTTAAGGAAAATTGCATTTTTTTTTTTTTTTTTTTTTTTAATGAATGATCGCCATGTTGTTCCGCTAATTATTTTTCGACCAACTCGGTGGTTTTGTTAGTCATCCTGTTTAAACCTAAATGGTTTATATAATTGTATAGGCACCCTACATTAGTGAATACTGAAATGAACCCTTTCTTAAGATGCGTAGCGTGGGAAAGTGTCAGATTTGTTTATGTATAATTAGGTTAAAACACCAGAGTTCTTATGAAAGATTATTAATACTCAGTCCATTCAAGATTTTGTACCCTTGTCTGCAATAAATATTTCTTTTAAATTGGATAGCTTCATAATGATTGATCAAATCTTAGAGTTTCCTCTCTTTGGTTCTTTCGCTAGGTTAGAAAGTTGAAGTTTTAATTTAGACTTACATATACATTCTTACTGTGGTAAAAAATAATCTTATGTGTTAAACATGATTTGTGAGTTCACAGTACACCAACAATGATGAGTTATCAGAGTTATTTTTTAATATGATAAGTTAAAATTTTGCATGCAGTTTGATCAGTTCTTACTTATGATCCGTTAAAAGACAGATGCATAGATGAGATCACCATTCACAATATTTTGCTTTTTTATCTTATAAAACAAACATAGTCCAGGTTTTTGTAGGTCTGTACTACATTATTGGATCATGGAAGACATCAGAATGTTGTTAGAGTATCTGTGACACACATGGTTATGTCTTGTGTACCACTTTTTTGTTCTTACCACATTTTGACCTCATCTGTGATCTGTTACTGAACAGATGCACAACAACATGGTATCTGTTTGTCAACTAGACAAGAGAATTATTGTGTAACAGGGTAATAGTAAACTTGAAAATAAAGGGGAGGTTGACCTTCCATTTTCAGGTTGATGACAGGCTTAAACAGCTGGAAACTGTGAACACTTTTACAGATTTTGTGCAGGCATTTAGTCAGTTTGGATCTGATATGGTTGAACTTGCTCACTTGTCAGGTGACAGACAAAATGTAAGTTGAAAATAATCTGCGTTTATATATACATTATGACTCAGTGAGGGTTTGAATCCAAATCTACAGTCTCCCTTGCTTGTAATGAGGCATTAAGCCTCTCCTTGAATGAACCTCTCCTAAGGAGTCACTTCCTGTTGTAATCACTTCAGTCTGTGAGTGCTTCCTGTCTGCGATCACTTCCTGTAAGTGAGCACTTCCTGCCAATGATTACCTTTTCTTGATGACCTTAAGTTTGCACAGAAGTTACTGAACCTTTAAGTCATTTTGGGCCAGTGTTTTTGATGGAAATTTTCTTTCGTTTGCAATCCTCTGAAAATGAAATTCATGGCATCTTTTTATGGCAAGTAAAACGAAAAATCCCTATCTATGTTAATGTAGCCATTTGTGTTTGGTATTTTACTATATTAAGTTTTATTTTTTTGTAATTGAACACCCAGGATTTAAAAGATGATACTTTGAAAGCTGAAATGGGAGCTGCCCGGTCTATTTTGGAGAAATCCACAATGATGCTGTTGACAACATCTAAGGTAAACCCTTAACCACCAAACACCTCCCACAATGGCTCTGTCAAGTAGTGTTATATTAGTATAATAGTAACTATTAGTAAAAGCTTAATTGGATTATATGATCATAGTTTTGTTTTTTATCATGATTAGACGTGTCTGAGGCATCCAGACTCCAGATCTGCTAAAGGCAACAGAGAAGGTGTTTTCAAGAAGATGAGAGAAGCCATGGCAACAATCACGTCAGTGGTCCAAGACGAACCTAAGGAGGAAGAAGGAGATAAGGGATGTTTGGCAATGGATTTAGGACATTTTGAAGTGAGTTTCAGGGTACAGAGTACTCTTCAATAAACGTGATTCTAGCAAAATGGAGAATGCTTGCCGTGTATAAATCCAGTACATCACCAAACTTGACTTGGAGTTCTCTGTATGTTAGTTACCATTGCTGAGGAAAGTCCTCAAAATCAAAACTGAGAGGGGTTTCGATCTGATGTTCTCTTTTAATTTAAGCATGATGGGTAAAATAAATTTTATAAACTGGCAGAGCAATCCTTTCACCAATTAAATTTTCAAGAATCTCAAGTGATTTTAGTCGGCAATAAGAGGTACTTTGGGCAGTTACTGCCTGAAAAGGAGAACACTGCAGATTCTAGCACAGAATTTTGATTTTCTGTTTTTTCTTTTTGGACAGGCTTGCCTAGAGGCATACAAACAAAGCTCACCAGATGACAGTGAATCCAAGATACAATTTCAAAGGGCATTTGCAAATATCCTTGGCGATGTGCAGTCCGTTATTGATTCTCCTCATACAAGGAAAGAGAAGAGAGAGAAAATTGTGGCCTTGTGTGAAAATGCGCAGGATATCATGAAAGACATCTTAGAAAGACAAAAGAACAACAAGGTATCCTTGTACTTATATCCATAAAATTCTCCTTACTGTCAACCATATAATTCTTATAATGTTAGTTCAAAGAATTTATCCCCAATTGATATTTTTCTTTATTTTCATCGCTTATTTGGTTGATATTGTATTGATATTGGTAAGAGAAATTATCTCTTGGTCACTCATGGGAGTTAAAGGGTTATTAATGTAATCATTCACTCACTCGTGCCCATTATGCTGAGTGGCACATAGGGAGGCTTTTTGCTGTTTCCGCAAAATGGGTGTTTTATGGGACAGGGTTGTTAGCCCTGTGCACAACCCCCTAACCTGGAGGACTGGTGGATTGTGCTTCATTGGACCTCTACCCTTTGACCTGTCCGGCTCGGGTAGCCCTACCAGGAGACAAAGCTCAGGGTATTAATGTAATGCACTTGTGAAAAGACTTGCATTTGAATCATGTCTGGAAGTACTTGTGCAGCTTGAACTATGGTTTGTCTTAATTTAGCATGAAATATTAAAGAGTTCAATTTGTATTTCTCCAGAATGAAGATGCAACTAGTATTGACACATTAGATATGGCATTGCAGAGGATTTGCAAAACTTCAAAAGATCTTAGACATGAGGTATGATTTCTGCAAAGATTGTAAATGAATATCTTGTCAAAATGATTTTCAATGAATTGAATTGTTTTCTCCTTCCTAACCCTGAGAGAAACCAACATCTAATTTCTCCTTACAGTAACATGGCTGAATCATTCATTAACTTCATGAGAATAAAATAAATGATCACTAACTACAGAAGCTTTGATTGTTCAACAAATTCTCCCTGCCAGGACTGAAGGAAATGTATAGAGAAGAGTATAGAGAATATGGATACTGATGTTAGGGTGTAAAGGGTTAATACTGTTACATACTGTACTCCTTAAATGAAGAAAAAAAAACATATCAAACTAATTTGAAATCATTTCTCCATCACTGTTTCAAATGCTCAAACTCAAATTGAGCTTCTTTCCTCCATGTTTTCAGGAATTAAGAATTGATTTTTAAGCGGTTTATCAACCAGGATTTGAGCATTGCTGTATATGCACATACTGCAATGTTCATATGCTTACAAGTGAAAAGCTTGTAACTATTGACAACTCTGATGACTTGGATAAGGAGTTCTCTGAAAGGGATTTTTCTCAATTGGTAGTGGTTGGAGAGAGCAGTGCATTTTAACTGTAGACATCCCTTTTTTCCCAACAGGTCCATCAAGTTGCTACAGATCAAGTGTTTGAAACATTTTCACATTTGGGTCATAAAAAGTCTTTACCTGCCTTGAGGAATGCAGCTGCATCTGGCAGTTCAGCTCAGCTGGAGAGTCTAGCCAATGTTTTCACACAAGATGCAAAACGACTGCAAGAGGTAAGAAAGAAAGGCTGTTCTCCTTAAACTCATTCATAAAATGTAGGGTATTAAATTGGCAGTGGAGATTAGAGAAATTTCCACTGCAAATGCAGACTTGTCTGTCTAAGTTTCTATTGAGGGCCAAACTGCTAAGACTCTTAAATCTGTGGACAGGACTTGGAGTGCATTCTTCAACACATGCACTCAAAAAATTTGAAAGGTATTTGATGAGTCTTTTAGCCCAAAAACTATTTTTTCTCAAGTAATAAACTCTTCTGTCTACTGTAGGTTCAATTGCCTGACAAAATTTTTCAGGTACTTAATACCATTTTCCTTTTCCACATTTCTTATTAAAACCTTAAACACATGCCCTGACCCCCCACATGGTCAGGCAATTTGAGGTCTTTGTGGGGTCCCCTTTCCCTCTTTGGCTGAGAAAGTGACAAGTCAGCTTCCTTTTGTTCCCAGGTGCATGTTGGGATTGCAATGCACTAAAAGCTTACTGTTGATTTTTTAAAATCTGTTTTAGGTATCCAGGGTTACAAGAAATATGGCGTCCAATAAACCCATGGCTATCACAGCAAAAAAAGTAGAAGAAAATATTGATACGCTTTGTCCCCAGGTATGAATTTTGTCTAGCATTGACTCAATGATTGGAAGATATGTTAGTGTAATAGTCACTGCATTGGACACCAGATTTAAGGGTGCATGCCCTTGCATCAGGTTGTGAGGCAAGGTACTAGACTCTAACAGCTTCTCTTGCTACTCAGGAGTTTGAATGGGCACAATTTAATTGTTGAAGAAGCTTGAGAAAGTACTGGAAGGTCAACAGTGATGTACTAACATCTCTTCTAGTTAAAGTAACAAGGCCTTAGTTTGCTCCATGCCATGAAAACTGGAATAAATTCTTGCTGTTCTTTGAGTTTCATGTGGTCTTTCACATTGGCTACATTTTACAAACTCAAACCTTTCTCCAGTTATGATGATAACAAACTATGAACACAAGTTAGTAATGTGCTAGTCTAAGCACCTTTCTTCTTTTCAATTTTGGAGCACATTCTTCCCCTGTTAGGTTATACATGCTGCAAGAACATTAGCAGCTCATCCTGTCAGCAAGATTGCTCAGGAGAACATGGAAGTCTTTGTGGATGTTTGGGAAGCACAAGTTGAAGAACTTGGCAAAGTGCTGAGACTCATTACTGCTGGTGGAGACCCAAGTAAAAGTAAGTGAACTGCAGAAAAACACAGATGGTGTTGATGAAAGGATACGTTTAGAGCTTCATCCTTATGTGACAACCAAAATAACTAAGAGAGGGCCTGGGGGATGTGAAGGGGGGGGGGGGGGAGTAGTATGTGAAGGAATAGAGGATGGGAAGGGTGGGGAAGGGTGGATTAGAGAAGAAAAAAAGGCATGAAGCAAAAAATTAAAGATAGAAACCTTTTGTAGTCAATGATTAGCAATGTTGCAATGTTTTCCAGCAGAGTAAGGTGGGGGGGGGGGCAACAGGGTTAGGAGCATGAAGGAGTAGGGGATGGAAGGGGTGAGGAGATGAGAGAAGAAATTGCATGAAGTGGAAACTTTGTTATAGAAACCCTTTTTGTTTCCCAGTGAATGGGGGAAGGGGAGTCAAATGTGCAGCAATAGGGAATGTGGAATTGGGGGAGATCCCCCCCTCCGAAAGTTATATAAAGAGAATGGAAGATAACTATCATAGTGAGAATTATTTGTGAGGTTAGTTATGAATAAATTTCTTGAATCATTAACAGTTACTGCTAACTATTACAGTCTACTGCTAACCATTAAAATCAATTTTAATTTAGAGCCATTTTGCTTACATGAAAGCCTGAAACACTTGAGTAAACTCTTCACTCAATTCACCATTATTATGATTGAATTTTATAATGGCATATAGTTTCTGAAATTTATTGTTTAACTTCCACTTTTTTTCTGTTATCAACTCTAAACAGGGCTGTCTTTTAGGATGGAAACATCTGTATAAAAATGTCATCATTTTTAAATTACACCCAAAATAAAATAACATAGTTAAAAAAACCTAATTTTTTAAATTTATATGCAAGAAATTTGCAGTTTGTATGAGATCTTAAATGTTGTTTAATGTAGTAAAATTTTCAAAATTTTCGAGTATTTTGTAGTATGAAATATTTTGCCACTTTTATCACTGTAAATAGATTTATCCTTAAAGAATTGCTGCTCAAAATTGTTTGAATGATTTTTAAATCTCAGATAATTGTGTGAGCCTATAAATGTTGTGAATCAATTTGAACCATTTCTTATAAATATACTTGACTACACAATTAGGTAAACTATGTTTTGAAAACATTTGTAGGTCTTTAATTCCATGTCAAAATTTGTATTCAGTCAATTAAATATCAGTATCAGTAGTAGCTTTTGATAAGAAAATAGGAGTCATGAATAATTTGAGAAACTGTTCTTCCTTCCAATTTACTATTGTAAAATTCACAGCTCATGATTTACAATTTCTTTTCACAATGGCTAAACATCCTAAATGGTTTATGATGTCAATAAACTGACAGAGAGGACAGTTAACCCTTTAACTCCTGTGAGTGACCAAGACAGAATTTCTCCTTACTATATCAATACAATATCATGCAGACAAGTGATGAGAATAAAGTAAAATATTAATTATGGGATTACTAATTGATCCAATGCCAAATTCTCCAAACAAACATAACGAGAATCATTTGGCAGACAGTGAGGAGAATTACTAATGAGATCTTGGGAGTCAAAGGGTTAATTGCTTAAATTAAATAGTTAGGAGTTTACAGGTACCACTAGTCATAGGTTTATAACCACTCAGAACATTCTTTGGATAAGAGGTAATTTGAGATTTCTGGACACAAGTTAAGTTAGCTCATGCTGGTTATTTTCCCTTGACAGAAAGAAAGAATTAACTACTTGGTTAAAAATATGTTTCTCTAAATGTTTTTACTCTTAATGAAGCTTTTTCTCACATTTTTCAAAGTAGGTTCCCAGTTAAAAAATTTGTGCAAATAACCGTTAGCAGTAATTTGTTATTACAGGGATTTAAACCTAAATCATTGTTAAATTACATCTTCTTTTACACATTTGGTATGTGCTCTTTGAGACTTTTGCAATCAAACTAAATGTCTTTGATTTTGATTAAAGAAAGCTGAAACTCTCTGAAGTTGCGATAAATGTTTTATTTGAAATGTCTCAAAATTTGCTTCATCTTGTATGTAACCACTCAAAACCTCACCCTCACTGATCCACTGACACATTTTGCTGGCTCTGAAAATTACAAATGGCAAAATAACAATCGCCTCTTGTAGTTTTTATAGATTGTGTGCCCCTCACTTGAGGGTTGCAAGGTCTGAAGGGCCTCACAAGGTTATTTTTGCCTGTAAATGTAATTTTGCTTTTTTTTTTAAGAAAAAGAGCAGTAAGACAATTGTTAAATATCTATGCACCAAAAAGCTTGAATGCCATCTTCAAACAGATACTGTGGATCAGATGTCAGCAACTATTGTTTCAAAGAAATGTTGCCAAGAAACTTTCGGCCTGAAAACAATTTTTTTGTTTGACTTTGATGATCACTTCCACTATTGTCAACAAGAGTTTCCAAAGAGTCCTTTTTCAGGATTTTTCTCATTCAGACAACCTCACATTCTTGTTAGTGTTCACTATACACTGAATCATGTTTTCTTCAGTGTGAAACATGTTGATTCAGTTAAAAATCATTGTGGGAAGTAGACTTTTAAGAACAGCACAGAGAAGCAGCCAAGGGATTCATCAGCATCACCGTAAGTCCTTCTGTAAGCGCCCTCCTCTAGGCAGGCTATTAAAAATTGCTGGGCATCATTATCAATTGGAGGAGTAAAAGCCCCAATAAATACCTTTTGCTAACCAAGTTTGAGGTCTGTACTGTAAGCATATGGACCTAGTTTTTACCACTTGGATTTATGGCTCAAGCACAAAGTGCATGGGGCATAGATCTGAGCACAATGAAACAACATTCCGTAACTTACAGTACTGGCAGAGAAAAGAAGGTTTGTAAGATATTTATTTTATTTTTGGATTCAAATAGAGTGGGAAGATTTTGACTTAAAAAAAATCCTTACTTTTCTCCTACAAGTGAAAATCATGAAATTATTTGCAACACAAATTATTTTGGCCTCTTGGTCATTCTGTGGCTAAGAATTTGCGCCATAGGGGAAGGGCGCTTACTAGAGGTGGGTGCTTGCACAAGGAGTTACGGTGAGTTCTTAAACCTTTACACCCTAACATCAGTATTCATAATCTCCATACTGTTCTCTGTACATTTATTAATGTGCTGACAAGGAGAATTTGTCCAACAATCAAGAGTTTCTCTAGGTGGTGATCATTTCCTTTATTCTCATGACATTGATGTATGATTCAGTGGTGATATTATATGGAGAAATTAGATGTTAGTCGCTCTAAAGGGTTAAAGGGTTAAACTTCCTGGCTGTAAATTTGTTTTAGTGCTGGATATTTTTTTATTGGTGATTTTCTTAATTGCACTTGTTACAGCACAACACATCTTTTGTCTTATGTATTAACTCGATCTGTTTTAACATGCAATATGACCTTTAACTAATGTTCCTGTTTAAACTTGTCAGGAAATCTGTGCAGTGATTCTTAACAACTTTTTAGCTGAAATAAATTGTAAATAACGTAATGTAAAATAACAAAAGCTCTGTGTTTAGCTAACATCTATTTAACAAATAACATCCTAATCTGTAACAATGGTTATCTTTAACCCTTTAACTCCCAAGATCTCATTAGTAATTCTCCTTACTGTCTGCCAAATGATTCTCATTATTCAACACTTTGACTCATGAGAATTTGGTATCAGATCAATTAGTAATCCCATAACTGATATTTCTCTTTATTCTCGTCACTTGTCTGCATGATATTGTATAGATATACTAAGGAGAAATTCTGTCTTGGTCACTCATGGGAGTTAAAATGTAAACTTTGCACTCTCTTTTCCTTTAAGCTTCTATATCAATGTAAGTATCTGAGCAACTGTACACCCACCCCTCCCCTAACCCAACATTAACTTGTTATCAATTGACTGTTGTTGGGTCAGGGGAGGGGTGGGTGCCCAGTTCCATAGGTAATGACACTGATGCAAGCTTCCAATACTTGGGGATGCAGTAAACCAAATGTGTCTTTTTTTTTAAATGAGTTGTATGTTGGTTAATCAGGGGCAGAATCTATTGACCTAATCACTCCCTGGATCCAAATGTCAATTCTCCACACTGTCTGCCCTACATTTCATATAATTTTACCTCTGAGAATTTGCTATTAAATTAACCAATATCCCTAGTTTATGAATCTATTTTTTCTCGTCACCTTTAAGCATTAACCCTTAAACTCCCATGTCTCTACCAAGACAGAATTTCTCCTTACATTATCAATACAATATCAAGCAGACAAGTGATGAGAATAAAGAAAAATATCAATTGGGGATAATTAATTGGTCCAATACTAAATTCTAAGTACTAACATCATAAGAATTGTGTGGCAGATAGAAAGGAGGATTACTACTGAGATCTTGGGAACGAAAAGGTTAAAGTGGTTTGATATGTCATACCTTTCACTACCAAAATATCAGTAGTGATTCTCCTTACTGTTTGCCATACATTTGTCATACTGTCAGTTGTAAGAATTAGGTTTTGAATCAAAAAGTAATCCCCAATTGACATTTTACTTTATTCACATCACCTGTTTGCTTGATATAGTAATTGGTATTGCAGCAAGAAATTACTTCTTGGTTATTTGAGGGAGAGGGTTAAGGACTAATTCCTTTTCTATCGGTGAAAGCTTTGGTATATCTGGTGTTTTCTGCTTAGATAGGTTTTTAAATAAGGGGGCACCTTTTTGTGGGTACTGTGCTCTTTTGAGTAAAAATGTCTTTTGTTTTATTACTTTTTTTTTCTAAAATAAATGTTACTTTCCCCTTTGTGATGAATTTTGGCCTTTCTGATTTTGGTCCTTCAGTCCATTGCATAACTTTTTGAAAAACATTCTTGAAACTAGAAGTAAGTCACATGCCAGCTCTCGCTGACTACCAAGAAACTTTCTTGAATAGGAAACAAATCCCCTGATCTCTTACACTACTTAACCCTTTAACTCCCATGAGTGACCAAGACAGAATTTCTCCTTACTATATCTATACAATATCATGCAGACAAGTGATGAGAATAAAGAAAAATATTAATTATGGGATTACTAATTGATCTGATACCAAATTCTCCAAACTAACATAATAAGAATCATTTGGCAGACAGTAAGGAGAATTACTAATGAGATCTTGAAGATTAAAGGATTAAATCAACAGTGTGCACACTGGGTACATGTGTATGAGGCAGGGTTGTACAACTGAGTTTGCGGACTCAAATATGCTGGCTGTGTCAAAGAGTGCTTCTTGATTGAGTGGCATAAAACCAAACCCAAAGTAATCACTGACCAACCAGAAGACAAGAAAGTAACTTTGCAGAGCAATTGAGAATTCATAGCAAAACTGAGCAAACTGCCTAAAGTGCAGGAAAAAGGGGTGCAGTAGAGTCATGATTGGTTTCAGCTTTGCATTTGATTAGTTGAGAGAGTGGCATTAGTGTTTTGGAACAATCACAGAGTGGAGTTAAACAAAAGCAAAACAATTTCTGCTTACTTTTGACACTCAATCAAAAATTGCTTTTAATTAAAAACAGTCACTATTTGGGTGGGCATCAGATAGCATTGACCCTATACTGATAAAACACTTTGTAGCCATGGCATAAATGGATTATTAAGTTTTTATTCTTATAGATATAATTTCAAAAAATGAATAATACATGATTATGTTATTAATCAAGTCGTTTAATTTTTTCAGGAAGTCCTGGCAGCCGCCATAAAAGAAGTTCCTACAATGCTGTTTATGCCACTCTTTAACGGCTGCTGAAAAGGACAACTGTCTGCTGACTGTTGTTTGATATATCTTGTAGGCATTGCTACTGTTATAATTCTGTGTTCCCTGAAAATTACTTTTACTAAATACAAAAGAGGAAAATAACTATTTTTAATGAATATGGTTAATTTATATCAATATGAATATTTCATGGTTTAAAAAAATTTTTTTTTGATAAAAAAATGAAAATATATTCATAGACAAGTTTCTTTTTTGTTTTAATTTTTTTTAATGCCACATTTTCCTGGCACAAGGTGCAAAAAAGGACATTTTAATGTCATAAAAAATTAAGCTTAGCAATAGTAGTGCTTTATTTGCCTGTTGTTAATTCCATGGCTACCTCCACCCACCCTTGACATGTGAGAGATGACAGCCTAGTTTCTCATTACAATTTTCATGTTTTACTAAGAAAGAAAGTAAGGAGAAGAAAAAGAGTATCATAATCCTGTGCGTCAGTTTTGTTGGAGATAGATATGCCTCATCCACTGACTGACTGTGGTTGCTAAATTTTAAATTTTGCTCATTTTCATCATTTATTGGGAAGAAAAACTTCAAGTATGGTATCCAACAATTCCAAATTTCATCTTTTTCTATTCCATGTATCCCTAATATTTGATGTCTTTCTTTTATTTGGTATGTTTTGATACCCAACTTGCAAAATGTTTTTAATTTTTCTTTCTAATCTAGAGGAATGGTAGTTTCAAAAACAGATTTCTTCTAGAGTATACATGCTAATTAATTTTTCAATTGGTAGGCATGCAGCGTATGATAATTTTCTTAAAAATTCTCACATTTGTGACAGTTCTATAATTATATCTGAAATTTGTTTATGAAATCCTTTAAAAAAGATTCATTTGCCAATCAGATATCATTGTAATTCTGTCTTATTATTTGTTAAAGCTTCAATTTTAGAGAGTTCTAACATTTTTCAAATTTTGGGTAGGGATAAAAAATAATCATCTTCCTATATATACTTTTGGTAGATCTATTGTAACTTTTAGTAAAAATGAACTTTTTAGGAAGCTTTACAAGAAATGAAAATAAATTTAATTGTTTTGAATGTTTGATGTCCTTTTATTGCATCAGGCACTTTTGTTAGTTGTGTCTGGTCTTTTCATGATGGGGAACATTAGGAGAGATGGGAAGAGAGAAGAGGGGTGGGGTCAGTTGTCACTCCTTTCCATACTGCCTTTGTGGTTTCCACTTCATTGCTTGCCTCTTCCACTGGCCCCTTCATCCTTGCATATCTCAAGGACCAGTGAAGGACTGGTTTACTGTAGGTACCATGTTAATGTTTGCAACTAGTAGATTTGATCTGAGAATTAATTTCACAGTTCATGTATGATTTTCATTTAAGACATAAAAACTGGAGAACATTAGATTACAATGCAATATTTGCATCACTATCAAGTCTGAATATGACAGTGATCTTCACAGTAATGAACACTACTTATTGAGCAGTAGTGACATACTGAGCTGAAAAACATTCAGGCCTGTATAGGAGTTGAACTCATGACCTCTAAGATACTGGTGCAACAGTGTCGAGTATGTTATCTTCCTATTATGAAGAAACTTATATTGAAGTATATTGTCTTACAAAACATAATGGAAACCTGATTAGATTTGTCAATGGGAGACTCTTCCTTTAACTGCTAAAAGTGACTAGCATCTAATTTCTCCTCCAACCTTACCTCACCCCTGAATCAAACATTAAGGCCTGGAGAATGAAGGAAGTAATCCCCAGCTAAAGAGGCTTTTTATCATTAAACAAATTCTCCCTGTCAGCATTGTGGGAAATATAAGGAGAACAATAAGAAGAAAATGCACACTGATGTGAGGGTGTTAAGGGATAACTGAGAAACTTGTGTCATGTTGGAGGATATCTTGTAACACTTGGGTTTCTTCATGTTATTTTATGTTAAGGGCAGTGTTGCTTTTACTTTAGATGTTGTGGCAGAAGAAGAAAGTCAGGGGCTAAGGAAAACAAGTGAATCTCGTGTAGAGCAACTGCTGGTAAGATGGACTTTGATTTGATTTCACAAACACTTTTAGTGTTCTACAGTTATTCAGCATTTGAAGGGAGGTCTCTTTACCAGTATTTTGATGTGCAGAGTTGTATCATGAAAGTAACCATGAAAGTAAACAATTGTTTGAAAACAATGGTTATAAGCAGCCCTAATCAGTTTTGGTTTTTAAGCTTTGTTTATGTTGGTTGGTGGTTATGCCTCTTGCTCTTCCTTAACCTTTAACCTGCAAGATCTCATTAGTAATTCTCCTTACAGTGTCACTAAGAGTCAGACGTGTAAATCAAGTGAGGTCAGGTATGCTACGATAATTAAAACTAAAACTAAATTATTTTAGCATACCTGGCCTCACTTGATTTACACCTCTGACGTAGTATCGCTGTTTGGATGTTTCCTCAAGTTATCAGAAAAGTTAACAACAATCCTGCAACAGTTATTGGTTTTAAGGTATCCTGAAGTTTATTGTGATTGGTTGGTATAAGATATAATTTAAGGAATCATACCAGGCTTCATGCTAAAATATCTTGTAACATTTGACAGCAAAAGTCGTCCAGTAGAAGAAGTAGCAGTGCTTCAGTTGAAGAAAATGAGGAACCTGAGAAAGCAGTGGTTGATTCACAGGTAAATTTTATGGGAGAGCTCTAACATGGAATAACCATGGGAAAGATGATATTCATAATTCATTTTTCTGTGCCACATCTACTGGGGCCTTTATATGCATGGGCAGATCCAGGGAGTTTTGACAGGGGTTCCAAATGTTGATACCCTCACAGACGCTTGGAATTAATTTAGTGTGTTTCAATCAAAAATGAAAAAAAATAGCCTGTTGAGCTGGATTTTGACCTCCTTTCGCTGAAAGAAATTTTGGTTTCAGTCATGCCATAAAAATATTCACAGGCCTGAATGGGTGGCGGGACCCACCTTAATCTGCTACCAGGCCTCACATACTCCTACACTAGTTTCTTGCCAGCATTCAGGTGGATGCTGAGCTGTTTTATTATATTACAGCTTCTTTTAATTTTTTTTTCCACGATAGGGGGGATATGAGCCCTAGAGTAACACCTCATTCCCCCTCCCCAGATGCACCCTTTGTATACAGGCAGCTGATGACTATTGAGAAAGACTTGAAACAATAAAAAAAGAGGTTCAGAAAGAGTATGAAAGTAATTTTTTTTACTTAGGAACAAGAGAAGCTTGGCAAACTTATTACTAATGTTAACTTAATGACATCGCAACTTGAGCTGCACTACTTTGAAGACACAGATAACGAAATAGTCATTAGAGCAAGAGAGATGTCAGAGATGGTCAGTGAAATGTATCTCTTTACAAGGTATGACTCTTTGTCTCTCATGTAACATTAAGAAAAATAGGTTTGCCACAATTTCTAGTAGCAGATGTAGTCACTGCTTTAACCCTTGAAGTCCACTAGTGACCTGGGGAGAATTTTTCCTTACATTATCAATACAATATCAAGCAGACAAGATATCAGTTAAGGGATAACTAGTTGATCCAATACCAAATTCTCCAAACTAACCTCATATGAACTGTATGGCAGACAGTAAGGAGAATTACTAATGAGATCTTGGGAGTTAAAGGGTTTAACTTTCTTTCTGCCATACATGCCCATTTAAAGAAGTCAAGTGAATTTGCTGTTTTTTTGTATGAAACATCTTAGATGGCCCAAAATCTGATGGGCTTATCAAGCCCTCCTAACTAGTCCAGCTTCTTCCAAAACTGACCATGGAATTTTTTCTGCACTATTCATGGCAAAGGGGAAAAAGACAAGCCAGCAGAAGTAATTAACTGTAAGTTAAAGAAACAGAGATGAGTTCTTAATTGAGAGCTTGTGCTAATCAGCAGATTCCTTTAACTTACAGGGGAGAGGGATCTCTTAAAACCACAGAGGATCTATTTGAAGCTTCCCAAGTGAGTAAATTGAATTATTTGGACATATGTTTTGTATGATGTAATGCGCCAAGTTATGTTTGGTCATACGTGCTTAATGTCCTGTATAATCTTAGAGTCTTCCAAGACAAATACACCTGCTCTTTTTCTATAGTTTGCTACACCTCTCAGATAAAAAGTGAATTTGGATCTGTTTTCTTTAAAGAGAAATCATTGAAATGCCATCTCAATTGCAAAAAGAAAAATTATTACTGGATTCTTTGTCCAGGAATATTTGTATTTTTGAGAATTTGTTTCCATTTAGCAACCTTTACTTTGTGGACAGAGACTGCGGCAAAATTGTCCTGAAATAAATTTAGGGGGTGGGGCTTAGTAAATGACCCAAAATGAAAAACATTTTCAGATACCAAACTTACAGAGAATTTGCATGTTTGATATTTCAACCCATTAGGAAAACTACTAATAGAAAGAAGATTTATTTTAAATTTGTGATCTTAATATTTTGTCTACACAGAATTTTGCAGATGCAGGCAAGGCACTTCACAGAGTTGCAAGAAAATATGCCTCAAAGGTATTTAAAAGAACTGCTGGTCTCAACAATTGTTACCAAAGAAATTATGACAAAAATTTCAAAAAGTTTTTCTGAAGTTGCCCATCGATTAAGGGATCTGGACTTACAATGTTTTTATTGGTTTCCAGGCAGAAGAAAACCCAATGAAAAAAGAGTTGTTAAGATACGTGGATAAAATCCCTGCCTATTGTCATCAACTCTTGTTCACAAGCAGATCACTAGCAGTTGGGCAGTCAGCTTGCTGTAGAAAGGTATGTTACTAAACCAGCAGTTTTAATTAAAAAATGTCCTCAAAGTTATTTATTTTACTTTTTCAACTTACTTTTTGACTTATCCTGGTGGAGTGCCACCTTGACATAACTTGCCAGGAGTTCCACCCCATTCATCCCCAGGATTTTTCCCCTCGGATTTTGCCCTCAGAATTTCACCCTTAAGGGGTTTGTGACCCTTAGGGGGGTTCATCACCCTTAGGGGGTTCATCACCCTTAGGGGGTTCATCACCCTTAGGGGGTTCATCACCCTTAGGGGGTTCATCACCCTTAGGGGGTTCATCACCCTTAGGGGGTTCATCACCCTTAGGGGGTTCATCACCCTGAGGGGGTTCATCACCCTGAGGGGGTTCATCACCCTGAGGGGGTTCATCACCCTTAGGGGGTTCATCACCCTTAGGGGGTTCATCACCCTTAGGGTTTCACCCCATGGGATCTCAGCCCCTAAGATTCCCCCCCCCCGAAATGTTGTCAGTTTCTTAAGGTAAATTTGCATGCTACTTCGTTGTTGTATCAATTGTCAGGAGACATTGTAGTTTGTTAATGTTATCCACCCAATTGCAGAGTGGTACAGGGGAGGGGAGGGAATGTAGATAGGTTTAACTGATGTTTAGATGAACCTTTAGCTGCTACACATTTCCTTGTAAAGCAGTTACTAGAATTTGATGTTAGATCAAGATAACAACTTTATGTGATACACTTGAGTATTCTCATTACCTGTTTGCTGGATAATGTATGGGTATTATAAGGAGAAATTACATGTTAATCACTGCTGGGAGTTAAAGGGTAAGAATAAGGAGATTTTCAGCAATTAAAATGTGTTTACAGTAGGTTGGCTGTAACTGACTGGTGTAAATATTTTTGTACAAGGATTAAGACAAATTGAAACTTTCCATCTACAGGTGTGGGGAGTAATGCATTTAACAAAGAACGTAATAAAAATTGTGGCACGAGTTGTCAACAGCTGTTACCTGTTAGCTGAAAGGGTAAGTTAAGTTAAAAAAAAATTAATTGACAAATATGGGGCCAGAATGTTTTATGTGTATATACAATGGCAAACCATAATTTCATGACTATTTTCCACACCCCAGAACAAATTGAAAGATCAGCCAGGCTTCTGTCTCAGCTTGTTCGCTTCAGTACTGCATTCAATATTTTACCCTTTAAAATTTAAAACTTTAGGTTAAATGTCTTTTCTTTGTAGAATTCTCCTCTCAAATTACCCCCAGACCAAAGATTATGGCAGATAGATGAGAGTATTTTCTCAGAGGAGTCTTCAATAGGAACAATATCAAGACGTTCTTCACTACAGAGCCTTGAGAACAATGAAAGTGAGCTAAGAACAACTGTGGAGGATTCAAATGGAGTTGTGATGAAGACAGAACTGTAATGTTAAAGCCAGGAGGATAATGCTCAATAATTAAACTCGTATTGTCCAATGAGAAATAGCTCATCAGACAACTATCTTGTTGCCATGAAAACAGATCATGTGCTTAGCAACATCTTCAATGCAACAAGCAGACAGAGTGTTAGATCACATACAAAATATTCCCTCAACAGAAGACAGTTTTTGTTCTTCCCAAATGAGCCTCATTTTTTAAGGGGACTTCCCAGAACAGAAGTGTAACATTTTGTTCTTTTTGAGTAAATATGTATGGCACATACATAGGATGCCCTTTCAGCGATGTCCAATGCATCCCAACTCAAAAGTAAAAACAAAAATGACCATCAAAGCAAATATTTGAAGTAACAGGATTTTTCCCCTTGCAATATTTTAATAAGATAATTTGGTTTTACCAAGTGAAATAATAAGGTAAATTGGCCACCCTAAAGAGTTACTACAGCTGACATTTCAAGCACTGGCCCTGCATCAGAGCAAAAGACTAACACTTGCTTTGACAAAGGGGTAGCACTCAGAATGTCTACTTTTGAAAGTCTCTATGGTGGCCAATCTACATTATCAACTTGGTGGATAAAACCAAATTATTTTGTAATACACCCCACCGCCACAGCACCACAGTTTCTTTGGAGACTTACCCCCTTAAAATATTTTAATAAGTAAAGCTTAGTATATTGAGCTTTTGGAGTACAATACTGAGAAATATGTTTATAAATTATCATCCATTAGGTTTTTATTTACTTTCATCTTCAATATCATTTATTTACCTCTTCACTTAATACCTTATTTTTATCCATTACGGTACAGTTAATTTCCTGCTTCAGTTGGTATGAGTAAGTCTTCTCTTTCTCCTGTTGGTCTCAAATTCAATTTAGTCAAAACCCAGATGAACTTGTTAAAATTCAATTTGGTTTTGTCATCTGAGTTGATAATGTGAATTGGCTGCTGTAAAGAGTTTCTAACGCTGATGCTTGAAAGTCAGTTTCAGAGACTCTTTGTGGTGGCCAATTTACATCATCAACTTGGTTGATAAAACTAATTTGAATTGTTATACCTCCTGATAATGCAGCACCACAGGTTTTTTTTAATAAACTTACCCCTTTTGAACATGTTAAAGTTGGGTTTAAACATTTCAGTAATGTACTTACATTTTCATCACAAGAGAAATTCTATACAGTGGCCAATTTTATTTCCAACTCAGTTGATAAACCAATTTAAATTGTTATACCCCCTGATAACCCAGCACCACAGTTTCTTAAGAAACTTACCCCCTTTGAACATGTTGAAGTTGGGTTTATACATTTCAATTTTGTACGTTACATTTTCATCTCTGAAGAACGGTTCAGGACAACTTTGTTGCAATTCACTTAATGAGTAAAACATCTTTTTCATAAGAGTTTGTTTTGAAAAAATAATAAGTTCAAATGCAATTAAGTTTGAAGTTATGATCAAAGTGAGCTAGGAGAGGTTTGCAAGGGGTCTGGCTTTATTAATGATCACTGCTAAACCACTTGCAGGCCTCTCACAGACTTACTTTGCCCAAGACCTTAAACTTACTTGCAGGCAAAGTACTTGTGCTGCAGCACTGATAGCAAGGGCATGCTCATAAGCTAGAAATTTAATGTCAGTTGTAACATTTTGCATATGAGTATGAAGTGACATTGTAACATTGTTGGTGTTATTGTATGCAGTTGTAACATGATTGTCGATCAGTGTTACTGTTCTCAGGAAGTTAACCCCCAGTTTGAAAAAAAAAAATTCCTGAGCAGTGTGTTGAGTATTTGTGGCATGAAATAAATTTATCAACATTTGCAAATGGCTACAGGATTTCATTATCGTACTGTGAATGACTTGCGTAGAAGTGATGTGGAATTTTTCTCCCAGTTTTGAGCACAGAGGAGCTCAGAGAACTAAAGATGGATTAAGCTCACATCAACACATGTCTATTACAGTGTAATTCTTGCAGTTTTCATGATCACTGTCATCACCCCAATAATTACCAGCATCAACCTTGTTATCAACATCAACATCATCATCATTATTGTTATCATTGTTATTCCTGTCATTATCATTATCAATACACAAGGAGGGGTAAACATTGACTGCTTCATGGCTTCATTCTATGCCCCCAAAATACCTGTATTTCTGTCTAAAGTTACTTCAGAGAATACATTAAACAAGCACATTTTTAAATGTTACCAAAGTTTATGTCTCACGTTTAATAAAATAGAATGGTACACTTACATTATTACATCTCTCAGTTAATACAAGCACTCAATTGAGTGGCCTGTATTTCACTTTTGCACTTGGGACAGAATTCCAAGAGGAGAAAAGCATTGTCCATAACTTACAGTACAGACCTTGAACTTGGTCAATGGGACACATTTACAAGTTATTTGTGGTTATCCTATCTTTCCACAAATTTCAACACAATACATGAAACAAGCTCACAGTTTATACACTTGTGCATCTTATGACTTGTAAATTACCCCAGGCAGAACAGATAACATTTCAAACAACAAGTTGGCTGCTGTTAGAGCTGTTGTCCCAGTTGTGTCATAGGGTGGCGAGACCTAAAAGGAAGAATACCAAAAAAATATGAACATTTTTTTAAAAAAGAGTTCTAAAATTTACTACGAGCCTTTGGGTTTTTTAATGTGGATACAGATAACCTGGTTTCTGTGATCTCAGCTAACCATAGAGACTGTTTCCTTTTAACCCTTTCACTCCCAGATCCCATTAGTAATTCTCCTAACTGTCTGTCATACAATTGTTATAATGTTAGTTCAGAGAATTAAGTATTGGATCAACTAAGTATCCCCAAATTGATATTTCTCTATATTCTCATCATTTGTGTGGTTGATACTGTATTGATATGGTAAGGAGAAATTATGTCTTGATCACTCATGGGAGCTAAAGGGTAAAAGTCTAAGGTTAGAGTGATTCTTTTTCAGGCAGGCCAATCATAGTAGCCAAGATGAAAAAAATGATTCTTACCTCAACCAAGTCACCACCAACAATGTTCAATCCATGGCACCCTCTTACAATCTCTATGCCTTGTATGGAGGTGAGGCCCCCAATTTCTGGGGTTCCTAATAATCAGAAAATACAGTAAAAGTTTGGGTGGCTTGAGTGGCTTTCATGTTCAACTGGTTAAGTATCATCACACTGGTATTGCTGAGGGAGTAGGTTCCAATGTCATTAATGTGAAATAATTTTCAGCCTTCTTTTTCTACCTGCTCAAATTCAAATTGAGAGTTTTGTCACAAAGATCATTTCTTAAGTGGGGTGTCTCATTTCTTAAGTAAGATAAGTGTTTCATCTATCAAGACAGAAGTCTGCCTGATATGAATCTAGAATCAGCAAGTTTGTAATAACTTAAGGAAGAAATATGATGCTTTGATACTATAAAAAAGCATGCGTTTTTTATGTTAAAAAATAAACTTTCTTCTCACATTATACAACCAAGCAGTTTTTGCCATTAAACTTGTAAAAATTCTTACCAGTTCCTGGTGCAAATGCTGGGTCCAAACTGTCAATATCAAAAGATATATAGACTGGGCCACTTCCCATCTGCTGACGAACTTCAGCCATCAGTGGTTCCAAAGACTTGTGCCAACAATCCTTTGCAGACACCAACCGAAAACCCTGCAGGATCAACCAGCTTTTACTCATTAACTCCTAAGAGTGACTCACATCTAATTTCTCCTTAAATTACCACCTCTGAATCACTTGTTAAGGTCATGAGAAGAAAGGATATGATCACCAACTAAAGAAGCTTGATTGTTGAACAAATTCTCCTTGTCAGCTCTTTTAAAAATGTACAGAGAACAGTATGGAGAATATACATACTGATGTTAGGGTGTAAAGGGTTAAGTTTAATCCTTTCACTCCCAAGATCTAATTAGTAATTCTCCTTACTATCTGCCATACAATTCTTATGATGTTAGTTCAGAGAATTTGGTATTGGATCAACTAATAATCCCATAATTGATATTCTTCTCTATTCTCATCACCTGCCTGCTTGATATTGTATTGTTATTGTAAGGAGAAATTCTGTCTTGGTCACTTGTGGGAGTTGAAGGGTTAATATGAAGCAAGGTGGACACAAATCTTCTTATGCCTGTTTGTAATACAGGATCAATGTCAGTATCTGAGTGAATGCACACCTACCCCTCCCCCAACCTAATAACAGTTAACTGCTAACAGATCAGGGTTAATTTTGGGTTTTAGGGGAGGGGTAGGTACACAGTTGCTCAAGTATAAGTATAAGTATAATTTATTTACCGTCAAGTACACAGGGAGTGATTGCCCAATCTCCCGAGCCAGAGGCTCATGATAAAAGTGACTGACTATAAAATACATTTACAAAGTCTGAAATTCTTAAATCTAAATTATTAGTTATCATGTTAAACTATTTACAAATGTATATTTAAACAAAAGCTACGTATACGCAGAAGTGTCAAAAGATTATAGACAGTTTTCTTCTAAAAGACGATAAGTCTAATCAAATACTGACATTGATCCTGTATTTCTTTAACTTCCAGAAGTGATTAACATGGAACTTCTCCCTATAATATCCATACATTATCCTGCAAACAGGTATTGAGAAAACTCCACCTTATCAGGTAGAAGTTGTTATCTTGATCTAACATTCAATTCTCATACCTGATTTGCAAGGAAATGTGTAGCAGCTAAAAGGGAGAATTAACTATCAGATCTTGGGAGTTAAAGGGTTATGATCGAGATGTTGATAATGGTGATTAGGATAACAATGATGATAACAATGACTAACACTTAAAATTGTGTGCAAATTGGCCAAAGAGAAAGTTATCACCAATTTAGTAGTAGCAAGAATTTCATCTCGAAATCAAGATTTTGATACCCAGTTACTACTTTTGTTACAGAATTACTTATTCAATGTTTTCCTCAATTAAAAGCAAAATGTGAAAATTTTAAACAAATTTGAAGTCAGTAGTAAGATTCATACTTGTCCTATTGCTACAACTATTTTGAGAAATTAACCAAATAATTTTTTCCTTCATTATGCAGTTTATAGTTATTAGCATTTTTTTCCACCCTATACCTGATCTTCTGCCCAAGCGTAATCCTTTCCAGTATATCCAGAACCTCGTAAACCAATCTGTACTACACGATCACAATCCAACAGCCCTTCCTCGACTGCTCTGCGGAATGTTGTTCCATGGGTAATTTTTTCCCCAAACATGACATCATTTGTATCAGAATGAGCATCTACATGAACAAGACCAACAGGTCCATGCTTTTCCTATTTGTAAACAAAAAAAAAAAACAGAAATCATATGGGAAATGATTGGTGATGTAATTTACAAAAACCACATTTATTTTCTTAAGCACCCTGGGCACTTATTAAATTTTTGGACCTTGAGAGCAGCTACAGGGGTGGATCTACAAATTTTTCTAAGGATGGGGTGTATCAAGGAATCACACAGCTGATTTATGCCTGAATGAATAAAAAGGGCTAATGCTCAAAATATCAATGCCAAATAAAATTTTTAACCCTTTAACTCCCAAGATCTCATTAGTAATTCTCTTTATCTCTTTCCCCCTTTTTTCCGAAGATATGATTTCCGTTCCAATGACGGCTTACTCCTTGCTCCTTGCAGGGGTAAAACACTCACCACGCTCAGCAATCAATCTTTCCATGCCACCGTCCCTAAATTGTGGAACTATCTTCCGGGCTCTATCAGAAACACCCAATCTTTAAACAAGTTTAAGAAGGCCATTAATACTTTTTTATTTGCCAAAGCTTTTTAATTATTTGTATCTAATTTCATATTTTTACATTTTCTTGGTGATCATTTTTTAATTAATTTATTTATTTATTATTATTATTATTATTATTATTATTTTATTATTTTATTTTTTAATTTTTAGTTTTGAGTATCTATGTAGGGCTTGAATTTTTAACATTTAATTGTAATGCGCAATTGAAAATTCTTATATTGATAATTGTGCAATATAAGTCTATAAATTATTATTATTATTATATTACTGTCTCCCATACAATTCATATGATGTTAGCTTGGAGAATTTGGAATTGGATCAACAAATAATCCCCTACTTGATGTTTTTCTTTATTCTCATTACTTGCCTGCTTGATATTGTACTGATAGTGTAGGAGAATTATTTCTAGATCTAGTGGGACTTAAAGGGTTAATGGTGTTTAACATATATTCTGCAACCTCATATCATGTTTTAAATAATAACAAGACATGAACATGTATGATTGACAGTGAATTTAGAGATTTTAAGTCAGAGGAGAAATAATAATCAATAGTCCTCTTGCGCACTTCAGTTTTTCTGGGGAAGGGGGGGTGTTGAGAGGGGTGATAGTTAACTTGTCACTTTTATTAAGTTTTATTCAAGGTTGGGTGCTTATTAAGCTTTTAGACTCTAAGAGTGACCAGCATCTAATTCTCCCTAAAGTAATACAGCTGAATCATTCATTGAGATCATGAGAATAAAGGAAATGATTGCCAACCAAGGGAGCTTTGATTGCTAAACAAATTCTCATTGTCAGGACTAAAAGAAATGTATAGAGAAGAGTAGGGAGAATTTGGATACTGATGTTAGTGTGTAAAGGTTTAAAACTTTTCCTACCTACAAGGTGGGTGCTCATTTGAGGTTGGGTGCTCAATCAAATAAATCTGTCAAACTTTATCCACTAATGATCAGTCACATCTCTACTAACCTTGATTCCCTTAAGAATAGGATATGAAATAGTGTGATCACCTCCCAAAACTAGAGGTACACAGCCATAACCAGCAATTGTTGCAATATGTTTATGGATGATTTCCACGGTTGCAGCAAGGTTGTATGTATTAATAGGAATGTCACCAAGATCGGCAACCATGAGAGATTCAAATGGTGCTGCTCCTGTAGCATTATTGTAAGGGCGAAGCAAACATGATTCTGCTCGTATTTGTCTTGGGCCGAGGCTAAAGAAAGTGGAATGGATATTTCATGTTATAAAGAAAAAAAAAATTTTCCCTCTTTAAGACTGATCACTCCAAATTTTATAAGGTAGCAATGGAATTTTTCAGTTTTAAAACCACCCTTTGGTTGATGAATGGGAGTTTTCATCACCCTTCTCCAAAAATCAGCTTTAAAAATCTCTGCTTTTAAAAATGCAATGAAAATTAATAGAAAAATCTTGGCAGTGCAGAGCCTCATCCACAAATTTCTCTCTTTTGCTAAGATCATAGATCAGTGGAAGATTCTGTGGCCCTAAAGATTAGGCAGCTGTACTACAGACATTTAGTTAATCTTTCTTTTTTTTGACAGGAAAGCTTTATCATAATAAATGCTTCTTGGCACAGCAGGCCGAACGGAAAGAGCAGAGATTTCGGTAGATTTCCTCACTCTTCAATTTCACATACTGATATTTAATGAAAGAAAACAGTGGGTTGAAATTGATTATGTAACAAAATAATTTGGTTTTATCACCTGAGTTGATCATGTAAATTGACCCCCGCGTCAGAGCTTAAGACGAAGGGCTAACCCTCGAAACGTCAGCTTAGAAACTCTTTACGGTGGCCAAATTATCAAGTCATACTCCCCTACCGACGCAGCACCAACGTTTCTTTAGAAACTTACCCCGTTTATTCATTGGAAAATTAATTATCTCTGATAACCAAATGCTTTGTTTTCGAAGAATCTGGGGTTGCATGGAAATCTTTCTTCGACGAGTAACGGTGAATTCAAACACAGCACAGCCCCATCTCGTGACATTGGAACAAGGATAGGAGTCACTTTTAGCGTGTGGGTATTTCACTGTTTGCATTTCAACAAAAGAAAGGATTTGTATGAAATCTTCTTCCTATGCACTGACTTTTAGCACCCACCAAACCTACGCAAAATGACAACAAAATCCTCACCGAGTTCCGGATCTGTTTGAAGTTCCAGAGTCCAGGGGAATCCCAATAAAACAAACATTCAGTCCCTCGGCAGTTTCTCGTACAGGAAGTCGCATCATGGAAGCTATTCCACCGGCACGTGGCATATCGTTCGGGCTCATCGGATAGTTGAAATCTCTCGATAGACGACTGCAAACGGTGACATTGCGGGAATGAAGCCTCGGTGCGTTTGAACAAACCAAAAAACGCAAAACACGGCTTGAGCGATTCATAATAAAATGGTCTTTGCTTCTCGCGTGCGTTTGGAACGAGTAGGCCCGCAGGAGGAGGAGCAGCGGCTTTTACGGCTAAGTGATTTTCTCTGAGGACAACAATCACCCGTTACCTCCCTGATATCATTTCCAAAGAATAATCATATAAAAAATAATTAATCAGAAAAAGAACAAACAGCAAAGTATTCGGAAATGGATTTTAAGTTATGTCCCCTCGACCTAAAAAGGTGTTGATTAACAGCCACAAACAGCATAAAAACTGTCAGTCGAGCAGTGTACCTCAACCGCGAGGCGAAATCAGACGGGACCATCCGACAGCGGTCCGAAGCCGTCCGATATCGGAACGGCACAGTTCGAAAATACGACGACCAGTCCGAAATCAGACGAAACCGTCCAAAATTAGACGGAGCCCCCTAATTTTGACCACACCCAAATTTAGATGGAACTGTCAGACAAGATTAGACAAGCAACCCCATCCAAAATCAGCAGATATCGAAAGAAACCGTCAAAAATCAGACTGAATCTTCCGATGTCGGAGTGAGTCATCACCATTTATTTAGAGCCCTTCGGTTTCGGATAGAACCGTCAGAAACTAGACGAAAGCCTCTCAATCAAAAATAGTCCTCCGATATCGCACCACTCATCCGAAATTTGACGTAACCATCCGAAGTTACACGAGAAGGAGACGGAACCTTCCGGAGTTGCAAGATATCTCTGATTAGACCGACTCACCTGTTTCCGGACATATCAAATCAGCAGGAACTGACCAGAATCATGGGAACATCCAACGGAATATTTGCAGTCGGATGGGGTCGCCCAAGTTCAAAAGTAATTTTCTCAAACTTTTAAATCGGATTAAACAAAGAGGTGTCCGAAATCAGACGTAGAAGTTTTCTAAGTAATGTTACCTGTCTGTTTGGTGCTATGTCATTCCCAGTAAGTATAGCTCTTTCCTTGCTCTGCCTGAGCTCTCTGACCCTTAAAATTTGGAATGGTAACCATCAAACAATAAATTTCTAGGAAATGGTTAACTTATACAAAAATGTCGCTTAAAAAACGATTTAATTCATGAATCCAACTTACACTCTCGTAAAATGTTTGCACTTTTTCACAAATTTCAACGACTCAGAAATAAAATTGTAACATTTAAGTCAGGTTTTTGAAAAAGTTACAAACTAATGTCTCAGTCACAGAAATGCGACTTGTATCAAATCCTTTTTTTCTCGTATCAGTAAAACTTGTCTACTCGTCAGCTTTCTTTACGTGAGTCATTCCAAGTACAGCACAGTGTTGCCTCTGTCCAACAGTCACTAGGACCTGTTTGGTCTGGTTTTCTTCTTGATGCCTCAACAGGTATCTCCGGTTTTGAAACCAGTTTCTGATCTGTACTTCCTTAAGCCCCAGTGCATTTGCCAGCACCCGTCGTTCGTCGCGGGTTAGGTAATGTTGACAAGAAAATGCATCTTCTAAATACTTCACTTGCATTTGTGAGAAGCGCGTGCGTCTCCTTTTGGGCAATTTTTGTGTCTTGCAGTCTCTTGAAGAAATTTGAACCGTTCCTTTCTTGGTGCCGTTTTCTAGGATGACAAATGAAAGTAGTTAGACGAAATTTCAAAATAGCCCGCGCAGCTAGGGCTAGTTTGATTTCTCCCTCTCGCGTGTGATACACGTAACACACGCGAGAGGGAGAAGACACGTTGGTAGGAATTTTCTCAGCCTCTCTCGCGTACGTAATTTTTCGTTCACCCTGCTCACTCGTGTTAACACCTGTTACGCAGAATAGCAGACTAGTGCCAAACTAAAACTTGTTGCAGTTTGGAAGAACAGCGTGTTTTAAAAAGAACCCTTAAATATTGTAATTATGAATCACTATCTACATTGGTAGATCTTCTCTAGATGTTAATGAATATTTTTTTAATGATGGACTCTGTTATCCTGAAATACTTTCTCGCGTGAGAGGCGATGTGTTTTTTTAAAAAAAAAATAATAATATGTATATACAAGTTTTGCCCTTTTCCGTCGAAAGTTTCTTCATGGCGGAGTTTATTTCACCTCCTTTGCAAATATAAGGACACGATGTGTCGAAATAGTCGTGATCATTTATTTAATGGTTCAAAACGGACGGTCCTAAAAGCAATTTTGAAATGCCTTGGAAAAAATCAAATGTTGCTATAAAAATGCTCATCGTTAAAAGTTCATTAACCATTCTGGAATTTTAAGTGACTTGCGTTCTTTTACGGGTATCAGAGGCATCTAACAACGGTCTTTATTTTTAGCTTGTGTAGTAAAAAGTGAAAGAAGTCACAGAACGCAATGAACTTATAACGCACGTACTGATTGTATTCTTAAAAATGCATTTTTATCGCTACAAATTCTTCGTTGCAAAATATCATTGATAGCTAGTTACCTTTAAGCTCCACATTCAAAAGACTTTGTTGCTCTTCTTCGATCCCAACGAAGTCGGGTTGAAGAAATTCTACGCAGCTTTCCAGTGCATCCACATATGTGCTGCATGCTCCATTCCCATCCAAGGGTCCTACTTCATCGCAGCGGAGGGGAAGACCTCGAAGAGGCTGGTTTCTTGTTTCGAATACACTTTCCCAGTTTTCTTTCTGTGGGTGCTCTTGCACAATCGGAGGTAATTTGCTTACACGTGACGGATCGGGAAAGTCTACGCGGAGTATATTAGCGATGGAAAATGGCAAATTCTGGGCCATGTCGAGTTCTTTTAATTCCACTGATGCGTACTCAACAGAAGTTAATTGTTTACGCCGCTTATACCCGGGAATGACCACAAGGAAATTTTCCCCCACAATGCCAGTTATAGAAGAAGCGTAAAAAGAGGGGAAACAAATCTCAACAGAAGGATATTGTTTGATCTAAAACTTACTTCTCAGAGCCGAAATTATAAGAAATTTTTCCCAGACAGTGTAAAAAATTGATTTTTAGACCATTAGAGTAAAAGGGATTCACCCGTGGTTAAATTTCAATCCATCCAATAGCAGCTTAGGACTTATTTGTGGTTTGCACGTGCAAATTTTGCAAACTCCTACAGGGTTTCAGATAAAAATAGGAGACAAATAAATTTCCAAGAGAACTGAAGAAACCATTCATACATCTGTCTTTTGATTGATATTAGATAAAAATTCCATTCTTTTCCAGCCTGTTTGTTCGAAAGCTGGATTATGTTATCCGCCGGATATATTTAAATAAAAGGAATATGCTAAATCTTTCCTACAATAATAGTACTTCAGCATTTATTTCTATTTATTTTTCGAATATTTTACTGATATTTAACCAGCGTTAAACTACTTTGTTTTGGACGAAAATAATTTGCACCTTTAAGGCGCAGATTGCGAAAGTGTTGTGAGATTCTTTTCACGCTCGTCGTGTCGAGACAAGCATGACAGCAAAGCTGAAATTGAACCTCTCAGGCTTAAAACTCAAAATCTGATCCAGGGGGATCTTTGTAGACTACTCCTGGCAAAACACACAGCATCTCAAATAGGAAATTAGCGGCGAGGATCGAGGTTGCTCCTTGTAGATCAAACATAGGCGAAACCTGCAGATATGAGGTAAATCTCGTGTTACAACGTGCTGTTTACAAACAAAAACATAACTGACAATTTTCTGTTCACATGTCGGATTGTATATTGCAAACTTACACCGTCTTTGCTGGGTGTTCTGCGATCCCGGTCTGTTGCTCGACAGACTTAAAAAACAGGAACCCCATGGACCCTCTCGTTGATGAGAGGAACTTGTTAGAAGGGGTGGAAAAAGACTGGATGCCACAGACAAACAAGCCTTTGACCCTAAGAGTGACTAGCATATAATTTCTCCTTACAATATGACCCCTGAAACAAACATTTAGGACATGAGAATAAAAGAAATGATCAAAAACTAGAGAAGCCCTTGATTGTTAAATAAATTCTCCTTGTCAGCACGTTAGGAAATGTTAATAGAATAGTGTGGAGAATTTGCATACTGATGTTAGGGTGTAAAGGGTTAACACAAACCTCTACTAAGTCTCCACCAATGATGTTCATTCCTTTGCAGCCCCTGATTATCTCCAAGGCTTGAATTGACGTCAAACCTCCAATTTCGTGTGTTCCTTAAAGGAATCAAATTAAAGTCATTATTACTGGTTATTGGTTCCATTCAAGCGAGGCAGGAATGCTGTTTTACTGCTGAATTAACAGCTGGTTGGAGCTATGATATGGCATATAACCAGCTTCTCAGATGAGGTAAACATTGTTAAATGGGCAGCGAGGTGAAAAGTTTAAACTTGGCGACTTCAGCGCAAGTTGATTTTAAACATGGACGACCAAAAGTCGTTTTTCTTCTGGTTGTAGCGATGTAGGATACCCTCGACTGCGTCGTTCCGCTTGGGAGACTTTTCGACCCAACTCCCCGTTGTACACCCGGCCAGATAATGTTTTCAATCAAACATCGCGCCCAGTTACAGAAAACAAAACGTCCACTTTGCCGTATACATAGAAAAATTTTCAATTGAGTTTCGAAAATAATCTGGGATTTGCCCCGTGATCGGTACAAAGAACTCTCCCCACTTTCTCAACCAATCAGGTGCAAAGCTTACACCAATCTCGACTTGGTCGCCCGGGTTTTCCTGCGCTTTTGGCGGTTTGCTTGTTTTCACCTTGAATTCTCCTTTTAGAACTATTTCATGATGATAACGATCTATCTAAAGGTAAAGAAATAGAGACCTGTTCCAGGTGCATAACCAGGATCTACTGCGTCGATGTCAAATGTGATGTAAACAGGTGCATCTCCCATAAGTTCTCTAACCTGCGCCATCAAAGGCGCCATGGATTTGTACCAGCAGTACTTAGCGGGAACTATCTTGAAACCCTACGAGAATGGGAAAAGGTAGTTAAAAGGATGGATAAAATAATGTTCAATTTATTGTCGAAAGCAAGCTAGGATTACTTTACTTTTGCCTCAACCCTCTTACTCCCATGAGTGACCAAGACAGAATTTCTCCTTACAATATCAGTACAATATCAAGTAGACAAGTGATGAGAATAAAGAAAGATATCGATTAGGGGATTAGAAGTTGATTCAATACCAAATTCTCCAAACTAACATCACGAGAACTGTTTGGCAGACACTAAGGAGAATTACTAATGAAATCTCAGGAGTTAAAGGGTTAATTCACTCCGAGAAAACCATCACCCTCTCAATCAAATAGATGCAAAATTTGAGCGCTTTTTAATTGAGTGCCGTAAACCCCAAAGTTAAGTAATTGCAACAGCCAATCAGAAGAAAGGAAATAACCGACCTGAAGAGCCAATGAGAACTAAAAGTAAAAACAAACAGACCGCCTAAAGCGCGGGAAAACGCGGGCACCAAAGTCGTGTTTGCGTTCATTTTGCACCTGATTGGTTGATCTGAGAGAGTGCCGCGGGTTTTCTGGACCAATCACAGAGAAAACGGTATTGCAAAACCAATGCAATCCCGAATTACTTTCGGTGCTCGGTTGAAAATGACCTTAAAAAATCAATCGCGCCTCAGTCATTCACGCTTTCCCGCGCTTCAGGTAGTGTGCTTGGTTTTGCGTAAGGTGCGTGTACTTGTAATGTACTTCTTCCGTCTCATTGGCTGTTGTTGTACCTTTTTTGGTTTTCCATAGAAAGAGCTCGCTTTGGATGCTGTACTAATTTTTACAATAACTTTCCCCTCTTAAGACCTGAAAAGTTATAACGCCTTCTTTTCAATCTAACAAGTGGTGGCCAAGTTGAGGCTTTGAGAGCTGATCGAGACCCACATTAGATAAATTTTTTCCTAAACTTTGTCGTAATACTTTTTTGAAGGGTACGAGTATCTGATAAGATAATAATTTAAAAGTTTATTACGCAATGAAAACTCAAAGCAATTACAGCCGACCTGCTTCAATCGCAAGACGATGAGACTTTTGCTCAGATCTGATTGGTTGGATCAGTTCATGGGTCTTTGCAACCAATCACAGAAGGAGAAGTGATTAATTAAGTCCTTACCAGGTTTCTACCATATTCGTAGTCAATCGGACTGTTCCCAGACCCTCGTAGACCAATTACGACAACTCGTTCACAGTCCAGTAGTCCTTCTTCAGTTGCCAAGCGGAATGGCGTGGCGTTTGTGATTTTTTCTCCAAAGGTAGTTTTAGATGTATCTGGGTGAGCATCAAGATGAACAAGTCCCACAGGGCCGTATTTCTCCTGTAAAGAATGCAGAAAATTGAAGAAAATGAAATAACACAAAGGACCTCCGCCATACCATCACTTTTGAAATACCACCTTATAAAAATTTGGCAAACCTTCATGGCTTTTAGAATTGGATATGTGATAGTATGATCTCCGCCCATAATCAAAGGTTTACATCCATTATTGATAATGCCGGCCACGTGTTTGTGTATGATACCAATATTGGCTTCGATGTCGAAAACATTGACCGATACGTCGCCAACATCGGCCACCATCAGCGATTCGTAAGGTGCAGCACCCGTGTGAGTGTTATGAGGACGTACTAAACAAGATTCGCAGCGGATCTGTCTTGGAGCCATGCTTGAAAAAGAAGAAAATGATACTGTGATAAAGTTTACATTCCCAGTCCAGATTTTCTTTGGTCCGGGCCAGTAGATACTCGTGATTCTGGCGGGGGAATGGAGGTAAAGAGAAGGGGCTTGGGGCTAAGGTTTGAAAAAAGTTTATTGATAACATCATGGGTGGAGGAAACATTGTTGAATTTGGAATCTATTTGTAAAACAGAGAAAACACTCCCAATTTACGGCTAATCTCGTTCACTTTTTGTTTCCTAAGGGAACTTATCTCGTCACACCACCAAAAATCATTTCACGTGTCCCGAAAAAAGGTTCATATCAAATGTCACGCAAAAGGCGACGAAGAACACAATGATCCACTTCATACGAATCATGCTCGAAAAATCATTGAATTTTGAGGGAAAATGCGGCATAAAGATGTCAGCTTGCTTACATTCTATAAACACTAACAGTCTATGTTCAATATTCTTTCCTAATTTACTTACAAGGAAAGCCCGTAAGTTTTCCTTAAACGAAATGTCACAACAACGTTGTGTCTTGTTAGATGGAATCGGACATGCGTAAACAAAAAATTATTTTGTCAATCATACCGCGCTCCAGTTCGATGAGCAAAAGTACCGTTGTCCATTGGAATTCCGAGGAAACATGCATCCAAACCATCAGCTGTAGACTGCATAGGAAGCCGGAGCATTGTAGGAAATCCTGCAGCTCTAGGCACGTCGTCTACTGTCAGAGGATGGTTGAATTTTTTCGACGAGAACGAAGTGGTGGCGATTGCACGAGCTGGCAGTGCTCGTGGTAGACGCTTAGAAATGGCAAGAAGCCCGGAGGCAGCCCTGTGAGAAAGCATAGCTGAGATAAAAATAGATAGGGAACCTTTAAAATTTTGTTTCGAACTGGAACCTACAGAACCTACTTTCCAAGTGATGCAAATGTCGTGACAAGAGCCTCATTGAGAAATCTAAATTCAATTAGTGATCAGATTTAGGCATAATTAGTGAAGCGTGAGGTCAAGAAAACCGGATGTTGGCCAAGATCTGCTTCTCTTTTTATCATAAACCTTTTTGTCCTTTTCAAATCATGGTAAGGGTTGTAAGGTGATAAGGGTTGTAAGGTGATAAGTGAGGTCTCCTTAAAAAAAAGTGAATTCACTAGTATCTTGAGATCTAAACTCGCTTGAACGCGTTACTTTTTGCGCCTTATGTAAATTTCGGTGCGCTATGATACCCGTATTTCACGCCCTCTAAGCAGTTTTTTATGTGTCTGAGTCATATCCCTTCAGTTTTAGGAATTTTGTGTGTTTTCGCCATATTTCAGTTCCTGAACCTCCACTCTGTAATTGGTAAGTTTTTCTTTTTTCATCGTTTCTTTGTATTTCTTTTTTCCCCGTTCTCTTTTTGTTAAGTATGCTTTTGTAACAGTTATTTACTTTTTTTTTTTAGGAATTTGCTTCGTCTCCTTCTTCGGCTTGTTGTAATGCTTTCCATTCCTTGAAATATTAACTTGAGATTTGATGATGATCGAGCTAAAAGTCTGACACTATAATCTAATTTTAGACACTAGTGTCCGATTTTAGACAGCACTGTCCGATTTTAGACAAAAGTGTCCGATTTTAGACATTAGTGTCCTATTTAAGACAGTAGCGTACGATTTTAGACAAAACTGTCTGATGTCAGAAAGCATGGTCCGATTTTAGGCTCTAGTGTTCGGTTATGGATTTTGGACAGTAGTGTCCGATTTTTGATTTTGGACGGCTAGTGTCTGGTTTTGGCTTTTGAACAGTAGTGTCCGATTTTGGATTTTGGACAGTTTATTGTCTGATTTTGGATTTTGCTCACTATGGTCCGTTTTTATTCATTAGTGTCCGATTTTAGACGAAAGTGACCGATTTTAGACACTAGAGTCCTTTTTTAGTGACTACTCGGATTTTAGACACTACAGGTAGTGCCCGATTTTAGACACTAGTGTCCGATTTTGGACACTAGCGTCCTATTTTCGAGATTCCGATTTGAGACCCTGGATTTAGAGAACATACCAATTTTTTTTGTCTGACTTCAATTGTTCGGACTAACTTATTTCACCTACCCCCATTTTTGCATTTTGTGAACTAAGGGAATTTTCGGTGGAAGCTCTTAAAAATCTAATGAAAACTGAGCTCTACAACGTTGAAACAAGGTGGCTTATTTGATATGTAGATGTGAACCTTTGACTTTAACAAGAAACTCTACAGGGTTTTTTACCAACTCAAAGATATCCAACTTCAAAATATTCAAAAAATAAATTAATTATACCTGAATAATTCGTAGCTCTGCGCCTGCGAGCAGATTGTGCGTCTAGTCCCAGTGTGTATGCGCACTTGTGTCCAGTTTTCTCAGCGCCGAATTCAAGTTGGAATGCTCAATCGAGCAGTTTCAACGTTTCACTGGAGTTTTAGCGGAAAATTTAGAAAGTTAAGCTCCGTTTTTATGGATTATGGTCTGCGAGGAACCGATAAGGGTATGTTAACATGTAGTCTCGTGCAGTAGTCCTTTGTGCTTTAATTTGTTTACGGAATTTACGGCACATAATTTGTTTCGGGCGCGGGATAAATAACTTATCAGCGAGTGTGTACGTTTGGAAGCGAAAATGATCTTTTCCTTTGACTGTTTTGGAAAATAAGTCTAAAAGGTGATTAGCTAATAGAAAAATTTTCAGGCGCTATTTGATTCGCCCAAAGAAATTTTTTAGCAGACAGACTTGGCCGATCGATGTAAATTACATTACGACAGGAGTTCATTTACCTTTTGTACCTAAGAAACGACCACTAAAAATTTGAATAAGGCTTTGAAATTCAATTGAAATCGTCCATTTTGGGTATTTTTCTAATATTTGATGTCAATTTCAACAGTGGTAGCAGCTTCGGAAACAGAAACAAATAATATTTTTTCTTTATTTATTATTTTATGTGCAGCTGATGTCCAGTGTTCACCAAACATTTTTTATCTGCCACCTTTCTGTGCGAACAGTTTTGTAGAAGAGAAATGTGATTAACAATAAACTTGAGTTGTAGATGAGTAGCATCCAAAAGTGCCTCCACACCACATAAAAGATACTCACAGTAGATAAGGATTTGTGGTAGTAGAAGGTACAATAGCAAGTTCGTTTTGAAACTGAGTAGAATTTGTACTACAAGATGATTTGGTTTTATCAACTGAGTTCATAATGTAATTTGGCCAATGTAAAGCATTTCTAAAGTTTATGGTGATAAATTTACATTTTCAACTCAGTTGATAAACCAAATAATCTTGAAATACCCCTCATCTATGCAGCACCACAGTCTCTTAAGGAACTTGCCCCTTGTAAAATTTGCACTTATTCACTCAGAAATGCATTATATACTAATTTGGAGGCTAAGGTAAAATTTTATTGTCATTCACTACATCTCCTACTCCAGCCGCACTTGTACCAAACAAACCTAGGAAAATTAAGTTTCTCAAGATGAATTTATAGAAGATTTGATTTTCTCTTGATAACTATTTAATTTTGTGATTTTATTTTAGGCATCTATATGGCATGCTTTGGGTCATTATGCCTATGAAGATGCAATCTTCCTTGCTGAACGACTTTTTGCAGAAGGTAACAAAAGATTATTAGGCTAACAAGTTATTAATATACCGTATTTAGATTTTTGTGTTTTATCTACAAGCTTAAAAATGAAGAACCTGTTTCCCTCCTATTTTTCTATTTGCTGTCTACTTTCAAAATAACTGACAGCCCTGTTAACCCTTTAACTCCGAGGAGTGATTAACAAGTAATTTCTCCCTGTAATATCTAAACATTATTCAGCAAACAGGTCATGAGAATATTCAAACTTATCAGGTCAAGGTTGTTATCTTGATTTGACACCAAATTCTTGTAACTTATTTACAAGGAAATGTGTAGCAGCTAGAGGGGAGAATTAACAATCAGATCTTGGAAGTTGAAGGGTTAAATTGTTGTGTACCAAAGTGTTCTTCAGACTTAAACGGCAAAAGCCATTTTTTGCCTTGAAAAATAGCACATAGCACTAAAAATATTCCTGTTTATAATCCACAGATGAAAATGTAATTTAATTTCTGTCCTTCTGGTCAAATTTCTTTTTGGTGAATGAAGAACCCACTGCTATTTGCTTTACTCCTAACATGTGGGTTTGCAGGTCATTTAGAAGTACTACCCAAGTCTAAATTATTACTCAGGCTGCTTTCCTGCAGTTCCTTGAATTGCAGCTTAGCTGCGAAGGTCACATCTTCACTTTCTAATCATCTGCAGGCCAAAACTTGATTTATTCCATTTAGTTGTGAACACAAAACACAGCTGCATAGTTTTAGATTTAGCATAAATTTACTAGAAGTAATATGAGTTAATACTCTGCATAATTCATTTTGTTTCAGTTGGCTCTGATGATACTTTGTACCTTCTGGCAACATGTTTTTATCAAGCTGGTTACTGTAAGAGAGCATACTCTTTGCTTCAAAGCAAAGGCTGTCCAACTCCGCTCTGTCGATTTCTTTTTGCAAAATGCTGCATGGAATTAGACAAGTATGTCTCCTCTCAGGCATTGAAGATTGAAAAATTCTTAATTTTAATTTTAAAGATCTGAGCAATTTTTTATTCACCAACTTGGAAATATTCTCCTGTTGAATCACACAATTCCCATACTAATACATCTTTCTTGGTGAAAACCTGGTCTCTAATAAGTCTAATCATAGCCATTACAATTTCCTCAAATGCAATTGGTGCATCAGCTGCTTTGTGTTTCACTAATCACTCTGTATAGTTGTAATTGGACAGTGTAATCAGACAGTTGGCTGTAATCGGACAGTTGAAGCAACCAATCATACTAAGCCCACTCAGCTAAATCTATCAATCACAGAATTGATCACAATAACCATTGCAACAACCACTTACCCTGAGAAAAAAAAATGGGAAATTTTCAAATTTTTTATTCTAGACATAGTCTCTACTAGAGATGTTTGTCCTAAATGTATATGTTTTTTGTTCTGAAATTATAATGGTTAGGATTAATTGCTAACAGGACTTTGTGTCATCCAATTCTGCCTGTAATTATACTTGTGATTAACAAATTGGACTCATGCTTTGTGGTCGTCTGATTTTGTTAATCACTTGTATGATTACAGACCGAATTGGACTCAACTCTGTCCTATAACCATTACATATAACTGAATGATAGTGCACTCTCAGGGTTGTCATTAGAATGCATAATAGATTATCTGAACTTAGTAAGTAGCTGACTCTAATATGCAACTTTGCTGATACTGGGTCAGAATGAATGTGCAGATTAATTTATATTTTTCTATTTTGCATGGCCTCAATTGTCTTTGAGATTGTTGATATTGTGAGATGTCTTGCTTAAAAAACTGGGCAAATTCTTTTAAGGTTGTATGTTTGCGAACCTTTTTCATTCCATGATGGGTTGAGGAGATCATTGATATATGTGGGAATGTGAAAGTGACCCCCTGACATATCTGGTACAGGGTTGGCCAATACCAGCATTCATTTAGGTGTAGTATAGGCAAAGTTGAGTATTGTGCTTGCTTACATGCCCTTTTAAGGGATTGGGAGGCATACTTTCCTGAAAAACTTGGAAAGTTTAAACCCTCTGAGATGTGATTACCTGAACAATCACCTGATAGTCTTGGCTTCAAACTGTTTACTATCCCCTATTGAAAAATCCATCTGGTAACATGGTGTGACATTAGGTAGTAGCTGGTTCAAATTACTAAAAGATATTATATGTTCATTTGGCTTCTTTGTGATCTTTCCTGGCTTTGTAGACTGGCAGAAGGTGAAATGGCCCTGACTGGAGGATGCCTGACAAACAGCAAACCTCTAGAGACCATTGCTTCTGAGTTTGGTTCTGCGGCAGGTTATGGACTGGCTCTCTTGGGGCAAATATGCAGGTATTTTCAATTATGATTTTTTTTGTTTTTTGTTTTTTCATCTTGAAGTAATTTTGTGACATGCATTTCCAAAAGTGTTTTCGTTTCTATGTCTCACTAAGTAAGTTTTATCCTTATTTTAGGAAATCAGAACAGTTTGCAAGAGCAGCAGAATGCTTTAAAAGTAGTTTGAAGTATAATCCGTTTTTATGGAGCTCCTTTGAGAATCTATGTCAGCTAGGTATGTGCTGTAAGTATATATGGTAATTTCTGATAGGTTTTTCTCCTATACAAACTCTTCTTTTTCATTTTCCATTGGATCGGAACAAGCTGAAACCCTGTAGTGAAGTGTATGCTGCTAAACCTTTTCTTTGCTTTGGCAGTGAACATATTCAGGAAACCACCTCCTCCAAATTTCCAACAGTATTTTTTTTGGTAGACTCTGTTAGAAAATTTGAGGAGCTGGTTTCCCACTTCAATTTTCACTTGAAATACAAAATAATTCTTTAAAAATCAAATATCTGCCAAAAAATGGGATTTATGCCTGTTTTATATGGAACCTTTGTTTCATAGAGTGACCAGCATCTAATTTCTCCTTATAATATCATTCCTGAACAACAGATTCAGGTCACAAAAATAAAGAATATGATTGCTTACTCGAGAAGCTCTTGATTATTAAACAAATTCTCTTTGTTGGCACCTTTGGAAATGTATTAAGGACAGTGAGGAGAAAATGTACACTCATGTCAGGGTGTAAAGGGTTTAACTATTTCTTCAGTTGCCATTATAACTGATCTATGTTTGATATTTTTTTCAATTAGGAGAGAAGCCAGATGCAGCAGATTATTTTAAATCATCTTCTTGTCCCAAAATCACATCTTTCATTTCAAACAGAGAACATATGACAATAGGATCCCCCACTGTTACCATGGATACAACAAGTCCATCAGACAATCAGCGACGAAATGTTGACACAGTATCCTCCGAAAATCTCGACCCCTCACACAACAAAACTCTGCAGAACATTAGCATGTTAATTTCATCCAGACCTGGCTCTCTAGATATGTCTGGTAGCAGTTTCACTGTGCCATCATCTGCTGTTAGTGTCAGTGAAAAAAGAATGCGTCAGAAGGTTGGGAGGAATCTGTTAGGAGCTGCGCAGTCAGCGAGTCCCTTAACTCCGAGGTATGACTGTGAGTGGAACAATTTAGAATCATGTTTCATGCTTCAAGCTATGACAATTTTGGTTGTGATGGCGACTAGAATGACTTTTGACTATAAAATCTGTAGCTCAATCATCACTTAGGCAACCAGTGATTGGTGGCCACAGAATTAAGTTTTTCCTTTGCTTTAATGTTACTATCAGACAAGAAAAAGTGTACAGATGTACATGTATCTTAAGTCCTTGAGGCCAAGTAGCTCATAACAGCAGGAGCTCATAATAGTTTTTTTAATGAGAAGCCACAAGTAGTGTTAGTTCTACTCCCCCCTTGATGAGATGCCAGTCCTTTTTAAGTTAATCCCCCTGGATTTGGTCGTGTTTAGGTAGCACTCTGCTGGTCTACATTTATCCTCTCAGGTAGAGTGAGTGTTTGGCAGGGCTTAACAGGTCAAGGCATCTCAAACCTATAGAAGACAAAGAAATGTTTAACTAAGCAAAGAACTGCTACATAAATGTGTATATGTATATAGGCTGGGAAAGTTCTATTAGAAACTGTACACCTTACATGACAGTCTACTTTCAATTGGGTTATAGTTTTGGAATGCTGGCATCAGATACACCCACAAATGACCAGAATTCTGTGTCATTTATTACTCCATCTCCAGTTGTTGGTGAAGGACACGCCCCTAAAGCACCTATGAAAAAGGTTTGAACCATATTCACACCCACTGATGGTGACATTTTGCAATATTGTAGAGTAGATCCAGTTTCTCTTAGTAAGATGTTTTGACTTCAAGGAGAATCCCTAATGGTGAGAGAGTTTTGGTTAAGGTAAAAAGAAACTATGTCAACTCTACAATTGTAGTTGAGATTGAACAAATTTAAGGCAAATATTAGAGAGAACATTCACCTTTCCTCTTTTAAGTTACAGAATAAATTATGATTAATTCATTATGGTTCAAAATAATGTAGAAAAATAGCCTTTATACGGGCCCAAGTGGCCCATGGGGCTGGTGCTTAACTCCGGTTTTCTTAGCATGAAGCGGCTAGGAGTATTGCTACTCCCCCCTGGATGGGATGCTGGTCTATCGCAGGGTTACTCCCAGCACATTTGCTGGTACCCATTTGTACACCTGGGTGAAGAGAAGCACTGTGAGAGTAAAGTGTCTTGCCTAAGAACACAACACAATGACCCCAGCCAGGGCTCGAAACCCAGACCACCTGATCTGGAGTCGAGCACATTAACCATGAGGCCACCACACCTCCACAAAAAAATAATGTAAGGTCTCCTTCAATTTTGCACAATTGGAAGTGTTCAGTCTGAAATTCTTTCTTTTCAGGGTGGTAACAGAAGAAATGATTCTTCATGCACACCAGTGATGGCTATCACATCTAGTGTTCATAGCATGCACTCTCCATCAACAATGTTCACGTCTTCTCCTCATGGCACTGGACATCAAAGCTTTTCTTCAAATGCTCCCAGTGTACGGCGGAGTTCGCGACTCTTTACACTGTCTTCTAGTAACAGCTCTGTCAGCAATTTTGATTCAACCAATAAAGTAAGCAAGTCTCCTTGTGGCATAGGATGTTAAAGGAGAGGGTTATTATGAGGGTTTAACAAATGATCAGAAGAACTCCCACAAGCGATTAACTTGTAACTAAATATTTATACATTATCCAGCCAACAGGCATTGATAATACTCAAACTTATCAGGTAAAAGTTGTTATCTTGGTTTAACACCAAATTCTTGTAACTAATTTACAAGGAAATGTGCAGCAACTAGAGGGGAGAATTCACAGTTAGATCTCAAGAGTTTAAGGGTTAAGAGAGTAAGATTGTTATGAGAGTTGTAATGATGATCAGAAGAGCAATTTCAAGGGAACTGAGTAACTGACTATTTGCTGGACTTTCTTTCAATTTCTTGCAGGACCGAAGACCAAAGAGTGCAAGAGTAGCATCTCCCTCACATAGAACTGCTGTTAGTAATGTTGTGAGAAAGGTAGGGTTAAAACCAATTCTACCACCAAGTGAAAATATGCAAGCCATTCATAATTCAGTCTTAATAAAGTAAAGGTTGTTTGGCAAATTAAGATTTCTCCTCAGTGATTTCTTTGACCCCAGAGAGTGACAAGCATCTAATTTCTCCTTACAATATCATCCCTGAATCACACATTAAGGTCATGAGAATAAAGGAAATGATCACCAACTAAAGAAGCTCTTGATTGTGAAACAAATTCTCCTATTCAGTACATTAGGAAATATATAGAGGACAGAAAGGAGAATATGCATACTGATGTTAGGGAGTAAAGGGTTAAATGTTTGTTCAACAGCATTCTCTAGGTGCTCAAGCAGCTGCCATTTGAGTTGGTCATCCTTTTTTTGAAGCGGTGGCCACTTTATTTTGACAAACAGTTGAATACTAGTCTTGATCTTAAATAAGTTTTAGATAGCTTGTGCCAACTAGTTATTCATTATTATTATTATTATATTTTTTAAATAATTTTTGTCTGGCTGCAAAGAAACCTTTGGAGAACCTGGGTTCATTCAAGTAGACTTGTAAATGAATTGGAAATTTTGAAAATACAGAAGTGTTTTATTTCAGACTCGACGGCAAACCAGAAGTTCCACTCCTCAGCCATTAGCTCCCTGTGTTGAGAATGTAATCCAAGAAGGGTCATCGACTCAACAAAGCAATGAAGGGAGGGGTCAGGCAAAGTTATCACCTGTCCAGGGTGGTATGGGTAAGTAATCTGTACTCATAAACTGTCTTCATTGACAGTTGAGCTCTGCTCTTTAAATAATTGAAAGTATACATGTGAATTGTTGGTTCTTTCTGTTAGAAATTGAGGGAAGTATTAAGCTTGAAGTTGGAGGAAATTCCTTGTAATTGTTTGCATGACACTCTAACCTGCTACTTTTAAATTATAGAATAACACTCATTGCATCAAAATTGTTTTGTGTTTTATATGTAAATATAAAGTGACCTTGAAGAAGTCAGATCAATATCAGTATGTTAGCAACTGCCCACCTACCCCTCCCCTGACCCGACAACAGTTAACTGATTACAAGTTAGAGCTAATGTTGGGTTAGGGGAGGGGTTGGTGCATAATCGTTCTGATACTGATATTGATCCAAGAAAAGACAGCTCAGTAAAATGATTTCAAACTATGCATTGCATTCTTACTAATTTTCTTTACTTTTTTGGATTTTAGATGGGTTAATGGCGCTTTTGAAGCAAATAGGACAGGCATATGTGCATCTTAGTTCCTATGAATGCAAGCAGGCATTGAATGCCTTTTCTTCATTGGCACCGCACCATTACAACACAGGATGGGTGTTGACTCAAGTTGGCCGGGCCCACTTTGAACTGGCGGAGTATCAGCTGGTATGAAGTTGTTTCTTGATTTTAAATCTTTCTTCTGGCTGTTATTCAATTCCATGTTACTTTGTCAACCCTTTGCACCCTAACATCAATATCCACATTCTCCATACTCTTCTTTGTACTGTTTCTTTGGCACTGACAAGGAGAATTTGTTTATCAATCTATGCTCTATCTATCTCTTTACATTTCCTTTGCCTGAGGTGTAGGATTTATTAAGACACCAGAAAAATTTCTGCTCTGTGTGACAAGCTTTTGATATACTTCATAAGATGCTTTTTTTTTATTATTATTATTATTATTATTATTATTATTATTATTATTATTATTATTGACAATCAACCTGACTCTTGTTACAGGCTGAGAAAGTTTTCGCCAAAGTAAGACAACTAGAACCGTACAGAATTGAAGGTAAATAAGTTTGATTGTGTCCTTTCCAACATATTTTCCGTCAAAAGAGAAGAAAATACCTAAATCACTTATGCATATCTATTTATCCTCCAGGAATGGAAATCTATTCCACGACATTATGGCATTTACAAAATGAGGTGTCCCTCTCGGCTCTAGCGCAAGAATTGGTAGAAACTGACCGTACCTCCCCTCAGGTAAGGATTTTTTTTAAGCTCGCGTTGGAATGCGAACAACTTACTCGTTTCATCCTGCTAATATACGTTCTCAACCGGATGATTTAATTGTACGAGTGTTTATTTTTTCTCCTCAGGCTTGGTGCGCTACCGGCAATTGCTTTAGTCTACAAAAAGAACATGATACTGCCATCAAGTTTTTCCAGCGAGCAGTTCAGGTCAACCCAACTTTTACTTACGCTTACACGCTGCTGGGACACGAGTACGTTCTCACGGAAGAACTTGATCGAGCCATGTCGTGTTTCCGCCAGGCTGTCAGGACAGATTCGCGGCACTATAATGCATGGTAAGTTAGTTGCCCAGCTTGTGTAGCAATTATTAGCTGAGTGTCGAAAGTGATCTGAGACTGCGTCGGTTTTGTTTACCTCGCTCTGTGATTGGTCAAGAAAATTCCCGATCTCTTCGCAACCAGTCAGATGCAAAATTTAAGCCAATCGTGACTTTGGTCACTCGCGTTTTCCCGCGCTTCCTGTAGTGTATTTCTTTTTGCCCTGATTTCTGATTGGCCCCTTCTATACTTTCCTTTTTCGTGATTGGCCTTAGTGATGACAAGGAGCCAATAAGAACTCAATCGGAAAAACAAGCATGTTACCGGGAAAACGCGATTGGTTCCGGTTTTACTTCTGATTGGTCAGTAATGAAGGTGGCTTGATTTTTCTCTACCAATCGGTTCATTGCAGTGAACTCTCACTTATATGGACTCCTTTAAGTAATTAGCTCTAAATGTGAAGAACTGAAGAACTATACCATAAGGGTTGTCTCGAAGTGTTCATTTTATAGATACCTGTCATATAGAGGCATCTGTTAAGAAAGACTTTACCGGAACTCTAGGGAAACCATAATTTTTTTTTTCCTTGAGGGCCTTGAACTTGTCCAAGCTGGAAATGGCTCTGGCGTTGATTTTGCAAAAATTTTTTTCTCTGTTTTCTAGGTATGGAATTGGTATGATATATTACAAACAGGAGAAGTTTAATTTAGCTGAAATCCATTTTAGAAAAGCTTTGTCAATAAACCCATCAAGTTCTGTGCTGTACTGTCATGTCGGAGTGGTAAGTTGACTAAGCCCTCGGAGGCGGGATCGCCGCAATTGCTGTAATTAAAATTGGTAGGTTTTAGGGAACAAACTAGTTAAAAGAACCCTTTGGGTGAAGAAGGTTAACGAGAAACAAACTTGAAAATTTACAGACCTCTAACTAACTATGTCTAATTGTAAATAAATGATAATGTTTCCAGTCAGTGCCATTGTGGACGGCAGAGACATGCGAAAAAGCGGGCTGACTTTTCCCCGAACAAAGCACCAACCGTCGTTCGCCCGCTGTACCGCTTGTCTCGACTGACCGATAGACAGGTAGCACGTTTTAATTTTTAGCGCTTCAGAGCGCACATTTTCCGCCTTCGGGAACATTTGAGACGAGTTGGGGAGAGCTTTACCAGAGGTCTGGTACTAGTAATTAGTGCCAGGTCCCTTGCAGACCTCTCACTGGCTCACGTTGCTCAAGGCCTTATACATACTAACATCAATATTTCTATTCTCCACACTGTTCTCTGTACATTTACTAAGGTGCTGATATGGAGAATTTGTCTAACAATCAAAGAGTCTCTATAGTTGGTGATCATTTCCTCTAATCTTATTACATTAATGCTAGATTCAGGGGTGATATTGTAAGGAGAAATTAGATGCTAGTCACTCGTAGTGATTAAAGGGTTAACGAGTACCTGCTCGTAGGCTAACTGACCGACAGCCTGAAAGATAATTTTCCTATATCTCGCGCAGGTGCAACACGCAATGAAGAAATCTGATGCCGCGCTTGTTACCATCAACAAAGCCATGAATATTGATCCGAAGAATCCGCTGTGCAAGTTTCATCGCGCTTCAATTTTATTCTCAATGGATAAACATAAGGTATGGAGCAGTTCTTCGTCGCCTTTGATTTTAGGACGTGGTCGACAATTAGTGCAAGATTTGATTTAAAGTTCTAAGCGAAAAATGCGAGAATGTATTGTTTGCAAAGCTACTGTTTTGCTCTCCACTAGCAGCCAAGTTTACACAAGTATCGGTATCTTACATAAATGAGGCCTTTATGATAAAAATCATATCACTAGTTTTGTTTTGCGCTGTGCTATTTTTGCAAAAAAAACTCTTCCTGTGATGCTGACGGCTGTTGCGTTTTTTCCCGTCAAGATGAGGCAGTTTCGCGCGTACCTAATTTATCGCAACTGGATGTATGGTACGGGAAAGTTTTATACTCGTTCTCGAATCTCTATGTCTCAAATGTGTTTTAAAACAGCCGCGTTGAGTAGGTAAGTAGAGTAGAAACACCCTTCGTCATTTTCTGTTTGCCTTAACATCTTTTACGTTCTGTACTTCTCGTCAGGAGGCGCTAGAAGAACTCGAGGAATTAAGGAAAATTGTGCCTCGAGAGGCTTTAGTTTACTTTTTACTTAGCAAGGTAAGTTACTTTTATTAGCAATTTCACCATTTTATTCCAATCGCAATTTGTTTTGGTTTAATGTACAGTGTAATTTAATTAATTTTATGACAAGTTTATCGCCGCTTACACCGCAATTTTCGATTGGTTTCCGAAAGTTTTCTTTGCTCTATGATTGATTTAGAAAACCTCCGTCACTCTCGCGACCAATCAGATGCAAGACTCAAACCGATGTTCACTTAAGTGTTCATGGGTGTTTTCCCGCGCTCTAGATGATTGCTTGTTTTTACTTTGGGTTCTATGCTACACGTGACATTTTCCTCTGTTCTGATTGGTCGCTCTCATCACTGCTTCTGGTTTGTTCAACCACACAAAATTAATTTTATTCTCTTTAAATGCGTGCCTTTCCTCATTGATATTTACAGGTTTACAAAAAACTTGGGGAAAATCACTTGGCACAGATGAATTTCTCGTGGGCGATTGACTTGGATCCGAAGGGTGCAAACAATCAAATTAAAGAAGCCATTAACAAGCGATATCTCCCGGATGATGACGACACAACCATGGGACTTGACACCGCTGATACTATGGATCAATCTGTGGGCGTAAACGAACTCTCTGACGAAGACGAGGATTAGATTGTAAACGAACCTAAAAGAGCTGCTTTTGAACTGTGGGTTGAAATATAGGGACTGTATTTGATTTTGAACATTAGGAAAATGATTTTCAAATGAAATTTACCTTCGAGCTTCATTAAAAGAGAGTTATGCTCCAGAAACTAAATGATTAAGTATTATTAAGTTTGCTAGTTGATTGTCGTGTACACTTTGAAATGTTGCGGATGAAAATGATATGGTCTCTGGAGCATACTTCTCCTTTTGAAATTTTTTTAACGCGGTTTTGCATCAATTGGAATCTCCGTATGTTTATACGAAGCCTATAGGAGCGCAACGACCCTGAAAAAATATCAGGCTACTTGTTTCATGGTACACTTTTTGTCACTGAGATATCTTCATGAAGCAATTTTCAACTGGGTGTCATAAAGGACCAAGCAGTTATGCCATTGACACAGATATCGAGAAATTATGAGTTTGAGAGTAAAATTCTCATTGTTTTAGTATTTCTAATCACTCTCGCGCTAAGTCGATTATTATCTAGAGAAGTGATGCTTGGGGAAAATATCCGGGAGATTAGCCTCGATGTGACGTGAAACGGTGGGGTAGGGAGGACTGGGCGACTTTCTCCAGTATCACTCCTTGATAAAAGAGGTGGCTGCTTATGGGGAATTGTATCGCTAGTTAACAGCAAGTAAAAGAAATTAAACTATTAATTAGATATTGGATGTTTTATAAAGTAATTAATTTAGGTTTGATATCGGAAGAGAGACTTACGTCGCATGTATCATATAACAACATGCATCAATTTAATGTGTATTTTTTATGATTGCAATTCACAATTTGTCGACTTTCGTCATCAATAACAAGTTTTTTACGCCAGCTTAAATGCGGTACCATTGTTATTGATTTGTCTCGTTGATTAAATTTGGACACAACTTGGTTAAATGTTTCTTTTATCAGATACACTGAGTTTGTCCCCCCTCCCCTCCCCCCTTAGAGGGCCGTACGAAAAGACTTACAACACAACACAATCCAAAAAAGCCTAAGCCCACCCCTGTTCGAAGGGGTAAGTTTCTAAAGAAACTGTGGTGCTGTGTTGGCAGGGGGTATTTAAAGATAATTTCATTTCATCGAATGAGTTGAAAATGTTAATTGGCTATCGTTTCGAACGTTAGCCCGTCGTTCGAACGAAACCCTTTCCCTATGTAATCTCCATTTTTGTTGTATTTTATGAAAGGTTATTTTATTTTCGGGATTTTTTCGTAAACTTGTTATTTTTGAAGATCAATTTAAGTCCACTTAGATTCAAACCATGATTTTCACACCACACAGATTTTTTTGTAAAAGCTTTTTTGGGAGTGGAGTTGCTTTTATCAGTGTCCGATATCGAAATCGAAACTTCGGGGACAAATCCCTAAATTTGTTTGTCAACGCCTTAACAAATATAGGTAATATGAATACGCCACTTCCTTCACACGGAGAAACATAAGAGGTGTTACGTCTAAATCTCGTGAGGACCACGACGCGAAAGATACCAAAATTTGGTATTCGCTTTTATTTTTTTGATATAGTGGACTTGGAAAAATATCATTGACTGAGGCGTTCCCTCGCATTTTTCGTGGAATCAGCAGAAATGCTGTTAAAGCTACTTTCTCACGCGGGGAAATGAACCCTCTGGTTAAAAGCGACCAAAGTTAGTAAAAGATGACGTAATGTTTTTGTTCCAAATGTGGGGTGGACTGGAATTGAGTTGTAGTCGCAGGGGCTTCTGTAGTCACGCGGGTCATTGTGGTCTTGTTCTGAACTGAAACTTGTACTTTGGTGTGATATCAGCCTATTTTTACCGAATTCATCGCATCTAATCGCTCGGAACTTTAATTAAAGGTAAGTTCATAGCGTTATTAGAAGGTCTGTGCTGGTGTGTAAGCCAGATTTTGCCTTGTACTGCTTTATTTTGTTGGAAATTCGGAAGGAAGTTAGTCGATGCGTATTTTACATCGCCGCCATATTTGTATCTCTGACACGTTTAAATCGACAAGATGGTTGTAAGATTTTCTTGTTATTATTCCCTAACAGCTCTTTGTGTTTGAGAAAGAAGTGCGGATTATTTTGATTACCTTGTTCGGGATGTCAGTGACAATTTCGGCGTTTCGTCTGAAGCTAACCTTACCGGAAATTCACGAACGTTTGACTCATCTTTACGTATATTTATGAGAATGACGTTTAATTTTTGCATTTGGTCATGCTCGAACGCTTTTTTTTGAGCGGATTTTGCTCATCATAATTATGTTCTGTTTCAACTCGAGAGCTCTGTATTACAATTTTTCTTTCGCAGATGGAAGTAGTCGTGAAACCACCATTTGTGTCATGTATTTCGTGTCACATAGTTATATCAACAACTTTCCTTATTTGAGAAACTAATGTTGTTTTCCTGGCATGGAAATTTTCTTTTGTTTGTATTAAAAAATTTGAATCATCCTGCATTACATTGCTATCCTTAGCTGCCAGGATTTCGGATTAAGAGCTGTGCTAAAGTAAACTTCGCGCAGTTGAGGTGTTACAAGCTCCCGAGTGGAACTTGAACCGGCTATGCCCCGTCGCACTTTGTGCGTTCAGTTGAACAACATGCAAATTTTTCGACATAACGCCCTTAAGTAAATTTTTCTGTTTCCAAAATATCTTAATTACGTAAGGCTGCGATAAAAATTATTTCATCGTCAACGGTGCGAGGTACACCGTGTTTTGGCAATATGTAATGGAATATTTAACATTGAGTTCAATTAAGCTGAGCTTACTTGCACTGTATTTCGTAATATTATTTTTAATCCGACGTCTTGCATCTCTTTTTGTGGCCTAGAACATTCCTTTTGTATTACAAGTCTGTCTCGTAGTTTATTCGAATTTAAATGTTGTACGTTCCAAACTACAAAGCTTAATATATTCGTTAATATATTCGTTAACATATTCGTTAACCATGCAATCATAATTCGTTATGTAAATACAAGCCTAAAACATACATTTAGAAAAGTTGATTGCTTGGAAAAAGTTCTGTTGAGATGGTAATGTTACCCAGGGCAGTGAATCATTTTGGCTGTTATTTTTCCCAGTTTTCTTAACTATCCTGCAATGTCTTGATAGGAGAAAGTGTCGTTTGAATTTTGCCTTGTCACTGTTTGCTATGTCAACTGTTTTGTGATCACCCTTACCAGTCCCAAGAGATTTTCATTCATTCTGATCAAAAGAATTGTTTCTTAAGACTGATATTTTGAAGATAAATTCAAAGCCCAGGAGATATTTTGTACACAAGTTTATAGACCAAGGTTATCCTCTGGAATCTAATATTTCCTAGCTTTCTGGTTCAAGTTAGCAGAATTTGACAAAGAGCCATGATATTGTATATTCTCATTGTAATAATTCTTTACCAAACTTTTCTCTTTTATAATTTTTTTAAGAGGGCCGTTTACAGGATTACTCCCTTAGAAGATTATGTATTGACACTTATAGGTTTGATCTTCGATAAATCCACATTTTAAACTGGAATCGTAAAGCTTTTACACCTAGAACAGTTGGACATTTAAGGACTTTCAATGGCTGCGAGGGGAACGGCACAGCGCCCCAATGGAGCTGTACAAGGAAAAATATGCCAGTTTAAGTTGGTACTTTTAGGTAAGAATTATTTTGACACAGTTTAATGTCAGTTTGTTATTGGATCTGCAAAGAACTCTACCTGGTTTACATGTGACATATATCTTTCATACTGCTGTAATGGACAATTTTGAAAGACATAGTTGTGTAGTCCAAACAATGATAAAAAATCTTGGATCCTGTTGAGTTTGTTGTTTAAACCTTTTAAAGGCAGCTCCTCTTGCAGAGCTGTCAAAAAGATTTTGAGTAACTGGACTGTAATATAAAGTAGGCCACATTAAGGATCACAGGCCCTTCCACAGGTAAGGGCTTGGAGGCTGCTGAGGCCCTAAAGTGTTCAAAATAGCTGGTGCATTTTTCAGAGTAAACTTTGAAATGCATCGGTTGCCAGCTTATTTTGACAACCCTCACTTGAAATTTTTAATGAGCAACTATATCTGGGCTCCTCTCTCCATGAATTGCACTCAGTTTGGTTATACATGTACACTATACCTTATCTGAGCTGAAAGGAGAAAGGAGAACAACAGCTCTGTCAAAAGCCACTTTTGTATAGATCAATTGCCTTGAGTGAAAGAGGACATTGCATCATTTTTTAACATTTTTGACAAAATGAGGTGCATGATTTCATGTTTTTATGTGTTCGATTTCTAATGAAGCAGTAATTTGATTTTGATTTAATCAGAAAAATAAAATTATATTTGCAAAACTTAATGTTAACTGAGTTCTCTTTTGATAATTTTACATGACAATTTTTGTGTAGCCTGCTTACAATGTTATCTTGGATCTCACAGGTGAATCTGCTGTTGGAAAATCAAGTTTGGTTCTGAGATTTGTCAAAGGGCAGTTTCATGAGTATCAAGAAAGCACAATTGGAGGTGAGTAGCTTGGAATTTTTCTCTGTGTGAAATGGGATGGCAAAAATTTTCAACTGATCGATATTTCTTCTGTATTTTCAGCGGCATTTTTAACACAGACAGTGTGTCTGGATGACACCACAGTCAAGTTTGAGATCTGGGACACAGCAGGTCAAGAAAGGTATCACAGCTTAGCTCCAATGTACTACAGGGGAGCACAGGCAGCAATTGTTGTTTATGACATCACAAACCAAGACACTTTTGGCCGGGCAAAAACATGGGTGAAAGAGCTTCAGAGACAGGCCAGCCCTAATATAGTCATAGCACTTGCAGGCAATAAGGCAGACCTTTCAAGCAAGAGGATGGTTGAGTATGAGGTATATAGATCATTGTTTATGTGATTTATTGATCAATCCTTAGAAGTGGAGCAGTGAAAGGGTTAAATTTAACAGATAATTTAGTGTTAACAACTGAGTTGAAAACATAAATTGGCCACTATAAAGAGTTTAAAGGCTGGTGTTTCGAGCGTTAGCCCTTCATCAGAAATGCTTGAAATGTCAGCCTTTAAACACTTTACGTTGGCCAATTTATGTTTTCAACTCAGTTAACACTAAATTACCTGTTGTACTCTCCCACTGATGCAGCACCACAGTTTCTTACTTACCCCCTTTAACATTTGAATTTGTTCTGCTGATTAGGATGCTCAGTCATATGCAGAGGATAATGGTCTTCTATTCATGGAAACTTCAGCAAAGACTGCCATGAATGTGAATGATATCTTCTTAGCAATAGGTGAGTGTTTCATTTTCTCGTCAAGCGACCTGCTTGTGTGTTTTAACACTTATATCCGTGGCTAAAGAAGGGCACATCATTGATTGTTTTTTGGTTTTTGACTTTATTTTTAAAATTTAACTGTGCAACACAGGTTTTCCATTTGAAAATGAATTAGCAGAAGGATAGTATAGAGTAGCAGTGAAATGTCTTCTGTCCCTCTTATATTTGTAGTGGTAATAGGACCAATTGGAGTCCAATTCGGTCTGTAATCATACAAGTGATTAACAAAATTGGACAACTGCAAAGCGGGAGTTTGATTTGTTAATTACGAGTATGATTACAAACAGAATTGGACGATGTGAAGTCCAGGTACCAGTCAATCAAAATTATGACAAAATTTGAGGAAAAAACTAGACATCGGTTTTACATTTTCATAAAAAAGAACAACAGATAACTCAGCGAAATGCAAGAAAACAGTGCACATACATAACGTGTTCTGCCTGCTTACATGGGCATGACCTGTTAACTGACCCTTTAACTGTCCTATTACATTGTTCAATTACAAGCATGATGCATACACTGTCTTATCAGTGCTCAAATTGGTCTGGTGATAACAAATCATGAGAATTTTGGTGTAGTTTTAATTAAAGAAGTAATCAGTGGTGGTATCATTGAAATTTTTCATTATAGCAAAGAAATTGCCCAAGAGTGACACCACAGCAGCAGGGCCTGCAGCTGGTGGACGACAGCCCAGAGGTGTTGACCTCAGGGAGCAGAATGAACCACGAGAAAGTGGTTGCTGTAAATAGTTACTCTTCAGAAATCCCCTCTTATACAAATCATGTATAAATGAACAATGAACAAAGTGCAAACTAGAATGTGGGTAATGTTACACAAGCAAGATCAACAAACTGCCCTGTGTAACATTAATAGTAAATGTACACACTCTTGCCTTT